TATCCGACCTTCTTCAAGTATGAAGACACCTCCTTGATGATCTCATCGTACCTAGCCTTGGAGTACTTGGGGGTGGTGGCGTCCATCTGTAACAAGAAAGAGAAAACCAAAAACATTTGTTAGCATCGAAACAATAGAGAGAAGTCAAAGTAAGCAAAAAGGACAGGAGATTTAGTTCACCTTGTTACAGCAGCAAATCATCTGCTTGACACCAAGGGTGAAAGCAAGAAGAGCGTGCTCACGGGTCTGACCATCCTTGGAGATACCAGCCTCGAAACCTCCAGTGGTGGAGTCAATGATGAGAACAGCACAATCGGCCTGGGAGGTACCAGTAATCATGTTCTTGATGAAATCACGATGTCCAGGAGCATCAATGACTGTGCAGTAGTACTTGGTGGTCTCGAATTTCCAGAGAGCAATGTCGATGGTGATACCACGCTCACGCTCGGCCTTAAGTTTGTCCAACACCCATGCGTACTTGAAGGACCTCTTGTTCATCTCAGCAGCTTCCTTCTCGAACCTCTCGATCACACGCTTGTCAATACCACCGAGCTTGTAGATCAAGTGACCAGTGGTGGTCGATTTCCCAGAGTCGACATGGCCAATGACCACGATATTGATATGAAACTTTTCTTTACCCATAGCTGCTTGTCACAAAAAGAGATCAAACCATTAGAATAAAAAACAAATAAACATCTTCAACTATTCAATGAAAACAACATGTTCATCAACAATCAGTAAAAGTAAAGCCAAACACCAACCACAGATCCATTGATACGAAACCATATCTCATCTATTAAAGTTCTTACAATTTCAGTCAATCAAGCTTCTGAGAATGATGAAATCTAAGATCGAGCGACAATACAATAAATCAACCTAAAACATCTATCAACTACGATCAAAACCATCAGGAAAACTGCCTCCTAAGCAGAAACAGAGCTAACATGACGAATTCACCACTGAATAAAACAGATCGCAATGATTATAATGCCTAACACCATGCGAAGCGGCTAGGATTTCACATTGAAAAAGTAAACGCTAGCTCAAGAAGGTTGTTTCACTAGAACAATCCGTCACACTAAAGGTAAGCTAACAGATTGATGAACAAAACGGATCTCTACCTCGAGAATCAGAACAGTATAACGAAATAGAGCAAAGGGATAATCACAGTGAGAGTACGGGTTACGATATGAATCTAAGCGACGGAGAAAGAAACAACAAAGCATAAACCTCATCAAGAATCATCATAAGTAGAAGATCATAACCCAGAGACAGAATTTACATACCTGCAAGTAAGAAACTGAGAGGAGTCTTGCGGCTACGAAACTGAGCGAAAGAGGTAAATGAGAGCACACCCTAAACCTGGAGCGAATCAAGGTATTTATAGCTACGAGAGCTAGGGCTTTCAAGTTTTCTTTGGGGCTTTACTTTACCAATTTGCCCTTCCGCGTTTTGGCCTTCTTTTTTTTGGCAGTAAATAAAAAGTATAATCCAAATTTTTGTAAATATTTTACGAGTTTCCGATTTTGAATTGTGAAATATATAAGTTTTATGTGTTTCTGTGTATAAAATGTAAAATGAGAGATTAAAATGGCTTTTAAGTATATTAGTTGGCAAAAAAAATGGCTTGGAGTAATTCCCAAATTTCCCGCAGGGAAGGTTCTTATGGAAAAGAAGGATCCAAAAACTCTCTTATTGATCTTACTAGGTTTTTTACCCGCGCTACGCTGCGGGATATTTTTTTAAATTTTGTATATATTTTATAATATAAATAAGTATTATATTTATTTTTATTAGCTTAAGTTATGTATTTATAAGTTTTCGATCTGAATAAACATTATATATCTTTAATTTTTTATTTTTCAAAATTATAATCTACTATCAAATTTGTTTAGCTAATTATCTATATATATATATATAAGAATAAAACAATACATTTTTAAATACCTTCATACTAATGGCAAATATAATTTATTTTCTCTACTAAATTGCCACTTGATCCTCCTTTGAAATTATATAAAGCAAATTGCCATTTAAAAAATTATTAATTAATATAATTATTTTAAATTATAAAATTTATTTATTTATCAAATATTTATTATAAGCATATGTTTCCAAAACTACCAAACTATAGTCAATAACATTCATATCAAAACTATTGCTATTGCTTTAGAACTAAACTAAAGTTCTGTTTGAAATGTTTGGTTACTGTAAACATATTGTAATTTGAAAATTTAGCACACATAAATTTTATATTTTTACAAAAACCAAGAAATTGAATTTTTCCGACAAAACAAAAAAAAATCATTTTTCCACAACCTAAGATTTTGCCTATTCCTGCCAAAACTAAAAAATAAAAATAATTTCTCGTCAAAGCTGAAATTTCATTTTCCCACCAAAACAAAGAAATTGCATTTCTCCGCAAAACAAAAAAAAAACATATTTTCCCGCGAGAACCTGTGTTTTCCCGCCAAAACAGAGAAATCAAGTTTTTTCACCAAAACCAAAATTTCATCTTCCTGCAAAAACAAAAAAAAAAAATATTTTCCCGTCAAAACCAGAAAACTATTTTTCCGCAAAAACCGCGAAATCGTCTTTTCCCACCAATACAAAAAAAAAAATTATTTTTCTCGTCAAACCAAAAATCACGCCTTTCTACCATAACCGATAAACTACAATTTTTCGCGAAAACCAAAAATTGCATTATCTCATGAAAAATTGTGTTTCCCGCGAAAACTAAGAAATCATATTTTCCCGCGAAAACTAAAAAATCACATTATATGTCAAAAACTGAAAATTTCCATTTCCCATCAAAACCGAGAAATTGCTTATTCCTGCCAAAATCGAGAAATTTTGTTTTCCCATCAAATCGAGAAATTGCATTTTCCGCTGAACTCATCAAATTACAATTTTCAGCAAAAACTAATAAATCACATTTTTCTGCGAAAATCAAGAAATCACATTATCCATCTGCATTTCCTATCAAAACTGAAAAAATCGTATTTTTCGTCAAAATTGAAAAGTTGCATTTTCCTCGCCTTTTCAAAATCAATTTTTTTTTCCTCACCAAAACCAAAAATTCACATTTTTCCACTGAACCCGAGAAATCGTTTTTTTCTGCCATAACCAAGAAATTATGTTTTTTTTACCAAAACTGAAAATCACATGTTCTTACCAAAACCACGAAATTCTCTGTTCCCGCCAAACCCAAGAAAAATTGTTTTCGGTAACCACCGGAAATGCGAATCTCAAAGCTGTGGTGGTATGAGCTTCTCTTCATTTGCTTTCAACAAAATAGTAAACTGATTTTATTAATGTGTTAATGATATGTATTATTGTTATGTTTTTATTGGTTTAAATTTTTGCTGATGTGTGAGCTTATTATAACATAACGCTTTTTGCGTTGTTGTTATGAAAGCATAGTTGATGATGAGTCTACACTTTCTTTAATCATATACATCTCTATCAAGCAAACACATAGTTAAAATTTTTAATTTTTTTTTGCTGTTATTTATTATTTGAGTTTTGGTTTGACAAAAATATAAAACAAATATTTAATTTTTGTTATTTATTATTTAGATTTGGGGATGGTAAAAAATAAAATAATTTTTTTAGTGTTATTTATTATTTGGAATTGGGCTTGGTAAAAAATAAAATAAAGATTAACAAAGAAAAATATTTGGGCTTTTAATGGGTTTAAGTTAAAAATAATAAAAGTTAGTAAATGATGTGTATTAATAAAATGTTTTGATTGGTTGTTAATTTTGCTGATGTGTTAGTTTTTGATAACTTGAAAAAGCTGAGTTGTCAAGCTATGGAGAGACTTTAGTGTTATTGTTGTGTTGATTTGCCCAAAAAACAAAAATAAAAACTCTTTTATTGATCGAAACAATGACGGCTAGCCGTTCAGAGTTAGTTTTGATAAATATACGGCATTAATAATTTATATTTTTTTGATAAACTTTTTATTAATTTCTATTAGTGTGTAACGCAATTAAAAATCACAGCCAATTCAGGGGAGAGAAAACGTTTTTATTTAAATGCATTCACTAAATGGAGTTGTTTTTTTTCGAACTTTTACTAAATGGAGTTGTTGTTGTTTTGTTGATGCTGTCAAGAAAAAAGTGGAGTTGTTGATTAAATTTCGGTAGCTAGATTTACAAAATCTAAACATTACGAGGAAAACAATGTTAAATCATCATATCCAATTTCAATTCAAATCTCAAATAAAATGGTTATTATTAAAGGAGAATTTGGATTGTTTGTGTCAATTATTTAAGGGATAATTTATGAGAAATGGCGGCTACACGTCATTTTTCTTTAAAACGTTATATAACCATCGTGAGCAATAAACATGTTTCAAACTAACTATATATGTTTCAAATTTATGTATAATGTTTACTTTTCTTAATCAAATCTTCAATATGTAGGCGACATGCATGCAACTTTTAACAAATTGATTGATCAATACGTTATTCAACAAAGTATGAACATATTGACCTCAATTAAATAAGAACAATTAACTTTCGTAACGAAATTATTTATGACATGTTGTTATCAATAGTCAACTAATATCAAGAGAACATTTAACTTTCGTAACGAATTTATTTGGGACATGTTAGCAACAGTCAACTAATATTAAGATGATTTAAATGGAGAATTAACTAACCATATAACTTTCGTAACGAAATTAATTAACAATATATACGTATAAATTGGAACTGTGTAATGGGGATTACCTTAGAAATTGGCAACAATGGTACATACAAGGTCTGCTTAATAACATTTCGTCACAAATAATGGTAACGATACACCGGAATCAAATTGCTATATATACCGGTACAAATTAATCTTGGAATGCCGAACAGATCCTAATCAACCAACAGTTTAACCACTTAAACACACTATGCAAGAACTAAAATGACAAAGGAAGCAGATGTGCAAATACTAAACAAGCACATGTTAGCACTTACGCAGCTTTTGATGAAAGCATCAAACTTTTAGCTTGCTAACGGACGAGTCTCTCTTGGTGGTGAGCTCGAGGCTGGAGATTCGAAACTCGGGTTTCCAGGGCAAGATTTAGCAAATTGGCAAAACCGGCATTTCCAACGTTCTTCTTCAGGAGTGTACTCAGCTTCTCTCTCTCTTCTCCAAAACTCAATAACTTCTTTATATTTGCTCATCACCCACTCATGATCATGTTGGAACCTTATCTCAGCTATTATAGATTGGTCTTTCTGGAATTCGTACCTGAGACAAAGTTTCCCAATCAGCTAAGAGGTTTTGCAACAATCCGGATTATCAACTACGATTAAGAAAGACCAATGTTCTTCTTACCGTAGTAATAATTGATCATTTGCTACCGGAAGCATTTTAAAAGTGTTTTCATAGTACCTAACTATCTCTTCAAGTGTCTGCATTCAAAGAAAAAAAAGAAATGGTAAGAATTTCAATAAACTCATATGATCAACAAATAAGGACTATTGCAAGAAATTTGTGCAAAATCAAATATAAGTATACTTGTGCTGGGATTCCTGCATCAGCAATGTTGTCTCTGACATCTTGTGACAAGACATGGTGGCGATTCAACGAGAAGTAGTCGAAAAAGCGTCCTGATGGGAACTCTTGTGTCACAACAGTGTCCCACAGAAGCTTGTAAAGCATTACTTGTAGTCTGTTAAAACGTAATTAATTTAAGGATACTTAGCATATAACTCTTTTTAAGATTAAAACGGAGACCGAAATGAAGAACATTCTCTTTACTCTTACAAAAGGACTTACCTTCCGTTCCTTCTCTGTGGCTCAGCTGGGAGTGTGTCACGGACTCGAGTCTTTGTGTCTGATAATAACGGTTTGTTGTCTTCCTCAGATGCCCTTTTAACCTCATCAATGATTCCCACAATCCATTGATCTCCAAAAAATCCTAAGCTGATGATATGGACAATGAAGGAATCAGTGTTCATGAATACCATTACACAAGAAATCAGTTGTAAGCAGATGTGCAGAAGCTAGACTACGCAAAGTTTTAAACTTTTGGCACAAAAGAATATGACAACCTAATGGGAGACCAACTCAATGTAAACATAGTCCATAGTCTAGCAAAAGGTGATAGCTTGGCTATGACAATGTACTAAGGACAAAACTAGAATCGAAACTAGAGTTGTAGTAGAAGTAACTAACAGTAGCAATTCACGGGTTCGTCCTTCAAACAAGAACTGATTAACGCCTGCAATGGAACTCAACAGCTTCAAGGCCCACTTATCTTCATTTGATTCAACTCTTACTCTCACCTTTCTAACTACCTGTCCATTATTAACAGAACAGTAAGTAGATGGTTTCAACAGATTGTTGACAGAAAGATATAAAAAACTCCTAGCAAATGAATTTGATCATTGTCGATAACAGCTCAATAACATATTCATACCTCTTCTTCAAGCTCCAAATGACGAGCCTGGCCAAGTTTCATAGCTTTGGTGACTTTTCTTCTCCCAAAACAGAGAAGATTCTCCATTTGTTTCTCACACCATTCCTATGACGAACCAACCAAACAAATCGGTATCAAAGATAGCTTAATCCAAGGCAAAATCGATGAAAATACTATGGAAGAGATCAACGTACTGTGCCAGTGAGATCTGTAACACCCAAAGCTTGATTTCTTCTAAACCGATGCAAAAAAGAGTCTTCGATATCGGAACAAGCAGATAATTTCCTCTTGGAGAACATGGTTACTGAACGGACAGTCTTGGTGCTTCCGCCGGCGATGATCCGCGACGGAGAAGCAGCCGAGCGGATCGCGGAAGGGAGGATGGAGCGCGTGGCTGCAAGCGCTGCGTCGATGATAGCCATTTCTTCTTCGCTGACGATCTCGATTGGGATCTCGGGGTAGGCATGGTGGGCTCGTGGGCTTGAAATAGCGAGGGTGGCGGATTCAGCGGGCGTGGAGGATGTGGTGGTAGGCGAGTCGGAGGTTGACTCGGAGGGTGACTCGGCCATGTTTTTAAGCGGAAGGAACGTGTGGTGTTGTGTCCTTTCGTGGCCATGTGAAAAGTTTAAAACAACAAGGCAAAAAAAACTGTTGGGACTTTAGTAAAGTAAATATAATCGAGAAAAAGAAGTTACTATTTGTGAGTGGATGTCCCAAAACGAGATTAAAGTGTGTTAAACATGCTTTTGTGTGAATGAATGTGTACTTTATTAAAGTTTTGCGTGTTCTCTCAATCGCAATTGGTCAGAGATTTCTTCAAAACTAAGAATTCTATGGTGAGATGATCCATGTGACCACTACACTATAGAACCCGTTGTTAATAGTGTATATCGAAGAACATTGATGTAACTGAAACTCATAACTTTGTAAGCTATATGTAAAAACAAACAAAAATTTGACATAAGACCAAGAACAAATGACAGACTTATTCTAAAATATATCCATTTATGTTCTTAAATATAACATGCATGTATATTATAAGTTCATCGTCTGTAGTTTTTTGCATTATTTTGTACATATGAACAAAGACCTTATGTTACAACAAGCATAATAAACAATATGCACTCCCCAAGTCCCAACTTTCAAGTAATGTCTGAATCCAATAGATATGAGAGAACATATTGTAATCTAATCATTGACCAACCACATTTGCTGATCATCTCAAGACTCAGGCCACAACCGGGTACGATGCACATGTCGCAATACCTACAATCAAAGAAATGATATTCAAAAGAAGGTATTATATGGTAAATATCATATGATAATGTAAAGAACTTACCACACATGTTCTTCCCCATCTCCATCTTGAAGTAACCTTTATCTCCCCAATCCGCTCCCCATGAGTTCTTTATAAGCCAATATGGGACACCGTCTTCAACTCCGTAACCAACCGCCAAAACAGCGTGGTTCACATCCTATTGCCACATACAAGAACCGAACTCAACACTAACCTAAGAGCTTAAGATGATTCCTATTTGCAACAGTTTTAAGAAGGAAGACTCACCATTGGAGTATTTCTACAGTGGCTATCAGTGTAAACTCCGCTCTTGTAAAGCCTGAACGAGTGTATAACTTGGAATGCTATGCTTACAGGCCGTACCAATCCAACCGCATGCTTCAGTTCATCTTCAGCACCCTGTTGTTGTTTCAATCATCATTACAGGATTGCAGAATGTATATTTTTTCCAGAGTAATTGCTGACTGAATCATAATCCACAAAAGATGGTTACCAGAGTAATGTTGACCGAGTCGAGGACTTGTACACCGACGTTTTCCGCTGAATACTTGCATTTTCCATCTTTTCCGGTGTAAGGATAAGCTTCCTCTGTGTCGAGGCCACCGTTGGATTTGATGTATTCAAAGGCTTGGGAAGGAAGGCCACCGTTGCAGCCATAGTTATTGAAAGCTCCTGCACAATCCACAAGCTGTTGCTCAGAGAGAGATATTCCTTTTCCAAATGCCTGATGGTAAGCTGCCTCAAGAGCTCCGGTCGTGCTGCAGTGCAAAGCCGATCATATGTCAAAACAATCTCGACCTTATATTTTACATCAGGAGATCCTTAATTAGTATCTTTATCACAAGTTTTTACCTGAAAGTCCAGCAAGATCCACAACCTCCCTGGTCTTTGACAGGGCTAACAATACCATCTTCCCTCCAGTCTTTCTGCAGTTGCACAATTTAAGGACTCAGAAATCAGAACCAAAAAAAAAAATGGTCTTTAGCTAAAAAAAAGTTTTCTTAAATCTGAAAAACAGGAACGGGATGGTTTAAAGTGCAGCAAGGTTGAGTCTTTGGACTTACCGTTTCGGGAAGAGGTGCTTCCGTGAGTTTGTGGCTGCCCTTTAAAGTGGCAGAGCAGTTTTGAGCAGCACCAAGCTTGCTCCTTTGAAACTCTTGCCAGGTCAAATCAGCAAATTCTGTATGGATTCAAGAGACAGTTCAGAGTTCAGTTGGGTTTATCCTTATCCCCAGATTTCAAACAACCATCGTAACCCCTCGAAGAACCAAGTTCAAACTTTAATCAGGACAGCCAATCTTAAAAGAAGCAGAGCAATAAATGTGATGTTTAATTTTTCAAGCAAGCTAGTCTCACATACTCAATAAACTCTGTAAACTTTAGACCAATAGCAAATTTGAGTCACGAGAATCAAAGTAAAAGCTAAAATCAAAATTTTAAAAATTTCCACGTAGAAGATCCCAGGACGCAGAAAAAGTTAGTCTCCTCGATTCCGGTTTCCCACAACGTTTATGTACTCACATGTCAGTTCTTTTGACTGGTTTTTTTTTTTCACTCAGAGACTTCTTTTAAAACGTCACCCAGATTTAATCAGTCAAAAGAATTCGCCGAAACTAGAACGGAATTACAATTCCAGGAGAAGAAAGATGAACTTACGATTGACACCGAGTTTGTAAGATAAGCCTTTTCTGTTGGTGGATCTAATTAAATCGAGACTCTCCTTGAAAATCGAGAATCGGAGCTTCATCTCCTCCGCGTTCTGATACCTTTTCCCATAGCTTTATCACCACAACAAACGAACAAACGTTTATTCATCAAAAAACCAATAAGCTGGATTAAAAAGTCAACGGCGAAAGAACCAGTGGTGAAAGGATGAGACTTACCGGTGAGCGAAGCGAGCGAAGGAGAGAACGTGGCGGGACTGGCCTAAGATCTGGACAACGGATTCCTCTAGCTCCCGGAGACCGTCGGAGACCATACGGATCGGGTTGGACTCATCGAATCCGATATCCGCCGCCGCCCCCGCCGATGCAGCGATGAGGATCAGCAGAATCACCGATGATAGGATTGTTCTCACAGACATGGCTTTCCTTCTCGTTCTTACTTCTTTTTTAAATCTCTTTGCCAACGCTTCTGCTTCAGTGATTATTATTAGCTCGAGCGATGTGAGAAGGAAGACTAGAAGACGGAAGAGAGATACAGCCGGGAACGTTATCAGGACACGTGGGGGTTTGTGAATGGACAGTAATTGTCCAATATACTTGGAATGTTAACGTGTATGCTGATGTCACAGAACACACCAACAAGAAATCAATCATAGTTTCATGATTTTTTTTTATACGGGGAATTGCAAAATAGCACATGGATTATATGGCTTCTTCACTCCAGAACCCCAACTATTTGTTTTTGTTTCAATAACTCCAACCTTAAACAATGGCGAGTAACCTGCATTATCTCCCCAAAATAATCAAGCTCCAAGACGGCAGATACTTACATTTGAATTACGACGATAAATCTCACACAAAACAGAGCTCGACTTCAGTGTCGCTCTTGTCGTCTCATTCTCAAACGAGGGATACTAGTTCGTGGATTTTGATTGTTTTAAGGATTTTGAGCTTTCTTTATTTGTCCAAAACTCTTTTCTAAGAAAAATATTGGCTGATATATGGTGGATTGTGATAAAAGTTTAATTAAATAACTGAATGAAATATTTTGTTTTAAAATTTTGCAACAAGCGAAAGGTCTACAGATTTTCAAACCCAAAATAAAAAAAATAAAGATAAAACTTAGGAAAAGTGAGCTTGAGTGATCATCTGAATTAGAGAAAGATGAAGATCCTAAAAGTTTACTGAAGGAATTGCTTTTGGTCACTTGTCGCTGCTCTTTACTACTACTCTCAAATCAAAAGTCTTGACCTTGCTAAACCCATTATTCATAGCCCCACGTGGGCTTTTACGACGAGAATTAAAGCAGACTTTGTGGAAATGAATGTTTTCGAGATCCTCCTCCAACGGAGTTTGGATCGACTCCCACGCACCAAAATTTGGCAAAGCTGCTATACACACGAACGATAATGGAGCATCACACACTACGTGCTACGTACTCTACAAGAAGACTACGACTACAAACAAACAAAATGGGTACGTACGTACCTGGTTTATCCACATCTACGCTCTCTGAACCTTGGTCAACCTTTAGTCTCTCGTCCGCCTTCAAGCTTTCATCGATAGCGAGACTATTAATGTTGTATGGCATTTTCTTTTGACTCGACGTGGTTATCCGGTTAATTCCTTCTACCTTAATAGTAAAAATGTATCACACATACAATTTATCGAGATAAACCATTATAGTAAAAAAGTTAAACATTTAAACACACTATGCAAGAAATGCAACTATTTATAATAAAAAAATGTAACCATAAATATTAAAAGGACACAATTTTTCAGATTTTTTTTTTCATATTGTTATTATATTCATATTGTTATATCTATATATAAATAACAATCTAAAAAAATATCAATTGCACTTTGAAAAATTGTGTCCATTCGATTTTTATGGTTACATCTTTTCATTATAAATAGTTGCATCTTTTCATTATAAATAGTTGCATTTTTTTATTCTAAATAGTTACGTTCTTTCATCGCAACTGTAGTTCGTGTCTTTTCAAAATTATTTATATTGCTCAAAACCATATAGAAAAAATTATTAAGATCTATGTTTTACTTTTTTACTATAATGATTTATCTCCATCAATAATTCGATAAAATGTATGTGTGATACTTTTTTACTATCAAGATAGAAGGAATTCACCAGATAACCATCACGAACGTCGAGTCAAGCAGCATTAAACATGTTCTTCAAAGCAAAGCGTAAGATCGTAAACCAAGACATGCTCTATCTATCAGCCAAAGTCCCAAGAGGCTTATTATTGATTGAACTAACGGCCACAGTTGTTTAACCCGGTCTGAAATGTGCGGTCAAGACTGCAACCATGATATCGCTCATTGTTCTTTGAAGCCGTCGAGATTCTCTTCAAATCTTGATTTCGATTTTTTTTACATTGTCAAAAGGTAACCAAATGATTCCAATTTATATCATTTTTTTAGTGTGTGTAATAAGTGATTGCTCCTTTTGTTTTTGTTTTCCCTCGGTTTGGGTACCTATTGTCATTCTAATTTTTGTATTTGGACCTCCGTTCTGATTTACAAGTGTGATGATGAATTGATGATGACTTATTACCAGCATATTCTTTAGTGTTTAGTGACCGACATGATAGTATGATACCAAAAAGTTCCCCAAAATGATATTCGTACATGTAAACTAAAATTAGTGTTTGAAAAATTCGGTACTTTCTTCGCAACAAATATTCGTAGATGGATGCATATAGACACTGGGGACTGGGCATGTCGTGATTGCCGACGTAACGTATCTTAGTATAGCTTTATTGAAATTAATCTTCTTGATATTGTTGATTTGAGGGAGGGATTCGGTGATCTAAGTCAGCGCAAATGCAAGGAACATATTTTTGTATCTACTAAAAACCAGATTAAATTTCAAATTTCAAATTGAGCAAGTAATAGTGTGAGATTGAAGTAATGCCACCGAAAATAAAGGTTTAGTCAGACGCTATTCACCATCACAAAAAGGATAATATGAAATATTAAAATATACAATAAGTCTGTTTGCTAAGCTTTCTTAAGGTTAGGATATTGACCAAATTGTTTTGTTTTATTTCTTTTTGGTATCTTATACAGAAAATCATATATATGGACTATATATATAAAGTAACATCTAGATTATTGACAACTTCGTTTCATAAAACTACTCTCAGTAACCGTTATTTATATAACGATCATATGTTATTTGATAACATTGAAAAGAAATACGAATGATAAACTGTAAAATAATGGGTTTATTATTACAATAAACTGTGAAATCATGAAAGTTTTTTATATCAGCATTATTTTCTATGAAATATAATTTAATAATTTAAAGGTTGTGTTTTAATAGATTGTATGATTTCAAAATTTGTGTTTGCATCTTTTCAATATAAATAATTGTGTTTTTTCATTATTAATGGTTCTATTTTTTATCACAAATAATTTGTGTCTTTTCAAATTATTTATATTATTCAAACCACATAAAAAATCATTCCATCTATAATAATAATCTGAATAAATGTCACTAGCACTTTAAAAAAGTTGTGTCGTTTCAAAATTTGTGGTTGCATTATCTTTTCATTATAAATAGTTATGTTTTTCATTACAACGGTTATTTGTGTCTTTTCAAAACTATTTATACTGTTCAAAACTAATTTTTTAAAAAAACAATGGGTGCATGTGCACCCCCTCTCATTTCACTACCTTCGATAAATTAACTGAATTAATTCAGAAATTTCTTGATTTTAACCAATTTAAATCTAATTTTAACCGAAAACTTAGAAAAATCGATTAGTGTGGGTGAGAAAATTAAACCCAAACAACCTGGTACCCAATTCTAACAGAAATTTATTTCAGTTATGTGTGGTAGAATTTTATCGAACTGAACTATTAGACTAACAGAACTATCCAAAATCTCAGGCTCACTACCTTTTTATAAGCAAACATATCCATCAAAATATTCACACATATGTATATATATATATTATTTTGTGTATGCATATTAGAATTTCAATCCTAATATTTAACTATAAAAGATATCATTAAGTTTTATTTCAAAGAATTATCTCTCAAAATTTCATTTATTGAGCATTTTAAGCATACATGATACATAAAACATAGTTTTAACTAATACTTTTAATGATGATTTTCAAAACATGATCAAGGACATTTCTGTCCGCCTTTAGAGTTTTTTAAATCGCGATAGCAAGGACATTCATCTGTGTTTCCAAAAGTGCCAGAGGGAACACAATAATTACACTCCTCACAACATATGTTGCAAAACCTGAGACAATATTTTTGTCGTGATGCCTTTGAGCATCTCACATTGCACTTTTCACCACATGCTGTATATTCATTTACCATCACATTTAACGTTAAAATTATAAACGATAAGATCCACATGATAAATTATTTGAAGTAATATTAAGTAAATCAAATATACTTACGTGAATCAGCGGTTGAAAATATGCAAAATGAAGACGTGAGAAGAAAAAATATAATGGAGAATTGTACTACAGCGAGTTTCATCTTTGTTTTTGGTTGAACTTTGAAAGTTTTATTTATTTTTTTGATTTAGATTGTTACCTAAGAAAGATAAGGAAAAATGTGGTGATTACTTAGGAGATGATAAAACTATGGCTAGAGAGTTGATTATTTATACTAAAAAAATTGAAATGAAATTTGTGTTATCTTTTTTTTTCTTAATTCAAATAAAGAATCTTTAAATAAAGATTTATTTCTTATTATGATGGACTATTTACAGTTAATTATAGCTCATATATGAAAAAAATAATTTAAAAATAAAGATTTCTTTCTTATTTATATCACACTTTAAATAGGAGTTTATGAATTGTATATATGTATTCTTACAACACATATATTCTTATCCTAACATGACAGGTTATAACAAAATATCTAAATTAGTATGACACTAAAAGTTTTAAACTTTTATAATTAATTAAATTTTATTCCAAATCTTACTTTTTAAAATTAATAAGATAATAAAACAGGATTACATGTGACCAGGGGCAGACACAGAAAATAATTTTATATGGGGCACAATTTATTTAAATACTATATATAAATAATTAATATAAATTGTAATCATTAAAAAAATAGTAAACACATTATTAAAGTTTAATATTTTAATTTTTAAAATTTTAAATTTGAACTAAATTAAAAACTATATTTTTATTTTTGGTAAAAACTAACATAATTGTATATTTTACATAATAATTGTTTTTAAGTAAACAATATTTTTGTTTTAAAGATTATTATATATATATATATATTAAAAAATAATTAAAAAGTATTAAAAATAATTTGTAAATCTAACTAAAATAATCATAATGAAAGCACTGTGTATTACATGAGGAACAAGAATAATTGTTTTCTAGTAGAGAAAGAAAGTAAAAAAAAAACAGAAAAAAATAATAAGTAATAGATATATGGGTCGAACTCTGGTTGAGAAATATTAAAGTGTACCAGAAAAACCAACTCATCTACATACATTTTATATATTCATTGTAACAAACAATTTTAAATATTTAGTATGAAGCACATGCCCCACTATTTATAACGTGGGTCTGCTCCTGCATGTGACGTGTATTCCAACTATTACAGCCAACACTGCAACTTGAGCTGGTAAACCATAAAATGAAAATAAGCTTAGAAGAACTTTGGGATTGACTAGTAAATCAATTGAATAGCAGAATAGTAATATAGCTCAATTGTAAAATAACAAAAACAATAAGATGAAAAAATTTAAAACTAAATAAAGTAGTGAAACCAATAAGATGTAAAAACTGAAAACTAATTAAATTTAGAATGTCAGAAAGCTATAATTTATTTGATGAATAGCTTTTTTTTTGTCTATGCTAGTATAGATAAGAGAATTATTAAAAAAAGCTCGTCTCGTTAATAGCTTCATGGGTACACAAAAACATGGGCCAAACAAGGAAACCCTTGTGTGAACTTTTTATCTCTACTATACACATTTAACGCCGTTAGATCTTACGTTCATCCTTTTAACGGCCGCCTCGTCTTGTTCCTCTTTCTAAAGCAGCAAAACCCTACCCCGTCTCGCTCGACTCGCACATCTTCTTTCTGCGCCTCTTCTCTTTCCAATCTCCTCCGGCGAAGCTGAAATTTGCTTAGATCATTTAAATCTCTAGCAGAAGATTGCACATGGCAAGAGGTAACACTGGGACGAGGCGCATAAGGCCGAACATACTGATTACGGGGACTCCAGGTACCGGTAAATCCACGACGGCTGCTGCTCTGGCCGAGGCGACGAATTTCCGTCATATCTGCGTCGGAGATCTCGTCAAAGAGAAAAACTTGCACGATGGCTGGGACGATAAGTTCGAGTCTTACATCCTCAACGAAGACCTGGTTTGTTTTTATACTCGGAACCAAAAATCCTTAATTTCTAATTTCTTTCTATCATCAGTTTCTTGCTTCTTTGTGTTGAATTTTCTTGAGAAAGCCGTTTTCAACTTAGGTCATGAGGAAAGCTTAACTCTTTTAATCAGACAAATAGGCGTGTTCAATTCCAATTCATGACCAGACCGTACTGTTCCTGAATCTTAATGTTACTTTGAAATATCTTGTCACTCAGACATTGTCGTAGTTAGAAGTTGATGCCTGAAGCTGCATGGTTTTTTGTTAATTACAGAGGACATTGTTGATTGAATCTTTTTTTGATAACTTGTTATTGATCATTCAAATCATTAGCTCGCATGAGAAGATTCTTGTCCTAGCTAATATAATGTATTTTAAACTTTGATCAGGTGTGTGATGAGCTTGAAGATGTAATGGTAGCAGGAGGAAACATTGTGGACTACCACGGCTGCGACTTTTTCCCCGAGCGATGGTTTGATGGTGTTGTGGTGCTTCAGACTGAGAACTCCATCTTGTATGACCGTTTAACTAAGAGGTCAGAGGATCGAATCTCTCTCTCTCTTTTCCTTTCTCCCATCAGTAAGTTCTTTTGCTTCAACAGGTTCTGATTTTGTTCTGTAATAACCAAAGCAGGGGTTATTCCGGAACCAAGCTTAGTAACAACCTTGAGTGCGAAATCTTCGGAATCCTGCTCGAAGAAGCCAAAGAGAGTTACAAAGAGCATATTGTCACCTCGCTTCAAAGCGACACAATCGAAGATATCTCTACCAATGTCGCAAGGTTGACGGAATGGATTGGAGCATGGCGGTCCTGAGAATCCATCATCATCACATCGGAATCTGATGAACAAAATGCATCTTTTAATAATAATGGTTACAAGTTTTGAGCTTTTGGTATTTTCGTTTTAAAGGAGTCTGAATCCATATTAGTTGCCGTTTATTTACCTAGATTCTGAAGCCACAATTCAGCTATTGCGACCAGCTTATGTATGTTGCCTTTGATACTTGATTAAAAAAAAAAAGTTTTCATCTTTTCGTATCATTTTTGCGCAAAGTTTCAAATGTGAAAACCTGATAAATCATGATCAAGAAACATAATCTGCATCATACTCAGCCTTCATGGTCAATGTTGGTATAAGTCATTAGTGCGTAAGCCAATTTAATCACATCACGGAGCTCAAAAGTTCAAATAAACCGTGAGACAAGTAAAGGTACGATTAAACTTGAAGAAGAAAAGTGTGTCTCTTCTCTTATAATCTTCGTTGTCCTCATTATTTCTGAGAATTTCGATTTTAAGTTTAGCAATTGGATCCTATATTGATAGCAATTGGATCCTTGATTGATAGCAATTGGGGAATATAATTTGGCAAAGTTTGCAACTTTCGACTTTAAACGGCGTGCCTATAAGGTGTTCGACTCAATGACTCAATGAGAACAAGTGCCACTAAAGAAGGGAGAAGTAAGTACCTGAAGCCTGAAGGTTTTGTTGTTTGGTTTGATCAGGTGAAGCAATGCTGGCAAAGACATTTCTTTCGAGACATGTCCTTGCTTCGAGGTGTTTCTCATCAGTTACTTCAAAGACACTTCAAATTGGAGATGCATTAAGAGAAACAAGAGTCTTCTCAAGTGAAGATGTTAAAGCTTATGCTGAGGTGAGCCATGATTGGAACCCACTCCATTTCGACCAAGAAGTTGCTCGTAAAGCCGGATTCGAGAATCGCCTTGTCCATGGGATGCTCGTCTCTTCTATGTTTCCCCGTATCATCTCTACCCATTTCGTAAGTTTCTCTTACTTACTTGTCCTAATGCCTGATTATACAGATTTACAGAAACATGATGTGAATCTTTTTGGTTCGTGTTGCAGCCTGGAGCAGTATATGTATCTCAAACTCTGCAGTTTCGATCACCGGTTTACATAGGGGATGAAGTTCTCGCATTGGTTCAAGCCACAGCTTTGAGAGAAAGCAAGAATAAGTTCATGTAACCTAATTTAGACCCATTAAAATAACAAACATTTCGTATTTTTATATATTCTCTGTTATAACTAGATCTTCATTTCGTTTTGTTAAGTGTCAAATTCTCAACCAAATGCTTCAAGAAGAATCACGGTGAAGTTGTTGTTCTTGATGGTGAAGCTACTGCAATTTTACCGAACCTCGAGATGCTACAGCCAAGTCCTTCGGAATGACCAGGAAACAGATCCGACATATGTAAGTCCAACGAAATTTTTTTAAATCTTTTTTCATAATTGTTTATCACTTCATTGCCGTGATATTGTTTTGATTTTCAAGATTCTGTTGGTATTTAAAATTTGAAGGAAAAAAAGAAGTTATTTGACTTTGGAGATAAAATCTAAACTAAGCACCCGTAATTTCTCTAACAGCATCTTAATATTATTTAACTTCAAAAGATCACAACTTTTTCTCTGAGAGTAAAACAAGAGAGAGCAAATATGGAAAACAGAGGTTTCTCTTTCAGATCAATCCTCGTCCACTCTCTGTGGACCACTCTCGCAGGAATCCTCTTCTTCACTCTCTCCACCACGAAAAGACACAACTTTGGTTATTCCAAATTCTTTTCTGTACTCGGAACGTTACTCATATCCTTACCTTGGATTATCCAACTTCTTGTCACTTCTGCTGTCATATTACTGCATAAGACCAGAGGTTACAACCTCATGTGGATTGTTCGGTCACCGAAACCCAAAGAGAATCATCATCTCACAAATGTCGTCACTATTTCTTCTTCATCATCTCCACTTTCGTCTCGCCAGGTTCTGAAGAAAACCGATACGGATGAGATCGAGATTAGGATTGTGATTGCTGCTGATGGTCCAAGAAGTCCAAAGGTTGGATCCTCTGCAACTTCTTTGGAGAATGAAGGCAAAAATAACACCAAACTTCTTACAAATGGTTCACCTGCTGCTTAAATTCGACTCTGTTCTTGTCCTGTTTTATTTATGTTCTTTCATTTCTGCTGTCATTAAAGACTATGGGTCTGAAACTTGTTGAGCTTACAAGTTTTGTGAGATTGTCGTTGTAAGTTTCATTAGTAATGAATCTAATTACTATTATATGACCACCTTCTATACTACTTCAATCACAGATTCACATTTAAATCTCTATTAACAAATCGAGAATGTAGCTAAACCGATATACACACGCACACACACACACTCACTGATTACAGAGAGAGATCTCTGTATTGGTGATAAGATCTTCTTTGTCTGAGACCATAGTATATTGAAGAACTAAGAAAGTTCTTGAATTTTTTACCTTCCATCTCCGTATGTGATTGTGTGAGTAACAAACATGGAGTTGTGAGGTGAAGGAGGAGAGGCTGATGGTTCTAAAGAGCTTCTTGAAGTGAAGGCCGTTTCTAGCAAAACCGGAGAAGAAACTCCAATTCCTGGAGAATCTGGTGAGAAATCTGGCAATGGGAGATTCTGGTTTATGTATTGTACCACATGTTCCATGGAAGGTCTTGATTCCGCCACAATGTTTGTGCAGAGCAGTCCGAGTTTCAGAACCATATCGATCTCTTCTTCTGAGTATTCAAGTCCCAATCTTGTATCTACAGCATCAACCAAAGAATCCTTTCTCCAGCAATCACAAACCCATTTGATCAAATGCCGTTTCTCAGCCGGAATCTTGGGATCTAATGGTCTTCTTCCACAGATTACTTCAAGCATGAAAGCACCAAACGCATAGACATCGGTTCTTGTAGAAGTTCTCATTGTTGTTAGCTCAGGTGCCATGTAACCCATTGTTCCTACAGCTGCCGTTGCGGGCAAGCTATCTCCGTAATCTTCAAACCTCGCCATTCCAAAATCTCCCAACCTTCCATTGAAGTCAGAGTCTAACATGACGTTAGAGGCTTTGATATCTCTGTGTAACACTACCTGGTTAGCTCCTGTGTGCAGATAATGCAGAGCAGAGGCAATATCTTTCAAAACGGCAAACCTTTGCGGCCAAGAAAGAGCTGGTTTTTTTCTGTGGAACAAGTATTGATCAAGACTGCCATTAGACATGTACTCAGAGACAAGAAGAAGCTCTCCTTTCCTCCTGCAATATCCGAGAAGAGGAACTAAGTTCCGGTGTTTTAAACTTCCCATAGTCACTACTTCAGCCACAAACTGTTTCATGCCTTGCTTTGCGTCATGGCACACTCTCTTTACCGCAATAGCTCCAACGTGAGGTAAGTTTCCTCTGTATACTTCTCCAAAACCTCCTTTCCCTAAACGACCATCTCTGTCAAAACCTTTTGTTGCTTTGTACAGAGATTTATAAGAAAACCGGTGTGGACCGTATTCTTTTTCCCATGCTTCTCTAACTTCTGCATACTTCTTTCTCCTGTATAAGTAAATTCCTCCAAGAGCCACCAACATTATGAGTAATAATAACAAGAGTAAAACTACAAGCAATGGAGAAGCTTGCTCCTTCTTGGCTCTTGGATGAGGAATCTGAGGAAGTTTTGAGAAGTCCAGACTCTGTAACATCACTCTGCTTCTGCTGAAACTCCATCCTAAGATATATTGGTAACTGATAAGCGATCCTGTTGCTGCAGAGAATCCGAAAAACAGTCGTCGATCCGGGAAGATCTCAGTAAGATTGATGGATCTTGACAATAGAGGATGGTAAGGCTTCTGGATTCTTAGAGGAGCCACTGTGACATTGAGTAAACTTCCTCCATAATCCACCCATACCTGTAAAGGCTCTCCACTTAAGAGCTTTATGCTTTGTTTCTTCCCTTTGGTGTTTGAAAAGTAAGAAGCTGAAGCAGACTCTACAGAATTCAGGCTGTTGATGTCTATACCTACATGATTCTTGTCGATGTCATCAAACTCTGCGCTTTGGACAGTATCGAGCTCAATAGCTAGAAGCTGAGAAGATGGAGATCCGTTTGTTGAGATGTTGAAAAGTCCCAAGTACTGAGTTGGATCTGCTTGAGTGAAATCTACGGAAGAAGATACAACAAAGGCAATTCCATGGCCACCATCAGCTCCCGGTTTAGGCACAAGCGCGCACACAAAATGAGTCGAGAAAGAGAATTTCTTATCAGATGGATCAAACTCGAATGGCTTCTTGAAGAAAGCATGACCCATTTGCTGCGTCGAAGCGTTGGTTAGCTGCAACAATCCACCTGGCAATAGGATTTTTGCAGCTCCATCTAGATGAAGATCAGCTTGCGCTTGGCTAAAGTCATTGTAGATGAAACCTGCTCCTTCTTGTTGACTTAACAAGAAAATCAGATGATTGAAGAAGATCAAGAAGAACAGATGCAATCCTTGAGCAGCCATTGCTAATGAAACAGAGATAGATCTTTGGTTTGAATAGTATGTTTGAATTTCAGATAAAAACTTCTTTCAAGACATGAATTCAACGACAAGCTTCTGCATTCTAGGTTCAATTCTCTTTAGGAAATTTGTTTCATATGGGCATCTCATGAGTTGAATTTACGAAATGAAATGTATTTTAAATGTAACCATGACAGTTACCTTCAACCTTTATTTTATGTTGTTATTCATACAATAATTTTATGGTCTCTTGTCTGGTTCTAACAATGTCTGAACTCAAATGACATTATACACACATGGCTTAGAGAAAAACCAATATATCATATTAATTAAAGTATAAGCTTTATGCCAACCAAACCAAAAACTATTAATCTTAGCATTATGAAAGGAAAGGGATTGATATAAAAGAAAAAGCATTTTATCAGTTGGCATACTCTTCTTTATTTGTTAGCATTTCATCACTTGGCACGTTCTTGTTTATATGCTTGTTTCCTCTCACATTTTTCATGTTTTCTTGGTTTCGTATTTGCTTTTATTTATTTATTTTTTAATTTTAAAAGATAGGACAGCAAAAATATGTATAACAAATATTGGTTATATACACCTTTTCAGATTTGTTGGATGGTGTATTGGTGTTAATATCTTCGTTCACAGGGTCATCGTTTCCAACTAAGAAACTATTAAAACTTACGTATTTGTACTAATAGCTTTAAAATACAGTCTTGTAAATGGATGTTGATTACTTGAGATATCATATCTTTTTAAATACGAGGAAAACGTCTAAAACATTTTTTTTTTCAAAAACAGAGGGAGTATTAACAATTTAACATATTTTATCATTCAGGACCGGCGTAATTATGGAGTAAAAAATATTATCCCAAAAGTCAACTGTTTTGGAGTAATTTTTTGTTTTATTTTTATATTATTTGATGTGTTCCATGCCAGGATGGAAACCATTTTCCAGTTTTACCTATTCAATTATTTTGCAGTTTTTTTTAATATATGCGTATTTTAACAAACACGTTTTATAAAAACGAATCGAGATCTGCGATGATCGATAAAATGGCATAGTTTTGTCTTAAATGGTTGGAATTTTTTAATCGAACGTGTACCCCTACTAGGAACAGAAGAAGCCACGACTTGTCTTCAGTGATCCAATAAATCCGTGCACGTTATCAAAAAGGTCAATCATTTACGTCAACACGCTAATTGATTTGTTGCCTACATATATTGCTTTCTTCAAAAGCTAGTTCTTCACTCGAAAAGATACCGTAAAATGACAGAGATAATGTCAGTCTTTCTCTGGTTCCTCAGCTTCTTGGCCATTTTCATAGTTTCCTCCATCATCATCTCAAGAAAGCCCTCAAAGTGGAAACATCTTCCGAGCCCATCAAGTTTCCCAATCATTGGAAGCTTGCACCATATCGGTGGTTTGCCTCATAGAAGCATCCACAAGCTCTGCGCCAGATACGGACCAGTGATGCTTCTTCGTCTCGGGAGTGTTCCAGTGGTTGTGATCTCCTCAAGCGAAGCAGCTGAAGAAGTGCTCAAAACCCATGACGTAGAATGCTCCAATCGTTTTCGTACGGCCGGGAGCGAAACAATGTCCTACGGTTTTAAAGACATCACTTTTGGTCAGTACGGTGAGTACTGGAGAGAGATGAGGAAAGTCGCCGTCATCGAGCTTTTCAGCCTTAAAAAAGTACAATCTTTCAAGCCTGTAAGAGAGCAAGAGGTCCAACTCATGGTGAAGAAAGTGTCGGATTCGGCCTTGACACAATCTCCTGTGGATCTAAGCAAAACCTTTTTCTCTCTTACCGCGAGCATCACTTGTAGAGTAGCCATGGGACATAACTTCCACGACAGTGAGTTCATCGATCAGGAGACGATCGAAGAGCTGGTTACGGAAGCAGCGGATGCTATGGGGAATCTCACTTTCACTGACTTGTTCCCCAATGTATTCGGAAGATCCATGGATTGGTTGCTTGGTAAACACAAGAAGTTGAACAAAGTCTTTAAGGACCTTGATGGTATTTATCAGCGTGTAATCGATGATCACTTGAAGGAATCACCGGAAAGTAAATCTTCGGATCATCCAACGGATATTGTCGCCGTAATGCTGGATATAATCAAGAAACAAGGAACTGATGATTATTTCAAGCTCAATAACGTAAACATCAAGGCAGTGCTCGCGGTAAAGCTCTATACCTAAAAATTGATCTATTTATTTTGAGCCCTAATAGTTTCAAACATATTGAATTTGTTTGTGTTCAGGATATATTTCTCGCTGGGATAGATACAGGTGCCGTAGCGTTGATCTGGACGATGACAGAGCTCTTTAGGAGTCCGAGAGTGATGAAGAAAGTACAAGAAGAGATCCGAACCACACTCGGAACCGGAAAGAAGAAAATCACCGAAGAAGACCTCAACAAAGTTGATTATTTACAACACATAATCAAAGAAACATTCAGGCTGCACCCACCAGTTCCACTTGTGATTAGAAAAACAAGCGCACACATCAAGATCCAAGGCTACGACATTCCCGCAAAAACACCCCTTCAAATCAACATGTGGACGATCGGGCGTGACCCGAAGCGCTGGACCGACCCTGAAGATTTCATCCCTGAACGGTTTATCAATTCTTCTATAGATTTTAGAGGGCAGAACTTTAATCTATTACCGTTTGGCTCTGGTCGAAGGATGTGTCCGGCGCTTCCGATGGCGGTTGCTTCTATGGAACTGGCACTGTTGAATTTGCTTTACTTCTTCGACTGGAGATTGCCTGATGGGATGAGAACTGAAGACTTTGATATGGAGGAAGTTGGTACTCTCACCGTAGTCAAGAAAGTACCTCTCGTGCTTGTTCCCGTGTCTCAACGGCAATGATGACAACGATTTTCAAAGCTATTTAACTTTCTAGTCTTTTTTCAGTTTTTTTTTTCTGGATTTTTTTCAGGTTTTTCTTTTTAGTGTATAATATTTATCTATAATAATAATACAAATAAATGACACTTGTACTTTAATAAGTTGTGTCGTTTCAAATCTTTACATTATAAGTGGTTGTATCTTTTTATCACAACTATAATTCTCGTCTTTTCATAATTATTTTATTGTTCAAAACCACGTAAAAAAATCATTTGAATCTGATTTTTACTTTTTTTTAATATAAGTATGGTTTTCTATAAATAAAAAAGAAAAAAATAATAAAAAATTTAATATATAATCGGTTTTCAACAATGCTAATCAAAACTCACTATCAAGTCTGATATTATTTATTAACATATTTTAAGTTTTAAACATATTATTTACTTTCTATTATTTGTTATTTGGTCATCTATTTTATATAATCAAAAGAATTTAGAAACAAATTGAAAATTTATGAAGAAAATTGATAGTATATTAATAAAGATAAAATAAAAATTTATAATATTATAAATATATACATAATAAAATATATTATTATATAATAGATTTATAAAAATATAGATCAGATTGGATATCCGATATCGTCTAAAAATATATTTGTGATTTACTCCGTTTTGTATGGTTACTATTTACTTTATTCCGAAACTTAATGAATATCTGAAGTTTTTAAATCGAATCGAAGTGAATACCATTTTGAAGCGGATCTAAACAGATATTTTGTCTAGCTCGAGTGTGAGAAGGCACAAGACTTGATGATTTATTTATATATATTAAAAAAAGAATACTGGTACAATGTATAGCAATCAAGCTTAGCTGTATTTATATTATATTTTAAGAAACTGACTTTTTATAATGACCCATATTTAAACAAAGACTTATTGTAAATATTGCAATAAATAAAAGTTGGTGGGAGGGCTGTCGGTAATTTTTTTTAATATTCTATACGAAATGATTGATTGGCTCCATATATAATGCAGAGGAGGAGAAAGAGAAGAAGAGTAGCACAACCAACTACCAAAATCAGCCACATGAATTGGATGGGCGTATTTAACGAGGTGGAAATAAATGGAAGCCCAACTTTCGTTCTCACAACATCCCAAATACACAGTTCAAACTCCTCCGACGAAGCAGCCATCGATTCCGGTGTTGAACCTCTTTTCTTATGCCCGTTGAGACGTTTTCATTCGGAACAAGATAGAAAAGAGAACAGCGAGAGACTGAGAGACGGTGATAGGTTTGTCCCGTTCCATGATTCCCCTCACTTTCCCTACAGAGCTCAGCAAGACGAGCCTTTGCCTGATGGATCCAAATGGTACGAGCAAAGTTGTAAGCTTCCTGTAATCCCTCTGTATTGGTGCAACAATAAAGAACTTGAAGATGAACAGATCTGTATGTGTGGAAACTTAACTGTCGGCACAGACTATTATTTCTGCCTTGGGTGTGATAAAAGATACCACAAAGAATGTGTTGAATCTCCACTTGAAATCAAACATCCTTTCCACCCAAGACACTCTCTCCAACTTTTCATGTCCACTTCTGATTGTAATATGTGTTGTGACCGTTGTGGAATATTTCTACTTTTATCGTGTTACCGTTGTACTAGCTGCAATTTTACTTTGCACCCATTGTGTGCTATGAAGCCGATACCCATTGTTAAAAACCACCCAAAGAGGCATCCCCATCCTCTCACCTTTTTTCCTAGACAAGATTCCTTAAGTTGCAATGTTTGTGGCGTGATAAAAAAGTTTCCCACGTATATCTGTGTTCGATGCGACTTCGTAGTCCATCGAGACTGTATTAATTTCCCATATGTCATAAAGATATCCCGTCACCTCCATCGTGTTGCTTTCACCTCTTCTCTTCCATCCGGGGGATGGTCTTGCGGAGTGTGTCGTCGAAAGATTGACAACCATTATGGTGCGTACACTTGTCAACAGTGTAATAACTATTTTGTTCATACAAGATGTGCTTTGCGGGAAGACGTGTGGGATGGAGAAGAACTCGAAGGAGTACCTGAAGAACTCGATGTAGTTGTTGAGCCATTCGAGACGATAGCTGATGGAATAATACTCCATTTTACTCATGGCCATCATATGCGACTCGAGATGAGTTTAACGTACGACCACACAAGAGTTTGTCAAGCATGTGTCCTTCCGATCTACGAGGGTCTTTTCTATGCATGCATGGATCAGTGTGACTTTATCCTCCATGATTCATGCGCAAATGCTCCTCGGAGGATACAACATGCGTTACATCCCTATCCAGTTACGCTAAAGGCTGTGGGCAGTGAACATGGTAGTGGTCAGTTTCACTGTAGCGCTTGTTCGCAGCGTGGTTGTGGTTTTGCTTATGAGCGTTTCGACGGCTTCATACTAGACGTAACGTGTGCCTCGGTTTCTGAGCCTTTTCATTATCAAGGCCATGAGCATCTTTTATTCCTAGCTTTAGATCCAGAAGAGAAGCCAAAATGCCACGTGTGCAAATCGGAGCCAAAAGGCAACGTACTAAACTGCATCGAATGTGATTTTGTGCTATGTTTCATGTGCGCTACCTTACCATACAAGGTAAAGTGTAAGCATGATAAACATTACCTCACATTTCGGTATTGGGAAGAGGCAAGTGACTCAGATTGGTGTGAGATATGCGAAGGGAAATTAATACTTGAAGCACAAGATTTGTACTATGATGGGCCATACGCCAATGAAGGAACGACATGGTTCTATGAGTGCACTGAGTGTTGCACCACGCTTCATATTCGTTGCTTACTTGGGAAGCACAGATATATGAAGCCTGGTCAGACTATCACAGTGTATAGGAAAACCTCCATGATGTTCATGGGGAAGAAGTTAATCTGTCATATTCTTCACAACGATTCTAATTCTCGGCCAATTTGCAGTGGAAGAGAATGCAGCCGCCGTTGTCCATTCAATAGTGTTTACAAAGTTGATGCTGAAATCTTTTGTTCTTTGGATTGTGCCACTGCGTTAAGGAATGACTGATGAGTGAGCAACCCAAACGAAGTTACTCATTTACATTTAACAGTTGTTGTTATTTATGTTTCTGCTTTCAGTTTGTTTCTTTTAATTTTTGGCCGGTTAGGCTCACGGTTGTGGTTTTTTTTTTTTTTTCATGCTGACTTTGAAATTTCTTTGTTTAGAATCCCCTTTTATGTATGATGCTATTTGTAGCTTTAGAATTCAGTTGCATACAAATAGTTTTGACACAAAGTTAACCCCCTTGTCCCTTGATTATGTTCTGATCTAGAGATCTATTCTTAATTAGCAAATTCATTCACTACAAGAAAACATGTTTACTATAGACGAATTTGTTCTCTCTCCACCAGGAAAAGACACAATTTTGGTTACACCAAATTCTTTTCAATATTCGAAACATTACTCATAACTTTACCTTGGATTATACAACTTCTTGTCACTTCTTTGGAGAACGAAGGCAAAAATAACACCAAACTTCTCACAAATGGTTCACCTGTTGCTTAAATTCGACTCTGTTCTTGTTCTGTTTTTTTTTTTTTTAATGTTCTTTCACTTCTGCTGTCATTAAAGACTATAGTCTGAAACTTGTAGTGCTAACAAGTTTTGTGAGGTTTACGTTGTAAGTTTCATTAGTAATGAATTGATTACTACTATATAAACTTCTTTTCTGTTTCAATCACAGATTCACATTTAAGTCTCTTTTAACAAATCGAGAATGTAGCTAAACCGATATATACACACCCACACACACTGATTACAGTGAGATAATTATGTATTGGTGATAAGATCTTCTTTGTCTGAGACCATTTTTATAATGAATTTAAACACAGATATACGAGCGAACATGATACAGGCGTCGGGTAGTTTTGCTCGTTAGATCCGCGGCTGATCCGGATCGAAACATCTAAAAAGTAATTAAAAAGTTCAAATTGTCATACAATTAAAATCTAAAAAACTCTATTTTTTTCCCCGCCATGTGAAGGCAAGAGACTTGATGATGATTCTTAAATATAAGAAAAAAGAATACTAATCGGAAAACAAATTTAGCTGTTTTTTTATTTATTTTAAGAAACTAACTTTTAATAATTTACTTCCTCCATTTCAAAATAAGTGTTATTATAAGGTTTATTTTTATTTCATAAAAACTGTCATTTTACATTTCAATGCATAATTTTAAATAAATATTCAGTTTTAACCTTTAAATTTTATTATTTTAATTAGAAAATAATGTTATTTTGTGTATAAATAATGAGTAAAACAGAATTTTTAATATTTTTTTAATTTATGCAAAAAATATCCATTTATTTTGAAACGGAATGACTATTATATTAAACAAAAGCTTAGCTGTCTTGTTTTCTTTTTTTTTAATGTTCTATACGAAATGATTGATTGGCTCTACATATAATGCAAATGAGGAGAAGAGAGAAGAAGAAGTAGCCCAACAACCACCAAAAAATCGCCGGTGTAACAGCCATGGATTCCATAGGCGTATTTAACGAGGTAGAAATCAATGGAAACCCGACTTTCGTATTCACAACATCCCAACAAATACACAGTCCAGACTCCTCCGGTGGATGCGACCTCCCTCTTCAACCTCTTTTTCTATGCCCATTGACACGCTTTGCTTTGGTAGAAAGAAGAAAAGAAAACATAGAGAGGTTCAGAAACGACGACACGTTTGTCCCGGTCTACGATTCCCCTCACTTTCCCGACAGCAGAGGTCAGCTAGACCTAGTCGAGTCTTTGCCTTCTGAATCCGGACGGAACGAGCCAATTTGTAAGCTTCCCGTAATCCCTCTGTATTGGTGCAACAATGATGAACCTAGTAAAGAAATCATCTGTATATGTGGAAACTCAAATGTCGGCACAGATTATTATTTCTGCCTAGAGTGTGATCTGCCGATATACCACAAAGAGTGTGTTGAGTCTCCACTTGTAATCAAACATCCTTTCCACCCAAGGCACTCTCTCCAACTTTTCATGGCTCCTCATGGATGCAATGTGAGTTGTCTCCTTTGTGGAACAGATATATCCTTTCTATATATGTTACAATTGCACTAGCTGCGATTTTAGTTTGCACCCAGCTTGTGCTATGAAACCGCTATCCATCGTTAGAAACCACCCAAAAAGGCATCCTCATCCTCTCACTTTTTTCCCTAGACAAGATTCCTTGAGCTGCAATGTTTGTGGCGTGATTAAAAAATTAAATCCCACCTATGTATGTGTTCGATGTGACTTCGTAGTCCATCAACAGTGTATTTCTTTCCCGTATGTCATTAAAATATCCCGTCACCCCCATCGTGTTGCTTTTACCTATTCTCTCCCGTCCGGTGAATGGTCTTGCGGAGTCTGTCGTCGAGAGGTTGAGAATCACTATGGTGCATACGCTTGCCAGCAGTGTGACAGCTATTTTGTTCACACAAGATGTGCGTTGCGGGGAGATGTGTGGGATGGTCAAGAACTCGAAGGAGTGCCTGAAGAACCCGACGTAGTTGCTGAGCCATTTGAGACGATAGCTGATGGAGTAATACTCCATTTTACTCATGGCCATCATATGCGACTCGAGATGAGTTTGATTTACGACCACACAAGAGTTTGCCAAGCATGTGTCCTTCCGATCTACGAGGGTGGTTTCTATGCATGCATGGATCAGTGTGACTTTATCCTCCACGATGCATGTGCAAATGCTCCCCGGAGGATACATAATGCGTTACATCCCCATCCACTTACGCTCAAGGCCGTCGTCACCAATGGTCAGTTTCATTGTAAAGCTTGTTGGCAGCGTGGATGTGGGTTTGCTTATGAGTGTCAAGTAGATGAAGACTGCTTCAAACTAGACGTAACGTGTGCCTCGGTATCTGAGCCTTTTCATTATCAAGGCCATGAACATCTTTTGTTCCTAGCCATGGATCCAGAGGAGAAGCCGAAATGCCACGTTTGCAAATCAGAGCCGAAAGGCCACGTGTTAAACTGCATCGAATGTGATTTTGTGCTATGTTTCATGTGCGCTACCTTGCCATACAAGGTAAGGTATAAGCACGATAGACATTACCTCACATTTCGCCATTGGGGAGAGGCAAGTGACTCAGATTGGTGTGAGATATGCGAAGGGAAATTGATAATTGGGACAAAAGATCTGTTATATGATGGCCAATACGCCAATGAAGGAACGACATGGTTCGATGAGATGCTATCTGCTGATGGCCGCCAATACGCCAATGAAGGAACAACGGGGTTCTATGAGTGCAGTGAGTGTTGCACCACGCTTCATATTCATTGCTTACTTGGGAAGCACAGATATATGAAGCCTGGTCAGACTATCACAGTGAAGAGGACAATGATTGATGAGTTTTTAATCTTTAAAAGAAACTGTCATATTCTTCACAACAATTCTAATCCTCGACCAACTTGCAGACAATGCCAGCGTCGCTGTCCATTCAATACTGTTTACAAAGTTGGTACTCTAACCTATTGTTGTTTGGATTGTGCCACTCTTGATGTATATGTGTGAGAGCACCCAAAATTTATGTTTCTCTGCTTTCAGTTTGTTTCTTTTAATTTGTTAGCCGGTTAGGCTTTTGACTCACGGTTGTATTTTTCTTTTTCTTTTTCAATTCATGGTGACTTTGGAATTAAAGGTTTCAAGGGAGACTAGAAAAGTTACTTTCTGATAAATTCATTGATTTGTGATAAAACAATCTTGAAAGATAAGAAGATCTGCTTTCTTCTATATACATTTGGGAGGGTGTTGAAGCCGGTGAAGAGCGTTCTTAGATTCCAATGTGTGTCACCATGGCTAATCCGTTGTAAGGTGAGTTATTGGCCCGAGGAAGAAGAGTTGGAGGAAGCTGACCAGCTCCTCGAAGCTACAAGGGAGGCTGCATCGATCAGAACCGAAGAATGACTGCTAAACCCCACTGTATATGGCGAGACATATGGCAAAGGTAAGCTGTTGTTTAAGTATTGAACCACTTGTTCCATCGTAGGCCTTGACTCTGGCACCGTATTTGAACAGAGCAAACCGAGTTTCATAACCATCTCGACTTCCTCCTGTAAGAACTCATCTCCCAGTCTAGGGTCAACAGCATCAAGCAAAGAATCCCTTTTCCAGCACTCACAAACCCATTTGATCAGAAGCCGTTTCTCACATTGTAACTGTGGCTCCACAGGTCTCCTCCCACATGTTACTTCAAGCATGAAAACACCAAATGCATACACATCAGTTCCAGTGGAAGCTACCATATCGATTACTTCCGGCGCCATGTAGCCTATAGTTCCAACGGCTCCTGTTGGGTACGCATAGCCTCCATGGTCATGAAACCTGGCCATACCAAAATCACCTAGCCTCCCGTTGAACTCAGCGTCCAACATAATGTTTGAAGCTTTGATATCTCTGTGCAGAACAACTTGGTCAGCACCTGTGTGAAGGTAACAGAGAGCAGAGGCTATTCCCTTAACGATCACAAGCCTCTGCGGCCAAGAGAGTACTGGTTTCTGGTCGTCAAACAAATGCTCGTCAAGACTACCGTTGGGCATGTACTCGGAGACGAGAAGAAGCTCATGCTTTCTCCTGCAGTACCCAAGAAGAGGAACAAGATTCCTGTGTTTCAGACATCTCATGCTCACCACTTCAGAGATGAACTGCTTCACGCATTGATCACCATCATGGGACATTCTCTTCACAGCTATTTCTCTGCTTAGAAGGAGAGTTCCTCTGTATACTTCTCCAAAACCTCCTTTCCCAAGAAACTCATCCTCGTTGAAACCTTTCGTTGCTTTGTATAAAGATTCGTAAGGGAATCGATGCGCACCAAACTCCTTTTCCCATTCTTCGGTTACTTCTGCGTACTTGCACCTCCTGAAAACATACATTCCGGTAAGAACACCCAATCCCATGATAGCCAGAAAACCAAACAGGACAATAACCATCGGAGATAGAAATAGATTCTTATGTTGAGCTCTAGGATGAGGAACTTCAGGGAGTCTTGAGAGGTCAAGTCCCTGTAAAGATCCTCTGTTTGTGGAGAAACTCCAAGAAAGAACATAGTGATAACTGAGAGCTGTCCCTGTAGCTGCAGAGAACCCAACGAAAACTCTTGATCTGTTCGGAAATACTTCTGAGAAGTTGATGCCTTGTGACAAAAGAGGCAGGCTTGGTTTCTTGATTTCAAGAGGAGCCATAGAAACATTGAGCATAGTGCCTTCGTAATCAACCCATACCTGTATTGGTTTCCCACTCAGGAGGTTTATGCTTTCGTTCTTCTTCTTTATGTCTGAATAGTAAGAAGCCGAAGCTATAGCGACAGAGAGAGGACTGTGAACATCAATCCCCACATGATTGTTATCGATATCTTCGAAGTCAGGGTTCCATATAGTGTCGAGCTCAACAGCAAGAACATCAGAAGAAGGAGATCCGTTTTTCGAAACGTTGAAGATCCCCAAGTATCGAGTTGATTCTGCGTGGGAGAAATCCATAGAAGGAGATACTACAAAGGCCATGCCATGGCCACCTTCAACACCTGGCTGAGGCACAAGAGCGCAAACGAAGTGCGTTGAGAAAGAGAGTGGCGTAGAGGAACTGAACTGAATCGGCTTCTTGGAGAAAACATGAGCCATTTGGTGGTCTGAAGCGTTTGTAAGCTGCAACAATCCATCGGGAAGCACTTTTGCAGATCCGTCAAGATAAAGATTTTCTTGGTTGCGAAAGTTGTCATAGACAAAACTTGTCATCTCTTGTTGACTTGATTGATGAATCAGATGAAAACATGAGATCAGCAGGATCTGAAGCAATCTACAAGTCATTGCTGGTTGTCTGGATCTGTTGTGGAGATCATATAACCTTTGCAAGCAGCTGAAGAAAAAACAACAAAAGAAGGATGTGAGCTTGTGTTTGAGTGATGCCAAGTCTAAAGTATTGTTTGTTTAATCCAAGGGAATATTAGCATCATGTTCATTCGCCGTTTTTTCCCCTTTACAAACTGGACTCCATTAATTATTATTGCTATAAAATTATATAAATTAACAGTATAAAGCTTCATTTTGAGATAATATTTTAACATGAATGACTCAATGAAACTACGCAATGCTGCATGTGGCGTAGCATGTTTGTCGGTAATAACGGGTCAAACGAAAAATTAAACACTAGCTTATGTCTTAGCCTTAATGCGTATTAATTAACTTTTACTCTTAATTCTTTAACTTGAAGCTATCTTTGTACGTTGACCCAAAAAAAACCCAAAAGATCTGTACTTGAAATATTCCGTTGGCGCTTCCCATTGCAGAAATAGAAAGAGAAATTGAGGTTCAAGGCTTAGGTTTTCCAGCATGAGACAGGTTACGTGGTTGATAAGTAATTACTTACATTCCTATTTAGTCAAATAACAAAAGGCCCACAAGGCCCAAAACCATAGTCACTTCTTATGTCACGTGTATGTAAATCCAAACTAGTAGTTGTAAATCAACGGCTGAGCCACTCTCTTAATACAGAGCATATAAATCTTGTGTCACATGTATGTCAGTGACGCTTAATTACTAGTTTTGTCGTCTCTCGTAGGTGTGACTGTTATCAAAACGCACACATCACACACAATTCATATGTTGCGTTAACGGTTTCTCAAATCAACACATAATCTAACAATTTAAAACTCTTCCAAATCTAATCTCTTTCCCCAACACTACACATATGTATTCTTCCAGATAATTACCACAAACATAACAGAGTTTCAGCTTATATAAATCAAACATCTTTCAAACAGAGAGATCCATTTGGTATCTGACGTAAGCATATATATAAAGAGCATATTGAGGAAAAATCTCATTTCAGTATTGGTAACAGAGAGAGAAAACATATTTGTATAATCACTAAGTGGATAAACATTTTTCAAAGGGATAAACTGATTTTGTTTGGGACAAGTGAGACAGATTAAAACAATCTTGAGAGCCACTGAGATCTGTTTGCTGATATGTATATATACATCAGGAGTTACCTCTGGCCGGTGATGGCTGGAAAGGTTGGACTTAAGATCTTCTGCAGGCAGTGTGACCGTTTAGACAGCGGCTGAGAGAGTCTTAGGCTTCTCTGGTTCTGAAACTATGTGAAGAGAGTTCTTAGTGTCCACTGTCTGTCCCCATGGTTGATCTGTTGACTGACAAGCATAAGGTGAGTGGTTGGCCGAGGAAGAAGACATAGATGGAGCTGACCAACTCCATGAGGCGGATGAGACTACCAGGGAGGCTGCATCGACTAAAACCGGAGCAAAAGTGCCAATCCCCAGAGTATATGGTGAGAAATCTGGCAAAGGTAGGTTTTTGTTCAGGTATAGGACCACTTGTTCCATCGTAGGCCTTGATTCCGGCACGATGTTTGAGCACAGCAAACCGAGTTTCATAACCATCTCGACTTCCTCCGGTAAGTATTCATCTTTCAGTCTCGGGTCGGTGGCATCTAGCAACGAATCCTTTTTCCAGCATTCACAAACCCATTTGATCATATGTCGTTTCTCAACTTCCAACTGTGGTTCCACAGGTCTCCTCCCACAGGTTACCTCAAGCATGAAAACACCGAAGGCGTAAACATCAGTTCCAGTGGAAGCTCCCATCGTGATTAGCTCCGGCGCCATGTACCCTACAGTTCCCACCGCTGCTGTTGTGGCGGCATTGCCTCCGTGTTCATGAAACCTGGCCATGCCAAAATCCCCTAACCTACCATTGAACTCGGCGTCCAACATGATGTTGGAAGCTTTGACATCACGGTGCAGAACAACTTGGTCAGCACCTGTATGCAAATACCACAGAGCAGACGCTATTCCCTTAACAACCCCAAGCCTTTGTGGCCAAGACAGAACCGGTTTCGTCTCATCAAACAAATGCTCGTCAAGACTACCGTTGGGCATGTACTCTGAGACAAGAAGCAGTTCGCGCTTTCTCCTGCAATACCCGAAAAGCGGAACAAGATTCCTGTGTTTCAGACATCTCATGCTCACGACTTCAGCCACAAATTGCTTCACACCTTCATCACCGTTATGGGCCACTCTCTTCACTGCTATTTCTCTGCCTTGAGGAAGATTTCCTCTATAGACTTCACCAAAACCTCCTTTTCCGAGGAATTCATCCTTGCTGAACCCTTTTGTTGCTTTGTACAAGGACTTGTAAGAGAATCGATGCGCATCAAACTCCTTTTCCCATGTTTCAGAAACTTCTGAATACTTCTTCCTCCTGCGGAAATAAAATCCTGCAAGAACAGCCAACACCAAAACAGCCAGACAAACGATCATGATAACAATCCACGCAGGTAGATTCTTATGTGGAGCTCTAGGATGAGGAACTTTAGGAAGTTTTGAGATGTCAAGCCGCTGCAGTGATCCTCTGCTTGTGCTAAAACTCCACCAAAGAATATTATGATCACTGATTGCATTCCCTGTAGCTGCAGAGAACCCAACAAACAGATTCGATCTATTCGGAAAATTCTCTGAAAGGTTGATTGGTTGTGATAAAAGAGGCCGACTTGGCTTCTGGACTTGAAGAGGAGCAATCGAGACATTCAGCAAATTGCCTTCATAATCCACCCAGACCTGTATAGGCTTTCCGCTCAAGAGGCGTATGCTTTCGTTAATCCCTTTCTTGTCAGAATAGTAAGATGCCGAAGCTGCTGCGACAGATATAGCACTGTTCACATCGATCCCCACATGATTTTTGTCGATATCTTTGAAATCTGGGTGCCATATAGTGTCAAGCTCAACAGCAAGAACGCGAGAGGAAGAAGATACACTTGTTGAGACGTTGAAAAGCCCCAAGTATCTACCTGGTTCTCCGTGCGAGAAATCCATAGAAGGAGATACTATAAAGGCCATGCCATGGCCGCCTTCAACTCCTGGCTTAGGCACCAGAGCACACACGAAATGCGTTGAGAAAGAGAGCTGTCTAGATGAACTGAGCTGAATTGGTTTCTTGTAGAAAGCATGACCGGTTTGATGCTCTGAAGCGATGTTTGTCAGTTGCAATAATCCACTGGGTAGTACTCTTGCAGATTTATCTAGATGAAGATTTTCTTGGTTGTGAAAGTTTTCATAGACAAACCTTGTCTCTTGCTGACTTGATACAGAAATCAGATGAAGAGAAGAGATAATCAGGACCTGAAGCAGCCAACGAGCCATTGCTGATGATGGATCAGAGAGTCTGGATCTGATGTGTAGATCTTCTCTCCACTCAGAACGATGCATCTCATAACCTTGAAAGCTGAAGAAGAAAATGAACAAAAGAAAGGGTGTGAGCTTCTCTTTTAGTGTTCCAAGACTATCAAACTTTCTAATATTGTTTATTTAACCAAAGGAACCTTTTGTATTCGTCGGCTTTACAAACTGTCCTCCACTAACACGATAACATTAAATAAATTAGAAATCAAGCTTAACGTGGTTTTCAAAATATTCCATTTCAGACAATATTTTAACTTATATGATCTCAACTTCAATCCAAATAGACAACGCAACTGCTACATGGGGGTACCCTAGAACAATACTATAATGCGTGTAGCAAACATTTATAAATGAATTAAATTGTGTCAGGAGTATTATAGATCATGGACCAACTTTCATTGGATTCTTCTTCAACTTATATTTGAAGCTATCTTATAAGGAAGCAGAGAAATTATACCATTAAAAAAAAACCCATATTTTAAACATGCCCTTGACCTTTCGGACTCCGAATAAAAAAAAAGCCAATGTTTTTGTAATGATATTTCAACACAATTATGAGCCAAACCGACACTGAGAAGCGTAGGAAAGCCTGGCCTAATCATCATGACAAGCACGAATGTTCTTTAAATGATGAATATCACAACTGATAGAAAGTAGAAGAAACTATAGTTAGGTGCTTGTTAACCTATCCGTTTAGGATTTCCTAATATAACCCTACAGGTGCAAGAGAATACACCCTCATATGAATAACAAATCAAAACACTAAAGCTAAGAGAGAAGTGAATAGACAGCCGCTACAACATAGACTTCTCTTCTGCTATTCAGAATCCGCAAGTTACAGCTAGAATTGAATATATATAGAGCATCTTCTTTCACTGTTTGGTTATGTCTTAGTAGTAGCCACACCAAAAGCAGTACAAGCTCAGATTGAAACAGTTTAGTTCTCTTAGACAACCTAAAGTGAAATACATATAAACTTAATTACTAGCTACCCACGCAAGCAACATTTTTTCTGTGGCAGCAGGAAATGATTTCTTGGTGAAGCTCCATAAATGTAAAGTGCAGATTAGATTAGAGATTAGTGGTCAAAAACACCTGCATCTTGTGTAGCTTTAAACATTTTCTGGAACTGCTAACGATTGAAGATTCCAATGAGGACTTGATTCCAGAATAGCAACATCATTAAAAATCACGTCTTTACCACCAGCAAGAACCTTCTCCTCTGCCTCTCTACTCCAAGAACTAAAAGCAGTAAGATGACCAGTAAAATAAGCAGAGTAAGTGGCACTGTCCTGCGATGTTGAGAACCTCACCCAAAAACTCCGTTGAATCAGCATTGCATGAGACCCATAGAAGCAACAGATAAAACAAAGGCATTCAAAAAGAGTTCTTGATTTTGAAACAGAGAGTCTGGTACTTGTTGTGAAGGTATATTCCTCATTCTTCACACATTTCGTAGCTCAAAAACTGTAAATTCCAGAATTTATGTTTGAAACATCAATACCAACAATCAGATGAGGGAGGTTCACCTTGACCAAATCCCTAATCGAGGATTCAGAACAATCCGCTCTATTCAGAAATTTAAGTGTTTCAATGTTTCTTTCTCCGGTCTTCGGGAAGTCTCTAGCCCGGCGAAGAATATAGCTGGTAAGTGTATCCGTCCCTGAGAGAGACAACGACAGCGACATTTCCGTCGAGAAGCTTTGCGACGTCGAAGGCGAAAAGTGCTCAGAAAGAGAGATTAGAGACTGAAATTACGAAAAGCTAAAAGTTTCAACATTGTAAATCGGAGAACTAACAGGGACTAACTCATAAATTAATTTATAATCATCTTTACACACTTAGAAATAATAAAAAAAAAAAAAATCGAAGAACACAAGTACACATCTTTGAGCTTCAAATTGTTAGATATTTTTATCGTCCAACTCCGTATTGGATCGAGTGAGTCATAAACATAGATTCAGTTGCCGGAGCGGAAGTGTTAGAGATCACGGAGGAGCTAGCTACGACCATCACCGGACTAAGAATCCCAATTCCGGGAGAATCTGGAGAGAAATCCGGCAACGGAATCAGCCCGTCAAGGTACTGCACAACTTGTTCCATGTCAGGCCTCGATTCCGGCACGAGATTCGTGCACAGTAACCCTAGCTTCATCACCAATTCTACAGACCGAGACGAAGAAGATTCTCCACGCAATTTGGGATCTCGAGCATCGAGTGTAGCTTTCTTTCTCCAGCAATCACAAACCCATTTCACCAGAAACTGTTTCTCGGCCCTCATGTTAGGCTCTACAGGTCTCCTCCCACAAGCTACTTCGAGCATGAATGCTCCAAACGAGTACACGTCGGTCTTAGTCGAAGCTCCCATTGAAGTTAGCTCAGGAGCCATGTATCCTACAGTTCCCACAGCTCCTGTTGTGGTTGGACTGGCTCCATGGTCGTGGAACCTCGCCATACCAAAATCTCCAAGCTTTCCGTGGAACTCTGTATCCAACATCACATTAGACGCTTTGATATCTCTGTGTAGAACAACTTGCGTGGCTCCTGTGTGCAAGTAGTGAAGTGCTGAAGCTATTCCTTTCAGAATCGCAAGCCTTTTCAGCCAAGGAAGAGATGGTTCTCTGTTGTGAAACAAGAACTGGTCAAGACTCCCGTTAGGCATGTACTTTGAGACGAGAAGAAACTCGCCTTTTCTCCTGCAGTAACCGAGAAGCGGAACCAAGTTTCTGTGATCCAAACGACCCATGCTTGCGATCTCAGCCACGAACTGCTTCATCCCTCGTTCTCCGTCGTGTGAGAATCTTTTCACGGCTATGTCTTGGTCACGAGGCAGAGTTCCTTTGTAGACTTCTCCGAATCCTCCTTTACCAAGAAACCCATCTCTGTGGAATCCGTTTGTTGCTTTGTAAATGGATTTGTACGAGTAACGGTGTGGACCATACTCTTTCTCCCATTCCTCTCTTACCTCTGCGTACTTGTTTCTCTTGTACAGATAAGCCCCTCCTAGAATCACCAGCAGTATGATTCCAAGTACAGTCAACAGAAGAATCAGCATGAGAGGCGGTTTATAACTAGGTTTAGGACGAGGGACTCGGGGGAGTTTGGAGATGTCCAGGCTCTGTAATGAGGCCTTGCTTCTGTTGAAACTCCAACCGAGTATGTAATGGTTATTTGCTAGTTGCCCTGTCGCTGCAGACAACCCGACAAACATCCTGTCCTGGAGAACTTGAGAAAGATTGATGGATCTTGACAAAAGATTCCTGCTTGGCTTCTGGATTCCAAGAGGGGCGAGTCTAACGTTTAGTACAGTTCCATCATAGTCAACCCATACCTGGATGGAATCTCCACTCAAGAAACTGATGCTTTTGTTCAGACCTTCTTTCTCTGAAAAGTAAGAAGCTGGGGCAGAATCGACAGAGGTCAGGCTGTTCACGTTGATACCAACATGATTGTTATCGATGTCATCGAACTCTGCACTCTCAACAGTATCGAGCTCAACAGCAAAGATATTAGATGAAGGAGATCTGTTGGTTGTGGTGTTGAAAAGACCCAAGTACTGAGTTGCGTCTGCGTTTGAGAGATCCATGGAAGGAGATAGGAAGAAAGCAATCCCATTTCCGCCAGTTACTCCCGGTTGACGCACCATTGCACACACAAAATGCGTTGAGAAGGAGAGAGATTCAGATGAATTGAACTCAAAGGGCTGCCTGAAGAAGGCATGACCCATCTTCTGCCCTGAAGTGTTGGTCAGCTGCAAGAGTCCACCGGGAAGGATTTGAGCAACCCCATCAAGATGAAGATCTCCCTGGCGAAAACCGTTGAAGATAAACCCGGTTTCTTGTTGACTTGACAGGTTAATCAGAAGAAGAAAAGAGATCACCACCCAGATCAGATCCAATGCTTGAGCCATTGTTAATGCAACTACAGAGTTTTTGCTATTTCTGAGATTAATCTGGTCTCTGAGTCAATGGTATGGTATATAACTCTCCTCTCCATCTGCAAAACAAGGTTGGATCATTACACCGTAAGAAGAACATTCTGAATTTTCCAAGTATTCCAAGAGAATTGGCAAGAGTTGACGTCAACAATATGATAATTTCCACAGACAGCTATCACATTTTTGTATTCTTCGTTAAAAAAATACGCAAACTCCACATTATATAATTTCCTTGAAGTTTAACAATATTCAAAGGCAAAGCTTCTGACCACTTGTCCAAGTCCTACTTTTCTTAAACAATACAGAGTTGAACTGTCACCATCTCTGAGCAAACAATACGTCGCAGGCTCCTAAGATCTAGCACGAATATGTTGTGTGACTTGTATCTTTGATGTTTATCAGTTTTCCGACATGACCTAAAAGGCTAAGACTTAAATGAAACATTTTCATAACCAGATTATATATCAGCTCTATCATTGCAGCACAATGAACAATCGGTTGACTCCTTGTCAAAGGAACATAAAAACTCTGATGCTGGAGTGTATTTACTCTATAATTGGCTCATGCCTTGAATAAAGAGTGACAACAACTTGCCTTACAAATATTTAGCAGAGTAATTGCAAAAATTTACACGAAAGATCATTCCTTTTCTATCGTTCTACCAGTCAAGCTTGATGGAGAATGTCAAGAACAGACATGGTGTAAGCATATACATTGGTGAAACAAAATCGATTGGGAACAGTTGAAAAACCACTCGATACTAAGAGGCCAAAGATGAGGGAAGCTGTTGTAAACTTTCATCGCCCACTCCCGTAGAGGAGTGAGTGAGTAACAAACATAGCGTTGTTGGAGGAGGAAGAAGACAATGACAGTGAAGGGATCACGAGTGGTGCTGGTGAATGTGCCGTTGGAGTGAGAACTCCAATTCCTGGAGAATTTGGCCAAAACTCAGGCAAAGCTAGGTTTCCATTCAAGTATTGCACCACTTGTTCCATGGACGGTCTTGCATCTGGAGCAAGGTTTGCACAGAGCAAACCGAGTTTCAGAACCCTCTCGACCTCCTGGGATGAGAATTCTGTCAACCTTGGATCCCTAGCATCGGTCAAAGACGACCTTTTCCAGCATTCACCAACCCATTTGATCACATAGCGTTTTGCAGCCGACAAGCCAGGTTCAACAGGTCTCCTCCCACAAGTTACTTCAAGCAAGAAAACACCAAACGCATAAACATCGGTTCCAGTGGAAGGTCCCATTGTTGTAAGCTCAGGTGCCATGTAACCAAGAGTTCCCACTGCAGCTGTTGTGGTTGGATCAGAGCCTCTGTCATATAACCTGGACATACCAAAATCTCCCAACCTCCCATTGAACTCCGCGTCCAACATAACGTTAGCAGCTTTGATATCTCTGTGTATAACGACTTGGTCAGCTTCTGTATGTAAGTAACTAAGAGCTGAGGCGATGTCTTTGAGGATCGCAAATCTTCTCCACCAGGGGAGAGACGATCCATCAGGTTTAAACAAGTAATGGTCAAGGCTACCATTTGGCATGTACTCAGAGACCAGTAGTAACTCGTGCTTTCTCCTGCAATATCCAAGTAGTGGAACCAAGCTCCGGTGTTTTAAACTCTTCATGCACACGATCTCTGCGACAAACTGCTTCATACCTTCCTCACCGTCGTGTGACACTCTCTTCACAGCCACTTCTCTCAATTCCCTGCTCCGGGAGAGAGTTCCTTTGTAGACTTCACCGAAACCTCCTTTCCCAAGAAACTCATTTCTACTGAACCCTTTCGTTGCTTTATAAAGAGATTTGTAGGAATACCTGAGTGGGCCATACTCTTTTTCCCATTCCTCTCTTACTTCAGCATACAAGTTTCTCCTATACAAATAAGCTCCAATAAGAAGTCCCAAAACCAAGAAAGCTATTAAACCAAGCAGAGTATAGAGCACCAGAGATGAAGACTTCTTCTTATTGTTAATAGGCTGAGGAACTTTTGGAAGTTTTGAGATGTCAATGTTCTGCAGCGACGCCATGCTTTTGCTGAAACTCCACCCGAGTACGTACTGGTAGCTCATGATTGACCCTGTTGCACCAGAAAACCCGACAAACATTCTTCTGCCTTGCAAAATCTCGGTAAGATTGATACGCGTTGATGACAAAAGAGGTCGGCTTGGTTTCTGGGTATTAAGAGGAGCCAACGAAACGTTGAGTGTTGTTCCTTCGTAATCCACCCAAACCTGAAGAGGATCTCCACTCAAGAGTTTTATGTCTATCATCCTCCCTTCTTTGTCTGAAAAATAAGAAGCGTTTGCAGATGTTAAAGACTCGGCGCTGTTCACATCAATCCCAACATGATTATCACTGATATCCTTCAACTCCGAAGCTAGAGCAGTATCAAACTCAACAGCCAAGACACGTGTGGAATTAGATCCGGTTTGGTTGAAAAGCCCGAAGAATCGAGTTGCTTGCGCGTCTTTGAAATCAGTGGAATGAGACACGAAAAAGGCCATGCCATGGCCACTCGTCTCACCTGCAGGAAGCAGCGCACACACAAAATGTGTCGAGAACGAGACCGGTTCAGACGGTTTGAACTCAATCGGCTGCTCGCGGAAGGCATGACCTATCTGGGACGTCGTTGCATTTGTCAGTTGCAGGACACCGTCTTTTGGTTGGATTCTTGCACTACCTTCAAGGTGGAGACGATGATCTCCTTGGCCGAAACCGTTGTAGAGAAAGGCCGCCTCTTGTTGAAATGATGGGCAAACACAATATATCATCCAGGTGATTCCCAGAAGCAATCCTCGAATCATTGGTAATGAATCAAACAGAGAGGGTTATCGTTAATCTTTTGCTTTTGTTTCCTTTCTCTGCTCCAAGTGGTTAACAATTATCTCTTTCTCTCTGGTTGTAGACCCACAGAATATGACATCAAAGTCAAATAATTACGACTGCTTTGGAATCTTTATGGTATATTACTTTTCCCTTGGTAAGACTTTCGAACACCTGTCTTCGTCAAGACAGCAAAATGAATTCCATGAAAATAAGAAATAATTAAATAAAAGTGGCTTGATGTGTTTTTTTAGTATTATTTAAGAAAAAAATGACAGAAGATTGATCTCATTGAGAAGGAAAGGATGACGGTGGTCAAGAGCAAGTTTCAAAAACATTAACGGAATTGGATGTTAACTGAAAGTCAAATCATTAAAATTTGAAACGGATAACATTCTAAAGTCTTTTACGGTATAAAATATGAGGCGCAAGATACTCATTGACATTAAGATAATATAGGATATTCTAAGGTTGATAATTTAATACAGTATGTATATGATACATTATGTAATGTCAACATCAGCTTTATTGAACAAAGACCAAAAAAATCCTACCCTTAGCAAACACAGAATGTCATATCCACACGCTTCATGGCAATTTCCACCATTTTTCTAATATTTCAAAGCTAATTCAAATATCCAAATATGCTGCAGTGCAGGCATACAAATGTGATTATTAGATTCATGCAGCCACAATCTCTGAGCAATTCAAGAAATAACATTTACCTTTCATGGGATGAAACATAGACTCTGCTGCTTGCTAAGCACATGAACACATCGGTCTCCTGCTGTCCCATTATGTAGAACTCGCAGCCAAATCTACAAGAGACAGACCAACTCTATGAATGTTTTGAATGAAGTCTGTGATTGCCTTTATCAACAGATAATAGCCTTAAGGGACAATATCATAACTAGAATACAACCTTCCTCATTATATAAACTATATATGCAATTTGAATTGAATATTAATAGATATGAGAGAAAAATCTTCAATAGGATCATGCTCTCTCTATATCAACAAATCTACTTATAATAGGAATAAAATAAAAGTAAGAGACTATAGCTTAATTCAATCCAGATCATTTTCCAAATATATTATTTTTCGTTCTCTCATAATTATCTAAACAAATTTTGTAGAGAAGAACTATAAATTTAAGAAAAAAAAAATCATATCCAGATTCCTATCTTTCTCATCACGGATCAATACACGATTTGACTTGAACATTTAGAAATGACGAACCTGCAGGTTATTTGGTAGAAAGCTCAAGCATAAAGTTTTAAGCACATGAATCACATTTCGTCCCCGCCAAAGCTTCTTCACTACGAGACGTTTGCATCGATGCGAATTCAGTAGATGGAGACTCGAACAGTAAATGTAACTGTGCTACTCGTAAAACCATCGGAATTGTTGAATCTATCCCCACCGGGAGCGAGAAACACCAAAGCATCTTCGGGTGGACATTAAGGAGAAAGACGACAGAGTGTGGAACTGCGCCTAGGGGTTTGTGGAAGACAGGAAAACCTGTGAAAGAGCGGTATAGTCAAGAGGAGACTATTGCAATCGCCGATAAACGTCACCGGGAGACGGTGACAATTGGAAAAAGTATTGAATGAACTTTCGACTAAGGGTGGGTGATATAATATGGGTTTTATCCGGCCCGATATCGGCCCATACTAACAAACTATTTATTTTCTTCGTTTAATCGACCAAGTTTTGTTAATGGACTAAGAATCGGGTTTTTTCTTACCATTTGGTTCTCGGTTCCACCATGTTACCTTCGTGAAATTTGTATTCTAGCCTTCTTGGTATTGCTGATGCTTAAAGTAGCCTTCTTGGAATCCACTATTTTAAGTTAAAACTTGTAGAATTTAAGAATAAATTCCGTTTTTTTTTTGCTTTATGAAAATATAAGATGAAATCGTTGATAAGTTCACCAAGTTTCCGAATCTCTATTTCCAAACCATCATGATTTGGATAGTGTAAGTAGTTTCCCATTAGAACAGCATGATAATAATTTTGATGATATTGTTAACTTGACGTGAATCTTTATAATACATGATCCCTTAAGTTTTGAAAAAAAAATAGCATCATAGTTGATTTTGGACAATGCTTTTTTTTTTTTTAATTTCGGCAAGTATAAAGTTATTGGAAATTACAGATCAGTCTGAATAGCAAATTATGAGATTTTGTAGTCAATCACACGACCCGTCATGAAATTTGTTTACTTTGTATCTAAAGATGATTGAATGATTTTCTTCATAACTTACGGAACGTAATCTACTTCGCTACCAATCTCATAAACGGCAGAGCAAGCCAAAACCAATCACGAAAGGAAAAAGAATGCCCTAACTTTAAAGCCAAGGTAGCAACAGATTACAAGATTTAACCATTTTCTCAAACAAAACATGTCATAGAAACATGAACCTCAAAACAATTAAAAGACTAAAGGGCATAAACATAGCAGAGAGTTTTGACCTGTATTTGAAAAGGAAAAAAAAAAAGCAAAAAGAGACGAAGTTAGGTTCCAAAGCACACCTCAAAAGTGAGGATAGTCGGGATGGAATGGGTTTGTGTAATCCTCGATCTCGTAGCCGTCGGAGTCATAAACTGGAGTGTACTTCCCATACTTTCCAAAGTATGGACAATCCTCATCTGCTAAACCGAACGGACCAAAATCGGGTGGGAGATGAGATCGACCCGTTTCCTCAGCTTGACCTTCCACCTCATCAGAATCATCCGAGGGGTACAATCGCGCACGAGTCCTGGGAGACAACATGTCGGGGGTAAAGAGCACACCTACAGGATTATCAGAGATTCATTTTCAGTATGAGAGCTTATGAGATTCAATGGTTTTTATATAGATTTAGAAGGGCACATTACCATCTGGCAGGTCAAAGAAGGGATCAAAGGGCTCTTCAGGTTTAGCATCATTCGTAGAAAGCTGCTGCCCAAAATGAAGGGGGAAGCCACCATGGCCGAAACCTAACTCTTCATCAGAGTCATAATCTTCTTCATCATCATCGTCATCATCAAAGTAGTCTTCTTCATCATCACTGTCATCGTCAAAGTAGTTGTTCCCTTGACGTATGATGTATGCTTCGTCCCAGTTCGGGCAGCTTTTATCGCAAGACTCCGTTCTCTTGTTCCATTCTCCTCCACAGTTGTAGCAAAACTCATGCCCACATCTAACGAGAATAAAAAATGGAACATAACATTAATATGGTTAAACAACGAAACGCTGAAACGTGTCACATGTGAGTCTAATTCCTCAGGTTTTTAGGATGATCATCAGAGTGTGGATAACTAGATAGATAGACAGATAGGTACCTGCAAGTCATGTGATTGCATCCGTATGCAAGTTCAATCATGTGTTTGCACTTGCCACACTGGCGCCACATTTTGTTATTTGCAAGAGATTCTAGCTTCACATCATCCGCTGGAGGATTAGGATGCAGTTTCTTGTACTCGGTACATGACAGCTTTCCGTGCCACGGGACTTTACAGTCCATACAGAAGAGGCCACGACATTCAACGCATCTCCTAACTCCAGATGTAGGGTAAGCAGACAGTAAGCTCTTGGCAGATTCAGAAATCTTGGTTTTGGACATCAAAGCCGAACACCTCGGGTAAGGGCAGTAAACTCTCTCTGTGGCAGGTATCGCGTTCTCCTTAATTCGCTGTGTCCACATCTCGCTCAGTTTCGGAGTCAAAAGCTTGCCACACGCATCGATAACCAGCTCAGACTTGCAGTCATCGTGAGGACAATTTGGAACCAGTCCGTGAAGCAGCCTCACCTCTACATGTTGTTTCACACATTGAACGCAAAAGCGATGACCGCATACACCAGTAGAAAACATGCGCTCGGAAACAGTATCGTTGTAACAGATAAGGCACTCCTCCTTCCGAGCTACTTTTGACTGGCGAGGATCTTCATGAGGGGTGACTTGAGCAACTATTGATTCCCTAGCAAGTTTATAAGCAAACTTAACTTCGTTTCCAGCCACCAGAACAGGCTGACTGAATGCGAATTGTTGCCTGATCCTTTGCAAATCATCCATTAGCATGGAAATCTTTTTCTGCTTAGGCGTCCAGCTTCCCCTGACCTATATATTCAAGTAAAACACACATCTTATGAAACATAGGACATGAAAGGCCTACGCAAAGAAGCATAACTCATTGGAATTCAAAACCACTTCGCAAAACACAAGCGTGGGACCTAAGAACTCGTAGTAAAGCAAAGAGAAATAACAATGGCTAACATATTGGTCACGATATAGAAAGATTGAGAAGTCACTGCACTTTATTAGAGTTTGAATTCTCAAAACAGTTTCAAGATTAAAAAAAAAAATCCCAACAGAGAAACACACACTAGCGACATTTTTTGATTCCAGCACAGAGGAAACTTGAACTCAGCAGCTTTCTTAAAACAAATTACGAAGCGTATATACAAACAAACCCATCACTATCCCCGGAGAAAACACAGGGAATAAGAACAAACGTTTCAATAACGGATTCAACGCAAAAAAAAAAAAAAAAAGAGCAAGTGAGAGTGAAGCGTAACAATGAAGAAGAGGAAAGTCTGAAACTTACGAATTGGAAAATCGGAAAGAAATCGCAGAAAATGGCGATATGTTTGATCCCCAGCTTGGAGGCTTCGAATAGCCCCCGGCTCAACGCCGCAATCTCCGCTCCCTGACGATTCGTGCCACGGCCAATCAGTGGTCCCTTCAAATCAAACAAGAGATTATCCCTCTCGTCGCAAATAGCAAACCCAAATCCAGCCACCACGTCCGTCATCTTCCCCTTCCCATTCTCTTCGCTCAGCAAACCCTTTGAGTAAAGCCTATACATTACGTTTCCGCTGAATTTTACCGCGGCGGCATTGACCTTCGAGCTACCCTCGCCGACTAATTGCGCCGGACGAACAGTTTCCTGCGGTCGAACGACCGGGGAGAGTCTCTTAGAGAGATACCCGGAAGCATTTTGGGAGTTACCGCCTCTAAAGTTAGGGTTTTGATCATCTGTACGTACAGCAGTGAATGTCACGTGGGTTTTCCCCTTTCCTCTGGAGTTTCCTTCGCCGCCGGTTTTCCCACCCCTGCTTCTGAGACGCACATACTCCGAGTCACCTTCCACGGCGATAAGGACACCAGACGTAGCTACAACCGGAGGCGACGGTGGCCGCTGAGGAGTACGAGATCGGGAAGAGAGTGAAGCCGCAAGCGCCTCCTCCATCTGCAATCGGAAAGCGTAGTCGGAATCCGAATCGCGACCCAAGAAATCCATAACTTGGCTAGGCTTTTTTTGCTGCTATGCTCCTCAGCGATTTCACAACTGTGCGTCCGTTTTTGTTTGTCTTGGTTCTTGTGAGACTAATGATTTTCGGCTTCGCTTTACGTCGTCCCTTTATGAAAAAATATAAAGAACCCCCACGAGAGCAAGACACGCACGTGTGAGTGAGAGTGGTTATCGTCGTCACTTGAAATACTGGAAAATTTGAGAATAGCTTACACGAGACGCCTCTTTGTTGTTGACCTGACCATTCGTCAAAAAAGAGACATAAATTCTTGATTTCTAATTAAATAAATTAACAAATATTTATTTCTACTGTACTGATCTTTCTTTCTTTATTTTTTACTGCAAATCACATGACCAAATATAAAAATTCTATTTCATCCAATGAAAATTTTAAGATATTTTATTTGAGTGAATCAAGGCGGTATCAACGAAAATTCGAATTTTCGTATACAAACAATCACGAAATTGTTTACTTTTTGTACACAAAGCTGGATATCACAGGATTAATAATATCGACTTTATTGCAAGCTTATAAGCAAATTTAATATACAAGACAAATTACAATACATTAATCTGATTGATTGGGATTAACGCAAAAAGGCATATGAAACTGTAACAACTACCAATGAAGACCATAGAGATTACGATTGGTCCTCTAACTCGAAACTTAAGCGCTAAAGGCTAAACCATGCATCAGACGAGCGAACATTTCTGAAAAATTACAATCGATGGCATTTTTGCGTATCCTCAGTTGGTACTATTGGGCCTGCGTTGGACTTCTTTATTGGACTATAATTCAAACCCATTGTCCTTAGTATCTTCCTTGTACCCACTGCTCGACTTATTATATTTCAGACTAATGAGAATCGAATATGAAAAAGTTTTAATTTCGGACTCTTCCTCTTATAATCTTCGTCGATTCCTCTTCTCTTCATTGCGATTGAGCTTATCAAAAACGTATTCCGTTTATCGCCAATCGTCAAACTTATTTCGGAAGTCTTACTCCGGCATCGACCCATTTCGTTAGCTCAGTCCAATTCTCGGCTGCTTATTGTGAGTAAATCTCGAGTAAGTTTCACTCCGTGACAGAGTTACTTTGGTATAATTATTCTGTTGGATTCAACTTCTAAAAACCCACGGGTTTGATTTGGATGTGTCTGTTGTGAACAATTTGGATGTTATCTGTGCATCTTGTAAGAAAATGGAAACTGTTCGACGAAATGCCTGAAAGAAGATTTTTTGTTTGTTTGTAGAACTCTATAGCTTATCTATCTTAACTATGAGTTGGGTAGAAATTTTCTGGATCCGATTCTTATACATCTAGCTCGATTTTATACTCTCTAGTGTGCGTCCACGTTCTTATCTGTACTGGAAGAGCAACACTGTTCTACAATATGCCTGAAAGAAGAATTTTTTCTTTGTAAACCTCTAAAGCTAATCTATGTTAAGTATGGTTGTTGTTTCTTGAGAATGTGGTTTCAGTTTATCTACTCTATGAAATGCAATGGATAGCTTGATCTTTAGAATCTGTTTTAGTCCCATTTTATCATGATCTGACTCACATTTGTCCTTCAACTACACAGAAATTGGAAGAAACCTTAACAAAATACTCAATAGATACCGCAAAAGTTCTTGGTTTTTGGTTCAGTTTGGTTCCCAGACTAAATCAGGTGTGTAGTACTAGTTGCTAATAAGCGAAGCAGAAGCATATACTTATCTTTCCTTCAATCTTATGTTGTTGTTTTTTTGTATTTTAATGTTCAAAAGGTTTGATCTTAATTGCCATATGCAGCTTAATTCCATGGCGCCAAGATGGAAATGGAAAGGTGCTGAAGCAAAAGCTCTTGCAGAACCTATTTCAAAATCAATCTCAGAGCTCCGGGTCTCTCTAGCCAAAACAGAGTCCTCTGGTTCCCTCTCGAGTTGCAACGTGCTTCTAGCGGTTGAGCCAGAGCAAGCTGAGCTACTCGACCGCTGTTGTTTCGGCAGACTCGTTCTGTCCGCAGAGAAAGTCAAGAAATGGATTCAGTTATCCTTTGAAGAAGCTTTCTATCTTCTCTACAATCTCAAATGCATCAAAATCTACTTTCAAGGTCGTTGCTTGGAGAACGAAGTAGACACATGGATGTACATGAAATCAAAAAGACCGAACTTCCCAATATTTTTCAAAGCCTATTCACATCTACGATCGAAGAACTGGGTTTTGCGATCCGGGCTGCAGTACGGTGTGGATTTCGTGGCGTACCGTCACCATCCGTCTCTTGTCCACTCTGAGTTCTCGGTTTTGGTTCAGTCCGGTGACAGTGACCGGTTAAGAGTGTGGTCAGATATCCATTGTGCTGTTCGGTTAAGTGGAAGTGTTGCCAAGACGCTATTGGCTCTCCATGTCAGTGATAACTCTAACAAAGACGATTTGAATCTACCTGTGTGTTTGGAGAACTACGTAGTGGAAGAGCAAACGATAAGTAGATGGAGCCCAGAACTCAGTCGTGAAGATGAAGCCACGAATCAAAAACCAAATGTTACCACTGGTAGTAATTTGAAAATCCCTTGATGAACCGTTCCTGGTTATTTGAGTACTGATTTTGATTTTCCATATCAATCTAAACAATTGTTTTCAGTTTTAGTTGAGATAATGAGATGCATAACATTTTTTTATTGACCATTGTTGGTTCATCACTGCAGAATCAATATTATACGACATCTTCACTTATAAAATGATAACTTGCAGGAGCAAGCAGTAATTGTATAGAGATGTAAACTAATTGCAACACACATTATCTACAAAATAGTGATCATAATCATCATCAAACATATAAAACATACACACACACACACACGCGCGAAATAAAAACAACATAAAACCTGTTAGTCATAAAAACACAACTTGAAAACTTCTTTTATCCAAGAAAAAAAACTGAAGTAAAAATTTCGTCAAATCTGAAAATGACTAGGATGAGATTTGGTCATCCTAGCCTCACCTGCAGGTTCGTCGTTATCAATCCTCTTAACATTACGGTAAGCTGCATAGGCGATCACATAGAAGATAACAAGTATGATCAAAACCACAATGTTGATCACTGATACTTTTCTCCAACTCTGCTTTAAGCTACCAAGAACACCAGCTTTGCAAGAGCTACAATGGTAACAGAGTAGTCTCTGGTCATTGTTCCACAACATACAGTCCGGGTTCGGTCCAACCATTTCACCTCCTGGAATCCACACTGTCTCATTCACGTACGTATAGCCACAATCTGTTGGCGGCTTGCAACATCCGGACTGCAGATTTTAAGACAAGTATAGATCATATAAGGTTTGGTTCGCGTTAGACAGGAAGAGCAACATTATATGATGAATCTAAACCATTTAGATAACTTTTAAAATCCTATAAAAAATTGGGAAATGAAAGGGATTACTCAAAAAAAAATATTCATGGGTTAAATCTGTTACCAAAACAGAGCATCCTATGAGTATTTGTGTAGGACAAAAGAAAGACTTTAACTACAAACCATTTTGAATCTTTCGATTCATATATAACTTGGTCACTACGAAATAATAAATATTACATTGCGATTACAAGTTTCAACATTAGTAGTATGATAATATGTCTTGAGCTTAGTAATGGAGTTATGAGCACTTCTTATCTTTACACAAAAAAAAGAAGTTATGGAGACTCTCTGATATTAAACTGTAAAAATAAACCTTATAACGTATACTTGCAACTTTTTCAACAGAGCAGAAAGTAACTAACTTTTTTATGTTTTAGTCTTTTGATCATGACATGTTTTTTTCTAAACTAGCAACAATAAAAAAATTTATAAAGAAAAAGGTTAGAATTTTTTTAATGGAGTTGGAGTTTCAAAATCCAGATTTATTTCCTCCTCCAGGAAAGAAAAAGTTATAGAAAAATTTAAACTTTTGTATTTACCTCAACAGGAGTAAGCTTTCTGTAGTAAAACATCTGAGGAGTTTCAGGAACTCCGTTTAAATGTCTTCGAATCTTCTTACAAACTCCAGAATCCCTAACACACGATCCGATTTGCCCCCAGAATCCATCATCCGTGACCCGATCCTTTAACCAACCGGAATAATCACCGAGATAATAATCAAGATACCTCCGGTTCATCACAAACCGGCCTGACCCTTTATCGGTAACGGCGTAGGCGAAGATGATGAATCCTATGAGAGCAGCGATAACGAAGAACATGGCGAAGAGGTAAAGCCACATGAGGAACTTGTTCCCGTAACAAGCTCCGGCGAATCCGGCTAAAGAAATCACCATGATGGAGATTCCGATGACGATGAGCGGCCATTGGAGGAATCTCATGCAGTCGGTGGAGTTAGCTCGGTTGCTCAGCCATATTCCACCGCCGAGGATCGGAATCGAGAGGAGGAAGGTGAGGAAGTTTACGAGACCTATGAGGTTATTGCTCGATCTCATGGCGTTTTTTCAAGAAACAATTATTTTAGAAAATTGTGTTGCTCTGTTTCCTGGTGCTATGCTGCTCTGTTTGTTGTTGTTGATGCAATAGCGGTGAGGAAGAGGTGATGATGAAATGTGAATGTACATGCTCATGCTGTCTTATTGTGTGACACGTGTTAAGTGACGGTTTAGTAGATTTTTGTTTTTGTTTGGTTACATGTAAACACTTTGATCGATTGATAGTCTGTGTAGTAAGGTTATAGCCTAAATATTGAGTGCTAAAGAAGTTACAAGTTACAAGTCCTTTTCCAACTAACTGTTCTGTGTGTTGTTTAGTAGTCGAATTAAGAAAAGATACAGTGGTGATTATATTGTTTGGCTTTTCTTTTCGTTGAATAAGATAAACAGTTGTTTTTATATTTAGATGGACCCACTGTGTCCTAAAATGCACTTTTAACGATAAAATGAATGCTTTAGCTCTTTTTTTTAGTTGTTCAAAGCTTTAATTAAGTGTTCCCCGACCGACCATAGCTATCAAAGTCTCCTCAAGCCTACCCCTTCTAAATTTCCGGACACTGCACGCCTAAGAAAAAAAAAAAATATATATACTATTATTTATAAAATCTTATTATATAATTTTGCAATTTCGAATTGGTAAATGGGCTGAGCCTAAATATGAGTGAGCCAACTTATGGCCTTTTTTACTTTAATGCAATGGCCCATTTAAGCAAGACTAATTAATTTACGGTTAGTAGATTAGCAAACAAAAACCAACATTCTTCACACTTGAGAGTTGACAGAAACAAAAAGAATATGAAGAACCAAAAAACTCTGTGTCTGTTAGGTTCAGAAGTTTCAATTTTTGGGTTTCATTTGACTTTTTTTTGTTTTCCTCAAGAAAATTTAGGTCTGTTTCACAGACTTCATATTATAAGAAATATTTATAGAGGAAAGAAACAATAAAGTCATACATTTTAGCTAAAATAATCAGTAACCCCATTTGTTGACAAATTATTGAATTTGAAACTATTTTTAATTAATAATTTACCGATTTGCACACCTTAATAAAAAATAATAACTAATAAAAAAAAGTAGGAAATAAAGATTCCCGGGTTATGGACTTGGGAAATGTCTAAAAACCGGAAATTAAAAGGAGGAATTCAAAAACCCAAAAACTATCCTCAAAACGACAAAGGAGTACGCTTTGTCTTGCTGCGTTTTGGAATAACCTTTTGTTCCCTTCTCTCCGCTTTCTTTTCTCAGACTCACTGCCCAAAGCCACAACACACATTACCCACTCTCCTCTCGTCTCTCTTCTCTCTCTCATCTCACACTGTGTACTCTTGGATTCCGCAAAGTAAAAAGAGAACTTAGGTTTTGCTTCTCAAATCTCTCTACCCGTTTGATTTTTTTTCACATTTTCTTTGACAAACGCTGTATCTTTTCCTCAAGCTCGAACCGTCCTCACAGCGTAAGAAATTCATTTTGCATCTCTGAATTTGGTGTTGATGATGTGAAGCTTTAAATTCGCTGTTTCCTGGAAAATGCAATAGCTTTCCTCGAAAATGTAGTTCCTTTTCCAAGTTTTCTGTGATTTTTCTCCCTTTTTGGGTAGACCGCTTTTCCTTAGCATTTTACGTTTCTAGTTTCTCTTAATTAATCGCAGAAAGCTCGATTATTTGTGTGTTTTCTTCTTCACGTAGCTTGATTTAGATTGGAATATTCTAAACTTTTTTCTTCATCTAATGTGTGTTGTTGTTATTCTTATTTCAGCTTTAATTTTACTTTTGAAGTAGGGAGAAGAATGATAGATTAATGTTATATTGCAGTTCTTCTTATCTGGCCTCACTGAAAAAAAAAAGAAACTCCTTTTTCTTTGTTTTTAGTAACTTTTAAGGTTATATGTTGAGACTATTTCTGCACTGTTATTGTTTGCTCATTCTTACTTTAATTAACATGATGACTGCTTGATTCACTCAAGTGGATTTATAAATTAGATTCTCCTTTTTCATGGAAAAGTGCTTATCCAGGAACCCAAATAGATTTTATTTCTGCTTGCCTTGTCTTTGAGTGGCTTGTTAAATCTGTTTAATCTTATATTAATTTGTTTTTATGTGAAAGGGTGTTTAAACTCATTATGATTCATGATAGTAGTTCTCCAACGTCTAAGTCCCCTCCTTTCACGGCAATAATGGAGGAGAGGGTGGATCTTGATCTAGAAATGACAGCTTAACCCACTTGTGTTCCATTTAGGAGGGTGAATCTGATAGGGACATTAATGTAAATCTACCACGTTATGCTGCTTGTGTAGTTGTGTAGGACCCTTGGTACCAGCCCTTCATGATGAAAGGTTGTGAACATTACATAGTCAAGAAGCAAGAAAGGTCGATTCCTTTTTTTTGTTGTGACTTTATAGTCAAACAACTTGTGTAGTTAACATCAAGGGTTACATAGTCAAGATACTCAGCTATGCAGTCTTTGAAATCGTCCTTTGGCTCTACGCTTCTGGTTCACCTGAGATTTGACTCTGATTGTGTTGATTGTATCTAACCCATTTCGAAATATTGACTCATGTTGTATTTTCCATTGAGTGATATATTTAGGAACAAGTATTTTTTGTGTGCGGTTTTGTAGAGCTATGGATGAGCTGATTTGGTAGAGTAGAATGGTCTTTATTATAAAAGAAACCATACTTTTGTAGTAAATTCGGATGTTTGATCAAGAATCATGAAAACGTGGGTATGCACTGAATCTTAATGTGGTTTTACGGTAGGTAATGCACAATCCAACGAATCTCTATGTCAGGCATATAAGATTAGTGAGAAGTGCAGTAACATATTTGTTTCCTTCGTTGAGATGTTCATTTTCTGGTAATGGATTTGATTACAGACGTAAAGAAATCTTTCTTTTAAGCTTATCTTTTCCTTGTAATAACTCCTATCATGTCTTCTCTGCCATTGGATTGTTAAATATGTCTCCATCTTTGTGCATTAAATATTCATGAGCTCTCTACAATTCTTTGGTGGGTCAGGCTACATTGAAGAAGCAAAGAAGAGGCTGGAAATATCTTTTCGATAAACAAAGTTTTTATTTCATCCTGTGCATTGGAGGGATAATATTACAGTATGCAGACCCAAAAGGCAAGGTAAATCTCGGTTTTTGTCTTTCTATAGTTTCTTTGCATTTATGGCTGATTCTTCTCCCCTTTTGTGGTTTCCTTGTGGGAGTTGTCTTTCAACACTGAATCTTAAAGGTTGCATTCTTGTGGTCCTCAAACACTTATTGCTTCGATTTAATCAAATCCTATCACAGTGTTTCTCTAACAAATCCATTTAGCCAACTAGTTATGAAGTTTAATGATCTCTTACTATTAGTAAGAAGATTTTTCATTCTCTACACATTTACTTGCAACTGTGTAGTGCGTATATCTTCTTGGTTTTCAGTTTGTCATCTTTATGTTTTAAAATTCTGTGCGTTTTGGGGCAGAAATGGATCTCCGGATGTTCCTAAGAAGGTGTCTCCTCGAGCTGCTCGACCACTGAAGATACCAACGTTAGAACCTGACTCTTCGTCATCTCCTGTCCCAGCTAATAACAGAACACCAAAGGATAAAAGTCCAAAAGTTCTGGACCGAAGGTCTCCACGAAGCCCTGTCTCCGAGGTATGAGCCTCTTGTACTAATCTTGTGTCAGATTCAATCTAAGGGTCTTGGGAAGATTTCTTTTTTATTGTTTTATTCTTTGTTGGTGTATTCTAAATTTCATAAATTCTCTTTTATTTGCATGCTTCAAGATAAGCTTTTCCATCATAACATGTTTCTGTATTGACTTTGATGAGGAAAAATTTAGCGACATTTAATTTTGGGGCCTATAGGATATAGAATTAGGTAGATCATTAAATTTGAGGGTAGTTGAGAAATGATAATGTAACTAAATTTCACTCAATTGTCTGTTTCATAGTTCTCCTTGAGATTGCTGTAACACTGCCATGTTTCTTTGCTAACAGAAGAAGAGGCCGAGTAGGATAACGGAGCTAGAGTCGTTAGTCTCACAACTTCAGGAGGAGCTGAAGAAGGCGAAAGAGCAAGTCACAGTGTCTGAGACATCAAAGAAGCAAGCAGAGCAAGAAGCAGAAGAGTCCAGGAAACAGCTACAAGAAGTTTCCTCTAAGCTCGAGGAGACCCAGAATCAGGTTTTGCAAGTTTCAGCGTTGGAGGAAGAAACCGATAAAAGCGGTGCTTTTGAACATCGAAGTGTATCTCAGGAATGTGATTTGGAGTTTGGTGCTACTGCTGAAGAAAGGGCAGGATTGGCTGTTGTTGTTCATGAGATCCGACAACTCAAGCTTCAGATTGAGATGGTGGCTTCTTCTGAAGCTGGTCATGTGAAACAAGCTGAGTTGCGTAACTCGGAGATTCACCTTTTGAGAGGAAACTTAATGGACACACTTTTTCTCGTCGAGAATTTTAGGAACCAACTCAAGGACTGTGAGGTATCAGACACTGAAACCGAGGCCTTAGCCACCGAGACTCTTAGGCAATTGGAGAATGCTAAGAAGGCAGTAGAAGAACTGAAGTCAGATGGCACAAGAGCAGTTGAAAGTTACAAGAAGATGGCAGGAGAGCTTGAACAGTCAAAATCGAGGATGGCATTGCTTGAAGCTCTTGTGAATAAACTTCAGACCAATCCGGGTGATATGGAAAACCACGAAACCCTGCTTAAAGACTATGAAAGCTTAAAGCTTGGGGAATCAAATGAGATGAAGGAAGAAGTATCTTCCTTGAGATGCGAGGTAGAGAGACTGAGAGCGGCTCTAGAAGCTTCTGATAAAAAAGACCAAGATGGGAATGTAGAGGCCTCTTCTCGGTTACGGATACAAGCTGAGCTCCAGTCTGAGTTAAAGATAGCTAAATCTGAGATAGACGAGCTAAAGGCGAGGTTGATGGACAAGGAAACAGAATTACAGTTTGTTTCAGAGGAGAGAGATAACATATACCTGAAACTAATGAAGAACCAGAAAGAGACAGATGTTGAAGCCGAACTGAAGCAACTAAGGGAGGCGATCGAGAACTTAAAGGCGGATTTGATGGATAAAGAGACAGAACTCCAGATCGTTTCAGACGAGAACGAGACATTGAAGTCAGATATCCACAAGAGGGAGACAGACGTACAAGACGCGCTCATGAAGCTAGGGATTGCAATGGAAGAGGCTGACAAGAGTAGCAAGAGAGCGGTTAGAGTCACCGAGCAACTTGATGCTACTCAAGCTTCGAACTCCGAGATGGAAACAGAACTCAGGAAGCTCAAAGTTCAATCAAACCAATGGAGAAAAGCTGCTGAAGCAGCTACCGCCATGCTCTCTGCTGGAAACAACGGGAAATTCGCTGAGAACTACAACCAAACAAACTCTCCATACTCTGAGGATGTTGAGGACGAACTGGCAAAGAAGAAAAATGGGAATGTGCTCAAGAAGATTGGTGTTTTGTGGAAGAAGCCTCAGAAATAGCGGGAGGATGACTAATACAATTAGGTAATCACATCAATATCATAGTTTTTTTTATAAAACTCTCTAAAGGAACTGACTTTTGTACATCTTTGGGTTCTGCTTCTCAGGTACCGTTGATATGGAGTTGGGTTATAAGAGCAACTCCTGTGACTTTGGTATTAATGTGAATTAGTAGTCTGAGAACTATGTTCTGAAAAATACATGTTTGAAAGATTGAGTTTTGTTAATTTTATGTTAAGTATTCACGAAGCAGGGAGACTGTTAATTCTGTCATTTTGGAACCAGTATGTTTGTGCCTGTTAGGCTGTTAATAACAAAGTCTCAAAAGCATGTGCCCTCTTTCATTTAGCGGGCTTGGAATTATCACTGGCATAATGTGAAGCCCAATAGAATAACGGCCCACAGTCCTTTAATTGGATTTATTTCTTCCAAACCTTTTGTACATTTTCCAAAAAAATCTCGCAATAAGAGACGTTAACGCTAATTTTCGTTGTTTGCAATTAACATGCATAAAAATTGATACTATGGCTGTGCATAATTAAGATAAAAGTATATAATAATAAACGTAGGCATAATTAACATAAACACGTGTTTCCGTGTGTAAAGCCACTACCAACCAACAAATATATATTTTATTCATTTTAAACATTCTCTTAACTCGCAAGTGTAGATTAACAGATGTAAGCAAAATTAGGTAAGGTTGGATCTTTCTTATTCATCATTTCTGGTCTTACATTCCCACCCCAAAACAGAAATATATATACATTTTAAATACCTTTGGGTACTTAATGTAAGACTTTCCTCTTTTCAAAAATTTCTCATTTAAAATCATTAGACTGTTAATATCGTAGTAATGGTTAGTCCACTTTATACCAATATTTATTTGAAAATCATACAACAAACATTACCAAGGTTGATCCTTTACGTCACTAAATCAATTAGTAGGTTGACAAAAAGAAAAGGAAAAATGAAAAACCCAATTAATTTATAAGCAGAAACATCAGCGTCATTGACCGCACCATTAAGTAGCCAGATATTTTCCAGGAGAAATTAGGGTTTTAAGCTAAACCACACAATTCCATTCGTTGGTAAATTATCATTTTCATTGATTTGAACTTCGCCAACTTTAACTAAGCAAACAAATTAGTTTCCAAATTAGAAAAACAAAGGAAATGTCTCATTTAAAACATAGTGAAACAATGAACATAGAGATAAAAGAAGTAAACTCAACAATATAGATAAGAAACAGAAGGAAAATAAAAATAAACCCACCCCAACTCCATTTTGCAAGTTTGATCACACTCTATGAAGAAGCCCTAATATAGTAATATATCTATATTTCCTTAACCATTTCATAAAATAGCTAGCCCCCATCTTTCCTCCCAATGTAAATATGAAATTCAAACCCTAAATTAAAACCCAAATAAAATTGAGGTTTTGATTTGATCTACATTAAAGCACCAGAATTAATGTAGTTCATATTAGTCCAAATCTCTCTCCCTGAATCAATCTGATCCACATGACCACCTCCACCTCCTACGTTCATCATCCCAAAGCTCTCTCCATTCATCTGCCATGGAAATCCCCATAGGACCTTGTTTGGATCACCCATCGCAATATCCAAACCGCTGCTCCCGTTTCCAAACGCGTAACCAGCGTTCCCCTTTTGCTGGCTTGTACCAAACACACTCTCCATGTCAGACTGATGAGAGCTACCGAATTCTGAAGAAAACCCCAGTTGTGAAGAACTCCCATGAGGTTGCTTATTAAGCAAGGCAAAGGCTAGGCTGAGATCAATCTGTTCATTGTTGTTATACCCACCGAAACTGGCCGCCGAGAAGACGTTTCCGTCGTGGGACGCCGGTTCCGGGGTGGTTCTGAGGCTTCTTGACGCCGAAGATGTGGACCGTTTGTTTTTTCGGCAGCCGCCTCCGACGGGGATGTTCCTAAGGGTTCCGCCTTTGGTCCAATATCTCCGGCATGATTTGCAGAAGTAGCGAGGCTGAGAGAGGCTGTAATTGTTGTAGTAGCAAAACTTTGTGTTTGTTGAGTCGCAACGTGGACATCTCAGGGTTAGCTCCGGTGGCTGTGGCCTCGCCGCCCCCGTCGCCGGAGAAGGCTTCTTCTGATGGTCATCTTGTATTGGGTTTGATGAACATGATACGCCCATGGCTTCTCTTGCTTTGTTAAAATTCCCAAAAACATCCTTTAAGAAAAAGAAAACACATCAAGATTCTAGTTTAAATAAACAAAAAAACCCTCAAGGTGTTAGAAATTGTGGATCTTATAATAGGAGTTTTACCTGGTGCTGTAGCAAATGATCCATAAGAACTGAATCTAAGAAGCTCCTTATTAGATGAGTGTTATATGTGTAGAAGTTGGAGATTGTTTCTTGTGATCAGAGAGAAGGATGGATATGAGTAGAAATTAAAAGTGAAGCAAAAGGAAAAGCCAAGCATCTGTATATATATACATGGGAATGTGGAAAGAGAGAGACGCACAGTTGTCGTGGCCTCGATCCAATATGATTTTTTAAAAATATAATATTCCGAAATTTAATATTGATGTTTTATAAACAATGGTATCGGGAATAATGTGAACCAATTCGGAACGTGATTTGGAACAGACCATAAAGCCGCCGTTTGTGATTTTTTTATATGTAGGATACTGTATATATATATCGTATCCTACTATTCATTGAAGTGTTTGTGTAAATATACCATTACACCTAAACACAAAATTTTCCAAAGACGTATTATAATTGTAATTTGATATAATTTTCTTTCTGGTGATATTCTGTCATTTTGTAACTAAAACTTGTGAAAAGTTTGAAATCAGTTCTGTCATTTTGTAATAATCTCTTCGAATTGTGTTTTGATTTTTAAGACTTGTATATTAAAAAACGTACCCTAATAAAAACCTATAACTTTGAGTCCGAAATAATCACTAAGCTGCTCCACAATAATGGATCGGTCAAAAAACTTTAGCGGTCAAATAGATATGATGACGATCGTTGCAATCGTTATGAATGATGTGAATACGATCTATTTGATTAAGATGAATAGTAGCCGTACGATGATGGGTGTTCTACGTCGGATTCGCACGTACGTACTATCGTCTTCTTTGTATTGTAATTTCTGTTTTATGTCCCAATGGTCCGTTGAGTTGTCACCAGGTGGGACCCTTACTCATCGCGATGTCTTGTTTCTTCCTTATGGGACCGATGCGATCACCTTCGTACCGCACTAGAGGAGTGGGCGGGCGAATCTCTCTATTTTCCGTCGCGATCCAGTGACACCTTCTGATTCAATCTTAAATTTTTGGAATCATCATAACTACACATAGCAAATCATATACTATATACATAAGGCATAACAAACCATAAATACATAGCAAAACTGAAATACTAATTACGTCATTTATTTTGTATTTGGATAATTGTGTTTGACACTGATTAATTTTAACATAATAGAATGTTAATAGCAACGTTACTAAAGAGGTTTAAAATGTTTCATTTCCATCGCGGCTCACCTAATCAGATCCCATTTTCTTTCAGTTGTAAACATATATATATATATATATATATATATTTCAAAATTAAGCAAATATAGTGACATCCTGGACAAGTATGTTTATTTGATAGGACCACAAATGTTTCTTGTCTTTTTCTATTTTCTATTTTACTTTATATAATCTGTTGCACATTTTTGTTAACGCTTTCTCCAGTATACTTATGGGTTTTGAGATGTATATATGATCTATTGGTTAAATATACGTTTTGTCGTATCTATTGTTTAAAAGTTGATCTCAACTATGGTTCAATAATTTTTCTGCATTTGATAAGTACATATATATAGATATACATATCAAGGTTAGTATTAATATATTTTTGCGATTAGATAAGTGTACGTAGTATATATGCAATAGTACTCAGTAATGAAACTCAATCAATGTGTATTATATATAGTTGGTTTGTTCAAAATCTAATTTGAATACGATACTTTTAATTACATAGTATACTATATGTTAATAGAACACATGATGAAGTAAAAGCAAATAATTGGCTGGAGAATGTGTAGCTCATGATGTTCTTGCATTATCCCATGGGGATTTAAAGTTCATAGAGACACAAATCATACTAACACATCGGTTTTCGGAAAAGAGACTTCTATGAAGACCGAGATTTGGTCTAAGGACCATATCCACACACATAAAACATCGATAAATATTGCTTTCAGTATAAACAAATATATATATATATATATATATGTTTATGTACATTTATATAGTATACGATTTTTGAACGTTGTGTCGTGGGAAGAGAAAATGAGAAACTCACACCAATTTAAAAACGTTATGTTGTGGGAAGTGAGAATGAGTAACTTAGCTTATACTCCCTCCGTTTTTTATTATATGATGTTTTAGAGTTTATTTTTTATTCTAAAATATATAATATTCTCACATTTCTATGTAAAAATTAATTATATTTTTATTATTTTGGTTGTTTGAATTCTGATATCTATTTTTTTATTGGTTAAACTGTTTTGAAAATGATAAAAAAACTATGTTTTGTTTTGAAAAAATAAAGAATTAAATGATTTCTTAATCTGTGTGAACTTCTCTAAAACATCATCTAATAAAAAACGGAGGGAGTACTATACTATTTTATGAAAAAAAAGCTGTTCTCTACTGTTTGTTTTTTTTTGTTGGTCTACTACAAAACATGTTTCTTTCTTTATTACAAAAACGAAATGTATTTTAAGATATACGATTATGTTACATATGATTATTTAGAACTTTGTGTCTACTAATTCAATGCATCTCACTTTGTATCCCCCCATTTTATTTCGTTTTATTTTTGATAGGATGAAAAAAATTATTTTGCTATTAACCGGCCTGTAATTTTCCGCCAGGAAAATAGGTGATTCATTCACAAACAATCATTGGTCTCCAAATATAACTGATGATCATTATATTTCCCTTTGGACCCTACCTACTTGTGGCTCCCAATTTTTATCAAAATAATCATGACCATATTAAAAAAAATTATAACAAAATTATGGCACTAACAGTTTAGAATTTGATCACTTCTCGATATTCCGTTCTTTTTTTGTTTAAGTTTGTCTATCGTAAGTAAAAATCTCAAAATAATGAGAAACCTAGCGCAATAACTTACAAGCTACAAACTAATAAAACCAACTACATCTTTTTTGTAAACGCTATCATAAATTCCTATCACATTCATTTGCAACCAAACTAAATCAAATTTTGGATCAATACTAACTCTTAAACAAATAACATGTAAATAAAAGTAACCTGCAGGTTCAAAAGATTACATATCAAACTAATCTATAAACTTAGTACATAGATCCAAAGATGTGGAGGTCAAGAAACAGGGATGGAGAGTGACATAACATGAATCTTCCATTCAAAATCAGCAATCAGGAATTGAACATTATAATGTGCTTATATAATTGGAAGTGGTGGGACCACCGAAAATAGAACTGGAAAAATAGACATAGAGATTTGAGTTGACTAGTCAAAGTTCTAATATTTTTCAGTTGCTTTGAGGTATTAGTAGACACAAGTGACAAAACTGGAATTTCTTGGGCAATAAAAAGAAGTTAAAGCAGATCGTATTGATAACAGAGCTCTTGCATATAGTATGAATCATACTGCAATCTATCTCGACATGATGTCCTTCTCATTTATCATAGTTTATAGAGTGATTAATATCGTAATTTTGATTAATATAGAGATATAACACTTTTGATAAATTCTAGTGAATTGAGATGTTTGATCTACAATTTTGGTTTGATAATTTTTTTAAGTGAGTGCTAATTTCTGATAATGCCATTTGAGTTGTTCATTGAACTGTGGTAATTTTGTATTCTTATGTTCATTTTTAATTTCCTTTAGATGATTGTACCGTTAGTGTGTGTTGATGGTCTAAGCAATTGATGAAGTCCGAAACTTTATTACTTTTTGTTAAATCAACGACTGCATCTGCATCAAGTTGGTCCATTCATAATTGTGGTTAAATAATTTATAAATTATAATCATCGTAATTAAATATAGATTAACATACTCTAAATTTTAATACTAACGGAAAGAATAATGGCCCTGGTCAAAATTCCTGATAAGAAAAAGTTAATTAACTACTTTGATAATTACGGAACTTGATATAGTTGATAGAAAAATTTCAGTAAGTAAACAAAAAAGGGACTAGAATTTGGATTCCCTTATAAAAAAAAAAAAAACCATCGTTATCACTTATCACAAAATTTTGGTGACAGGGTTAAACTGGTCAGCCTCATATCGTCATACTTGTCAATATCTTGAAACCCTTTAAAAAAAATATTATAATCACCACAAAATTTATAATTTTTCATATATAAAAAAGAAACCCACACAATTTAGGTTTATAAAGGATTCTACGGATTTAGGTATTGCCCATCAATGATTTACATAACTCTTACTCAAATTTGTTTTTTTATAAAACCTCTTTCTAAACCTAAATTGTTTTGTATTTTTTGCAAATTTTTCAAAATTAGTGATATATTAAAACTCTTTTTGGTGGTATATAAAGTAATGCTCTTGTTTTTTTAATCAATAAGTTAAGTGATATAACTACTACCACACGGATCGTACAAATGAAATGCGAAGCAACTAAGAAACCCTAATTTCTGATTTAAAAGTTCATAAAGAAAGAAATAAGAAACCCTGAAAATGTCCGGACAAATATTCGAGTGTGGGGCCAAGCCAACAACAGAAGAAACAGAGTGATTGGCCGGCGGAATCAGTGGGACCTATGTGTCGACTAATGGAATGACACGTGGCGGCATGAGAAAGGAATAAAATTGGAGGAGATCGAGGAAAGAAGGAATGATAAGTGAGAGCAAGTGGTTTGATAGGTTTTGCATGTGGTGTCTCACTCACAGTCACTGTTTCAAACTCCCACTTTATTTTATTATAGCAAAATCTATCCATTTCCACATTTTCCCTGACAAAAACATTAGAATCAAAATTTCATTCTACTCTAGTTTGGTTGAATATATAGGGATCTACGAATATAAAATACTATCTAAATACATTCGTATGACATATGTTCCAAGATGATGTTTTCGGCTTTATCACAAGTACACAACGTTTTGTTAACCCACAGCTACAATGTTGTCAAATATGATCCAGTTATGTTTTATACTCCCAAGTTAAGGAAACTTTAATCCTTTCTCTTATTTCATAATGGATTATTTGGCTTATATTCTCTTTCAGTTAGAACTGTTTCTGTTTATTTTCATTTTTTTTTTACTAAAACCTTGCTGATTATTTTAACCTATTAGCCAGTCCTATTTTAGTCCTATTACACTAGAGAACACTAACAAGAAGAAGACTGTGTATAAAATAATACAATAAAAAGAAGATTTTAAGATCGGATTAGAGATTTGAGGCGCAATTTCCAAAGGGACCCGCATATATTCTTGCCTCCATCTTCAAGCAAAGCATCAAAGCGTAGATTCCCATGCAGCTCTTTCTTTTTAGCTTGCCCTCATTTTTTTTTATTAAATCTTCGGAGCTTTCTTTTGTTTGTTTCCACTTTAGTGAAAATTTCTCTCGATTTCAGAAAACGGATTCGTTTTCACGATCCATACCTTTTTTTGCTCATTCATTATGTTTCGGTTGGTATTAAACATATGATCGGTTTCATTCATCTATTTCTTTTTTAGAAGGGTTTTCTTTTCATTTCATCTATAACCAGCAAGTTTCTCAAAAGTTATTTATACGTTTACATTTCATAACAATTGTATTCAGTTTTAAACGCACTATTATCAATGACTTAACCAAAAGATATAAAATGTATATATCGTTTTAAAAGAAAACTTCTTCTCACACACAATTAATCGTAAACTTTGGTCTAAAACATAACAGTATATTTTATGCGAGGTTACGACTTATGAGTTCTGGTTGGTAATCCTCAAAATAACAGGATAATTTTGAAATTGCTATACGAATTTTGTTTGATAATTTTGCTTTCCGAAAATGTATTAAGAAAAATAAAAACATTTCCATCATCCTACAGATGATTCTCATCTGATAATTGTGAAATCATATTTTTCTTTCGTAGGATATTTTGTCATTCAAAAAGAAAAGATGTCGGGGGTCTCGTGACGTAGACGCGTCACTGGTTCGCGTGATAGGTTTCATTTTCTACCGTGGGCCTGTATTAACTTTAATACACTTAATAAAATTGGGCCTACAGTTACCAGACCAATGGGCTTAACTACAAATTGAATTATGTAGGAGATAAACTTATATTATTTCGGACAATACCTTGACTTGAGCTCTTTAATTATAAACAAAAGCTTTGAATTAGAATTTCTTTCTGTCAACCCGATTAAAAGTCGAGCAGAACGGTTGGTTTCCATGACCGGTGAAAACATCAAATGTTTTGGTTCCGGTAAACAGTTAAAGAATCCAACCGGAGAATATCTACAAAAAAAACATGATTCCAAGAACCATTATCGTCTCTCTCATTTACTCGCACTCTTCTCAGACATCAACCTTTTGATCAGCACCAAAATGTCTTCTCTCAAATAGGTAACCAACTCCGGTACAGTCTCCTTCACATCAGTAAACCACAGCTCATCCCGGTTCTTCATTCCTCCAGAGCTAAACCATTGGCATACAACCTTGGCGATCGCAAGAACGTAAACACCACAATCGTACCCATTCTTCTGCTGCGGTGTATCGCTGCACTCTCTGTACGCTGCATCTCCGTTAGACACAAACGGAGAAACCGCCTTGAAGAGCTGCTTCGCGTTAAACCTGTTGACTCCCATCAAGCTATCGTGATGGAAAAACGAGTTGGCTTCTCTGTAGTAGACGAGCAAGCTCCAATGCAACCCTCCTTCCGCTAGCTCCACGTCGAGGTTGTCGTTGACAGGCAATATCAGGAGGTCGATGTCGCGTAGCCTGAAGGGTTTCATGAACTCTTTGAGGGATTCAGCGTCAGGGCAGTTCGAGATCCAGAAGGCAATGGAGGGAGGGATTAGTGAGATGGTAGGGGAAGTGTGAACTGTGGCTAAGTAGCTTAGGTAGAACTCGATCACACGATCGTTTAGAAAGTTGGGAGCTTTTAGGATCTCCAAATCTGATCTCCTCAGGACAACATCGTTGTACCCGAGGATCTTGTCGTCACCCGAGGTATTCCCCATACTGATTTAAAGCTTCAAACGGATACACTGGAGGAATCTAGAAAATCTGCAGTACATGTATGTATACAATTTGTTAGGCCAACTATATAAACATGTGAAAATGAAGCAACAACAGGTTTTTCAGAAAGTAGAACAGGAAACAGTTAAGAGCCTTAAATATTGTACTGAGTAAGGGATCGTAAGGCTCAATAGGCCGAATTGCTTTGTTATATGAGCAACCTTTTCATAGCTTAAGCCTAGAATGGCTTCTTGTTCATTCTAACTAAAAGCCAGAAACTTTAGCAGTAACATCAGATCTTAATAAAAGGGTAACTAAAAAATACTATCAAAATCTAATAGAGTGGTAGTAAAACCATAAGAGGTATATATACAAGTTTGAAACAAGAACTTTGCCTTCTTATTGAGTGATTGTAACGGTTTCTCCCCAATTTTGCGGCGTTCAAAGACAAATAAGAGAGTATACAAACCCCAAATTGCATCTCATATGGCAGACAAACCGACATCATACATATATTATAAAGAAAGCATATACACTTAAGCCAAAGAGTTTTGCAAACCAAAAACTTGGTTCAGGCTTTTTGTCGAGCAGTTTACGTTCACTATAAATTTTTCTTAGAAGAACCACGTAGAGCAATCAAACGAAACCAGTGGTTCTAAAAACTCAACAGATTGAGAGGAAGTTAAAAATTCCTAAAGATTCACTCACAACTCAATATGCATGATTTTGGGCAGGAATTAATAAACTGAGATATGCAACGAACTCATAAATTAGCAAGTACCTTTCATTCTCTTTATCTATTTGCGCGATTCCTGAAAACAATCATCACTTTAGATCTCCAGCAATCCACCGTTGAAAAACTGTAATCCGACGAACAGAATAAAAAGAGAACAATTGATCGCGAAAATCCAGAAAAGGAAATGTGGGAGAAAAATATGGACTAAAAAGGAAAGAGTATTTGGTGTGACGAATGGAATACTAACCCAACATCGGCCCATGAGCCCAAAACATAATCAGTCGTGATCAAAGAACTAGTTAGTCCACGCAAGTTTTCCTCCACACGAGAACACAATTTCTTATACTAGATTTTTATCCGCAGCAGACTTATTTATATATTGATATTACTATTATATATATTAAATTAATATTATTGTGGGTTATATATGTTTTTTATTTTTTGAATGTTTTTGTTGTCTTAAAATACATATATATCTATATTGTAAATTATATTTCTAATATAGATTATAATATATTAATTTTAAAAAAATATTTCATATATTTATATACTGCAATAAATATTATATATATTTTTACTGTTTATTTGTATTCAATTGATTTTTCATATTTTTCTACATCTTATTTTCATAGATCAACAAAGTGACACTATCGATCCTTCTCCATTCTAAACTGAATGTTCCCTTAATTTTATATCAATTTTCAAAAAATCTAACTCATTTTCAAGCACATTTATTCTTTTATTTGTTTTTCCTTTCTTATAACTCTTAGTCTCGCTATTTTGATTGCAATTTACTATTTTTTTCTCTTATTTCATGCAAGCTTTCATCTTATTCGGTTCCGTGATCTGTTATAACTCTAAATGAGAGAATTTTAGTTAGAATTGGCTAGACAGAGCATAAGATCTGTTTGAATATTGCATATGTTTGATGGATTTTCATATCAAAAAATTATGCGTACTTGATAAATTATTGATTTTACTTTATTTGAGGCGTTTTTCTTTTTCAATGATGAATTATCTTACTATATTTTTGAATGTATGTGAGAATATTTTTTGTCTATTTTTATATTAAGTGAATGTAAACAATATGACTATGTTAAAAAGTATAATCAGTAATCTTGTTTTAGTTTAATTATATATTTTAGAGTAAAATTCATATATTATCTGACTGAAGAGTAAAGTGATCACATATCAATTTTATATTACCATCATTGAGAATAAATGGTTGATAACTATTTGCCATATTTTTACTCCTTCGTATAAATCAAATTCATTTATATGCTATATAATTAAACACTTTATTTATAAAAAACTTTCATTCATTTTACACAGTAAAGTGGATATGAATAATATTATTTTAGTTTTAACCATTAATATTTTTGAGCATTTTTAAATGAGTTTGATAACTATTTTTAGCTAGTTCTTCTGTCATCTTTCGTAATTGTTCATTTTTCAACTTTTTTTTTCAAATTCTGTTTGTTAATATTCGAAATAACTTTTTAAATAAATTTATTTCAAAGAGAATTTGTAGTTTTTATAGTTTGTAAAATAAGTATTTGTTTTATATATATGATTTTACTTTAGCTTTATATATAAATCTTTCTAAGGTGTTTTTCTTAAAGTTTGATAATTATTTTCTGTAATTTTTTCTGTAATCTTTTGTATTTGGTTGCCTTCCAAACTCCTTTTCACAAATGAAGAATATGTAATTTTATGATTTGTAAAATAAGTATTTGTTTTTAATTTCAAATTAATCATATTGAAAGCCCAAAATAAATACCTAAATATAAAAACTTAAAAACAAAACCCAAAATATTTAAAAATCCATTTTAAAATTAAAAATATGCTGATGTGGACACCTTAGATGGAGAGATGACTTCCTCATTATATATATAATTTATGGTATTTTTTTTACAACAGTCTCAATTTTTTAGAACAGGTTTGAAATCTAAATTGTTAAAAATCAGTTTATGATAAATATAGTTCTAAGCATTTCGTACTAATTTGTTTACTTTTATGTTCTGTGTATGTAAAATGTATGTTAATAAGAAAAAAAATAAACTTCCTTCTACTTGTAATATTTTGATAACTTAGCAATATTAGCCTTATAAAAAAAAACTTAACAATATTATCGTTTATTTAAAACAAAAAAAACACATAGAAAATCTAAATACATAGACATATTATAATTTTTTCCAGGGTAGTGCAAACCCAGGCGGTCTATCTTTATGTTTGGTAGTGTAAATCCCATCAGGTCTTGCAATCCAAACTCGTAGCTGGCCACACCGAGGCCATGAAGCTCCTCTGTATACTGTTATGTTATAAAAAAAACCATCTTGCCTAAAATCACAATCCCATTCTGTGCCTTTGCCAAAAGCCTCACGGAATTCAATGACATATGGTTTCTCCTTAAACTTTAAATGTTTGATTCCAAGATTGTTGTCTCTTGACCTGCAATGATATTCAAGAACTTTACCAGGACCAAGTTCGTTTTCAATTCTTACCTGACTAAACGAACAAAATCCAGCTTCATTTAATCCAAAATATATAGTAATCAACAAAAATAAGAGATATTTCATTTTTATTTTATCTATGATCATTTTTGGACACCAACTTCTAATATTGATAAATTTCGTTGTTAAGAGTAGGTTTTTCTTTTTTCTTTTATACACAAATATTTTTGTGTGGCTTAACTAAATTTAGACTGACAAATAAAAACTAAAGATAATACCAATTTGATCTAAAGTTGGCTTAGCTAATTTTAGAAAGACTAAATATATGGAGCAATTTCATCTCTGGTCTGAGAAGAATGTAGCATCAAAAAGTATGTTGACCAATTAAGTCGGCCTAAAAGGCAAACAAAACCAGACCAAAACTTTAAGATCTAACAAAAAGTCTTCGAAATGTATGATTTTCACCGAGTTTAGAATTTTGGACAGCTAAGATGTAAATTTATCGACTGAAACATACAAAAACTTATTCATAAGTAAATTTACGATAAAATATATATTGTACTGAGACAAAATAAGAATTTATCTTAAATATGTACAGCAGATGATCACTTATCTTCTTGTTTCGAGCCTCACATTGTTTCTACTCCTTCACGGTTTATTTGGTTTTTATTACTTGCTGATATTCAAGGACGTAGGTTCAAGGTTTATGCAGGTCTCTGTGATTGATGTTGTTCCACCTCTTGTTGCAGGAAACGGCTTTTCAACATGGTGAATGACCTCCCAACAATATTTGAGGTTGTGGCTGGCACTTCAAAAAAACAATCAAAGGACAAATCCTCTGTTTCCAACAACAGCAGTAACAGTTCCAAATCAAACTCCAAGGTAAAAAGATTTTCTTTCTGCTCTAGTTCTTCTGTCCCAAATGATATGTTAATAGAATCGGCAAATTTGTTGACTTGGTTCTGAGTGAGCTGCCTCTCGTTTTGCCAATAGAAATGTTGGCCTACTTCTATACCAAATGTCTTTTATAACTTCTTTTTCATTAGTCTACTAGGTAATAATCCGCGCACTGCGCAGGGTGAAATATCTTTTATTAAATTAATATAATTTTTTTAAATATTATATAACATAATATATTTAGTTTTAATTTTCGTTTTTATATAATATAATTGTAGAATATATTAATAATATAATAGAATACTTTTATTTATATTAGTATAAAACCGCTGTAACGTCCAATCAATATACACTGTTTTACTCTAATGGGTTTAAATATACGTTTGAATGATATAAAAAATGATAGATATAAATAACTTAATCTGTGAAAGAAAAAACAAATTATTGCTTGATTGATATAATTATAATAAATAATTATTTTATCTCTTTAAATTATTTTAGGATAAATAAATAAGAATTAAAACGGCTGACAAAAAAAAAGGATTATAAACAAAAGAGAAAATAGAGAATAACATAAGTTGCAATCAAACCTCCACGTTGGTGTCACATGAATAAACAAATAATCACATTGTATATGACTTAGAACTTATTTTTTATTGTCTGATGAATATTAAGGTTAATCAAATGGAATATAGTTTGAAGTTGTAATAATACAATGTACTTAAACTATATACAAAACAATATGTAAAGAGACCGAAGATTAAAAAATAAAGGCTTCATTAAAATTTTACGGAAACAAATAACGAAACATAAAGGACACAAATTATTAAAAAAACGGAACTAAAAAACAAAATTCAAACCCAGAAAACGATTGAAGCCTCAAGGTTTCAGATCAGTAGTAGAACTAAAAGATGCCATGAGAATGAACTGTAAAAAAATTTTAACCAGAAAAGGCAATGAAAAAGTGATATGTGAGTGCATATAGCACACGTCTTATATATAGTTGGGTGACAATTTAAATCATAATATATATGAAAGTATTTATGGCACATGTAATATTTAAAATATAAGACATTAAATAACGAAATGACTCAATTATAGATATGAAGTTAATATTTAAGATACTAATCGGTTGAACTATGTTTTTACTAACTATCAAATGAACAATTAAATATGTCATTTCTTAAATAGTAATTAGTAGTATCCATTATTACCTAATAGTTAAGAAATACGTATTAACTCTACTAATCATAGATTGAGAAAGACGAAAACACATCAATAACGTTATTAATCAACTATTAAGTTTGGCAATTACTCATTTAATGCATATATATGGAGTACTTGACATATATTGATCCCCTTTTAATTTATTAGTTCTTATATATAGATGCATGAATAATTTAAAGTTAATGCATATTGATACGTCTTTCTCAAGTTATCATTTAATGCATATTTAGCATGTAAATTAATTTATATATGATTAGTTTATCTTTCTATGCATGCGATTAATTCTAAACCTCTATTTCTAAAGTCAAGATTTAACAATCAAAATTAAAAAATTATTTATTAATTCATATGCATGCGATTTATTCTAAACCACTATTTCTAAAGTTAAGATTTACGAATCAAAATATAAAATTAGTATAAACGATTAATAATTATGTTGGATACAAATATAAAAGATACTAACTATTGGAATGAATGAATCTACTAACTATACTATTTCTTTTTTAATATGATTAATGTATAATATTTTAATTTTTTTTAGAACTATAATAGTTGAATACATTATAAAAATTGCATCATATTACAATGAAAAATATATTTATATGGTGCATAATATGTCAATGTATAAATTTAAGTACATGTGTAGACATGTTTTTTAAATATAAACTAATATATATCGATGGATAGTTTATAAAGATATAATATATGTTTGATTATAACAATGCATAATGGCATAACATGTAAATATTCTAGTAATAGAAGTCTTTTTTATAAAAATACTGAGAAGCTCTATGGTGATGACACATCAGCATAATGACACCATTGTAATATTCTACAAATTTAAGGTTTCTCTCTAAAAATGCTTCTCTTTTAATATATAGGGGATTGATGGAATATGACAAAACATTCATATTGCCCTCTCACAGAAATAATAATAAAAAAATTCTTGTAAATAACTCCATATAGATATTCAATTGTCTCTTAAAAAAGACAATAGTATAAATATATACAATATGAAATCTTTAAATTAATTAATAATATTAAGACTTTGATATTGTATTATCATTATTTTATACAGTATTAATATTATTATTTTAAACATTGATACAATATACTTAAATGTCAAATGAATTTATATGACTATATCATTTGGCTATAAATTACAAAACTAAATTAATCGATCGATAACTAAGCAATTATCGCTTATTTTATAAAAAAATACAAAGACAACTCAATTACTGATTATAATTTTTTCTAGAACAATGCGAATCCAGGTGGTTTATTTCCGTGTTTGGTAGTGTAAATCCCATCAGGTCTGGCAATCCAAACTCGTAGCTGGCCACATCGAGGAAATGAAGCTCCTCTATATACTGTTATGTTATAAAAAAAAACACCTTGCCTAAAATCACAATCCCATTATGTGCTTTTGCCAAAAGCCTCTCTGAATTCAATAATATATGGTTTATTCTTAAATTTTAAATGTTTGATGCCGAGATTGTTGTTTCTTGCAATGACATTCAAGAACTTTTCCAGGACCAAGTTCGTTTAGAATTCTCACCTCACATAATTCACAATATCCAGCTTCATTCAATCCAAAATATATAGTAATAAACAAAAATAATAGATACTTTTTTTATTTTATCTAACATCATTTTTGGACACCAATGTCTAGTATTGATATATTTCTTTGTGATAAATAAGTTTTTCTATTTTTTTTATGGCTTAGCTAAATTTAGAAAGACAAAAACTAAAGATTAATACCAATTTGATTTGGCTTTAGCTAATTATACATGGAGCAATTTGATCTTTGGTCTCTGTTTTTTTATAGGAAAAAAAATTTGATCTCTGGTCTGAGAAGAATTTAACATCAAAAAGTATATTGACCACTTAACCATACAAATTAAGTCGGCCTAAAAGGCAAACAAAACCAGACCAAAACCTTAAGATCTAACAAAAAGTCTTCGAAATGTACTATTTTCACCGAGTTTATAATTTTGGACAGCTAGAATGTAAATTTATCGATTGAAACATACGAAAACTGATTACGATAAAATATATATTGTTTTGAGACAAAATAAGAATTATATCTTAAATATGTACAAGCACATATAACTCGCCACAATTTATATGTGCTTAGTCGCAACCATGAGCCACTAAAAGGCTTCCCAGTCTTTTTCCTCCATTTCACTTGCTTCGTTGGAAGAAAATCGCTGGGGCAATTCGTCGAACAGTTGGCGTACAACTAGATCCGACTCTTACAGAGACTTCAAATTTCGCAAATTTACACAAATTAAGCTACATTCATCAACCAAACACATCATAGAAACTGCAAACAGAGAAGGAATCGATACAGCACGACGAAACCAACACTGAATAAACAGATCACAACGATTACAAGAGGTATCACTAGAAGAATCCGTCAGACTCATGGTAACGGATTTCAAACTCGAGAATCAGGACAGGGCAACAGAATTGAGCAAGAGGTAATAATTAGAGTCAAAAATACGGCTTACGACATGAATCTTAACGTGGGAGATGCAAACGATGAAATAGAAAATTCATGAAGAATTCTAAGAAGATGAAGATCAGAAACTTAAAAGAGAGAATTTTTGCACCTTCAAGTAAGAATCTGAGACGAGTCTTGAGGCTACGAAATTGAGCGAGAGAAGTAAATGAGACCGCACCCTAAAACTAAAATGAATATAAACAATTCGGCGGGAGATGGCCATGAACAAAGTTTAACGTTTACTATATATTTTTGGGATTTTACTGATTTTCTGGAGTTACGAATGGAATTTTTTTTTGTTTTAAGAAAAAGTATTGTTTTGACTTGCATAGAATTTCTTTATTAAAAAACAACAATACTTTAACTCATACAGTATTTAGTTATATAAACCATAATGCGTTTCAACAGATTTCGACACACACAAAAATTATAATACACGAAATCTTTTTTTCTTTATCTATTTTACTTATTATCTATTTTCAATAAATTTGACAAATTGATTTTTAAATTTCTATTTGAATTTGGTTTTCCTTTTTTTTTTTTTTTTTTGCTTTTTAAAGCTTAACGGCTTCTTTAATCATTCTTCTCAGCAATATTTTTTGGATAAAATCAATGAATCTTCTAGACATTCCATGTGGGATATTATTATTCCCTAATAGTATATAATAAGATAACTGTGACAAGCGAATATACCCAAATACTGTTAAGATTCACTTGTGAAGGAGAAATTTCCTCGAGTTAATAATTTACTTCCAAGGGTTTGACAAACGACAAGCGAGGAGATGGCGGCTAAGAGGAAAACAAAAGCAGGATTAGGGTTACTGCTACACGACGACGAGTACACGACTTCCTTGGACGCCAAGATTTGGCCGATAAGAAGTTGCTTTCATCCTCATGATGATGAGGCCAAGGAAGCTAAGAAGGAGACTTGCGTTATCTGTTTCGACGACGACATTGATCCGTGTTACATGTTTTCTGTCAGTAAATGCGGTCACAGGTTTTGCGTAAACTGCGTGAAAAAACATATAGAGGTGAAGCTGCTTGATGGAACGTTACCGAACTGCCTTGAGCATGGCTGCGAGTCTCAGCTCTGTATCGATAGATGTCGCACGTTTTTGACTCTCAAGCTGATTTGGATGTGGGAACAAAGGATTAGAGAGGACACGATTCCTTCGAAGGAGAGGGTTTATTGTCCGAACTGCTCTTACTTGATGTCCAAAACCGAGCTTTTTTCGTTTTCTGGATCTGCATTTAGGAGATGCTTTAAATGCAGTGCCTCCTTCTGCTTCTACTGCAGAGTTACATGGCATAGTGAGCTATCTTGCACCGATTACATGAAGCTGCATCCTAGTCCTCAGAACGTAGATGATGCAAAGCTGGAATCTCTGGCAAACCTTAAAGGATGGCGTCAATGCCACAGGTGCCAACACATGGTTGAACTTTCTTCCGGATGCATCCACATAACTTGCAGGTAACTCTCTCTCTCTCGGAGAATTATATATAAGTCATGAAGAGATTTTTGTCTTTTTAACTTGTCCAAAGTTGATTGTGTTTTTGGCATATATATATATACAATTTCATGCACTCTCGGGTAACCTTGTACGTAGGTGTGGAAATGAGTTTTGCTACACGTGTGGCGAGAAATGGGCCACCTCTTCCCATGTGAACTGTTTTCGGATAGGAAACCGAGTCTTTTGGGTTATTACTGTACTAGTTTTCATGTTATGCCTAATTGTTGGATATAGAGTCTCTTAAAGACAAACTCAAGCTGCTACTCTTTTTTTATTCGTCTAAGTTTTCATTCGATAATGAGGCCGGAAGGCTGGTACAAACTCAAGCTGCTACTCAGCACACAGATATGTCGTCACATAATTGTTTGTTTCAGAAAATTGTTTTTTTCGAATGGATGTGTCCCAAAAATAAATAGAGTTTAAAATTTATTATACTGATCTTCTCAGAGTTACGAATGGAATTTTACATGTTAAAAAAGAAAGGGTACTTAACACTTAACAGGCGTCAAAAGACCTTAATGTAAGTAATACAACCTCGTTTTCTATGTTTATATGCTGAAAATGTGAAAATGAGTTTTTCTCCAAGAAAACCTTCTACATTTATTTTGTAATGTCTAAAAGCGAGCTATCTTCATTTTGCTAATTTCTACTAATTAACCACTCAGCGTCTTCAATAATTTTATCGGATTGTAGTTTTTCTTTCTTCATGAGTGTCACTAAATTTGAATATACTGTCCCATTTAGATGGTAGCAGAATTACGATTCTAAATAAATATTAAAAAGATATAATTTAAAATCTAATCCATTTATCTCCGATGAAATAATTAATCTGGTTAAGGATTTTCGTAGTTATTAAAAATAGGGATAAAGAGGTGGATGGCAAATGATGGGATTTTTATTAGGTAAATAGCAAAACCCAAATGAGCTAGAAAAAATCAGCTAAAGGATGACGAACAGTAATTAGAGATTTCGTTTATTTACGTTTATTGCCATCGAGTGCGCGTGGGCAAGCTGATGAACGAATTAAATATATGGACATTTATGGTTTCAATTAAAGCTGACATTGGGCTTGATATTAAATGAGGAGACAATATAGATTCGCCGCCGCCTTAACTAAGCATGATACGGACAGAGGTGATGGAGAGTTAATGCTATATGTAATGTTCCAACAAGAAATTTCGATGAGTGAAGCGGAAAACTAAAATATATGGGCACACCTAGGTTTATGGACTGTCCATAAGTACTAGTTCCTGCTTCTAATATATATATATATATATTATAACGTGTTATTTGATATGATAGGGGTTTATAATGATATATGAGTATAGTGAGTAAAATATATAAGTTTACAAAGTGTTATAGTCTACTAACATTGATGGAGAGTTATTATCGTATTTGGAGGGTTATTTGTTATGATGGGTGGTTAGTGTACGAGGTAGATCACGTAAATTATATTATATTGTGTTGTTTGAGCTGATATTTTTTATGTTCATAAATGAGTATACTATATGTAAATCTACAAGGTATTGTAGTTGTCTAGTAACATTGATGGATAGTCATAGATATTTACTTTGGAGTGTTATTTGATATGATGGATCTACAAGGTATTATAGATGTGCAAAAAGTAAAATAAGCTTACATAAACCGACATAGCATACATATGTACAACATACGATATATACAAACATCTGACATGTGTGATGATGAAATCAAAGAATTAGCTTGAAAATGATGGATTAGAGCGATCGCTCAACTAAACAATCAATAGAGCGAGATCGAGCGAATTTGATCTTGAGAACCCAACAAAAAGTGTGAGAATAAGATCTCACATGTGAAAAAATGGATAATCTCAGAAATTAGGTCTCAGTAGAGAAGATGATGGCTCTGTAACCTCAGATCTGATCGTGTATTGATTGTCTGAGATGATTTTCGGAGGTGTATGTGGGCGATTAGCTAGAACAACAACAATGATATGGAGAGTGACGATTTGGCCAAGTCGGTGGTGGTCGGATCGGAGATAGATGATGAGATCATCTTAGCCTTGTTAGAACCACCAGACAGTTTCGTTGAAATGAAAAAAAATGAGGTCAAGAGATTTCAAAGGAGAAGAAGTATCACAGTGATAAAGAAAGAATGAAAATAAGAGATAAAAGAGAGAAGAAGATGTGGATTGATAATTTTAGATGAACTAAAAATGTTATTTGTCTACACATCCCTTCGTCTAGTTTTGTGAAGAGATATTTTAGATTTGAAAGGAAAAAAGAAATATTATTTCAATCGAACGCGTGAGAACAAAACTGAGAACATAAGTGGCAAAATAGTTTTATGTTTAGGTGCAGAAATAACATATGTCGATTACTCAATTGATTACCGGTCTTACCGGTCTTATGCTATTTTGTGCTATTACTCTTAAAAATAATAGCAGAAAAAGAAAACACAAAGGCTCCATGTGGAATGGGGAGATTCATTAATGGAAATATATGGAAAAAAGGAAACATATGGGAAAAAAGGAAAACTCGAGAGGGATAGATTTCCTTTTCCTAAGAAACAAATAATTTGTTAAACAAATTCAGAGTCTCACTAGTATAAATACATATCGCTAGAACCCCACAGATTCATCCAACAATCACTCAAACAAATCTCTCACACTTCTCCAAAGTCACAGAGATTAATAATAATAATAATCCCTCTCTCTAGTTGAAATTAGTTTCTGTACAATGTCAATCAGCGATAATTCCTTTTCAATGTCGACCATGTTCGATGCTTTGCAAAATATCCGTTTCTCTAAAGGAATCTCCGGCTCCATTCCTCCTCCGGGTTTCACTCCACGCGCCTCCGCCGTATCAAACACGCGCTTGAGCCCGCTGTTCAACATAATGACTAGCGGCGAAGGTGTGGCAGCGCAGTTCAAAGAGATGATCTCAAGTTTAGACCGAAGGCACCTTCACATGATGGTGTCGTTGCTGACGTCAGACGCCGATTACTTCATGGAGATCGTCAGAAACAAGTACGGCTCGAGACGCGTGCAGAAGCTCCTCGGGATATCTGATGACGTGGACGCGTTCTTCTACGCCGTTATCCTGCGCCGTTTCCTCCACATCATGACCGACAAGTACGCATCCTACGTGGCGACACGAGCCATGGTCGTTTTCGAGCGGGAGAAGAAGAAGGCAATGTACGAGCACATTCTACATTACGCGCTCGACATTGCGCGTGATAAACACGGCTGCATCGCGCTCAACGAGGTCATAACCGATGTGGATGATCCTTACTACAGGAACCAGATGCTAGACGTAGTCGCGCACAACGCTCTCTTCCTAAGCAACGATGCCTCAGGGAACTTCGTGGTCCAACACGTTCTCAAACTGTATGACATGCGTTGCACGCACAACGTCGCCGTTAGTCTTCGTGGACATTGCGTTGATCTTTCGCTCAAGAAGTACGGAAGCTACATCGTAGAGAAGCTTCTGGAGGCGGAGGAGACGATGGATGTGGTGGTTGTGGAGCTTTTGGAGTGCGAAAGAGACAAGCTGAGGAGGCTGGGGAGGGATGAGTTTGGGAGTTTCGTGGTGGTCAAGGCACTGAGAGTCACGCAGAAGAATAGGATCGATCTGTTTTGGGATTTGGTGGAGAAGCTCATGCCTCTTCTTGACTTTTTCCGTAGGTCTCACGGAAGTAGCATTGCAAACATTTTGGAGTCATGTTCTATAAGTACGAGACGCTTCAATTAAAGTATTAGGTTGTTCTATGGTTGATTACTGAAATCTTGTTATAAGAAGTTTGTCGTTAATTTTTTGTGTAAGGATCAATTTGATTCAAACGGAATAGACATAAAATTGCCATTAATCGTGCACTCTCACCATTCATTATCAGCTTATTTTATTTGTTTTTTACTGAAATTAAGATAACTTATCTGAACTGCTTCAAATATATGTTAGTGAAAATATAAAAGTTCTTCAAGATAAAACACAAAAGACAGAAAGCCTATCACATTATTAGAGGCAGAAAGAGTTCAACAGTAAAACTTGGCGCTTTTGTTTTCTTTTTTTTGTTTTCTTATGTTTTGCGATAACAATTTGATGATGTATAAAAAAATTGTTAAAAAGATGTACTGTTACCGTTGGACTTGGACCCTTACTTGCATCCACATTTTTGCTAGAATTCCCAGATCAATCTGCAGAAATCATATCTATACAAGGCACCAAAACATCAACATCTTTGGCTCCTGCAAAAGAGAAAAGAACATATTCAGCATTCACATATACTATCAGAACCAATGGAGAAACCAAATATTCAGTAGTACCTTTGAAGTTAAAAAAATGCGCCTGAGGAGTCCATGTTGGGGACCTGCATCTTTGATATGACGACTGATTCTGTAGGCACAGCGTCGGAAGCAGTTTTGAGTATAATTCTTCTACCACTTGGGGTCAACCAGAGCAAATCCAGTAAAGCAGAAACATTATCTTGATGCCAAAATCACATCCCATATGTTCTATTATACACATCTCCGGGACTCGGAATCCGGAGTTTCGGTTCTTCATAACCGTTGGTGAATAGGCTCCCGTTATATCCAAGCCGTTCATTCCTAAGAAGCTCGGCCATGCCTAGAGAGCTCATACTTCGGCCTTCGTTCCACTTATCCCAGTGACCATTAGACATGACTGAATTTGCAGATGGCTGTTGCCTTGGAAGCTGGGAGAAATGAGATAAGCTACTTCCCTGTGTCTGATGGTCCATTAGCCTTGAACTAAATCCGTAAGGATCGGTAAGTGAAGGAGACAAGTTTCTAAGATCATGATGAAACCCATTGGCTTGTTGCTGTCTCAACATTTGGAGTCCTGTTTCGTTCTCAAAGGCATTCATTTGTGAAGAGAATCTTGATCTCATATCCAAGTCAGCATTTATCATCCCTCTTCCAACAGCTAGAATTGCAGGATCCGCAAACTCAATATCACTTGCACCACTCGGATTACCAACTGGATATGCATTCCTCGACAAGGAGGTCGAATCAGGATAACGTGTTCCTACAGTACAAGTGCACAACATTTTTAGTCTGTGACATCAGCCGCGCTTTAAGCTACCCAAAAACAGAAGAAAAGGAATACCTGGTGCAGTATCTGAAGACAGGCCCACTCTTTCATGTGAAGAGAAGCCAGGAGGAGGTAACCTGCTGGGCGCAGAAAATCCTGGAGGAGCAGAAACTTGTGGACGTGAAACTGCAATAGGACAACAGAGAAACAAATTAGCAATATATCCCAAAAAAGAAACAAAGGAAAGCCATAAACCCATAATACTAACCAGGACTCTTGTATGAAGAGAATAAAGGACTAGCAGAAAAGTTTTCCAATCCACCAGAGTAGTTTGATGCAAATCCATTTTGGCTCCCGAGATTATCCCGATAGATATTTTGGCTGACCACAGACTCTGAAATAGGCTGATTTCTTGAAAACTGCTCATATATGCTATGGTTCTCCCTATCAAATGCTTGATTACCTGATTCTTCATAACGTGCAAAAGAAAATCTGGACTGGCTGTTATGTTGCTTTAGGAGGTTTGAAGGTTTAAGAGTATTAGATCGCTGATCAACTCTACCAAGTAACTCTGCCAGATTGTGGGGTGAAGTTAAGGTTTCATCCCATGGATCAAAGTCGAGTGACAAAATGTTTGAGATTAGTTCATCCTCTGCTTTGCGAACTTTGTTCCTCCCTTCATTAGCAAACAGAGAGTGCTCCATACTGGCCACGGATTTCTCACCAAATCCATTAGGAATATGCAATCTGTCGCTGCGTCTATCCAAACAGAACCTCGAATTTGAATCATTACCACCTGAAAGCTCACAAGGCAGGGAAGAACGAGAAGCCAAATAATTTGAATCCGAGATGGAACTTGAAGAATTAGAAAAAAACCGCGAGTTGGTAATATTCTCTTCAGGGTGATGCCGTTGGCTATCTAATGATGATATATCCCCCCCTTCCAATTTTGGGCTAACTTGCATCTGCGATTGCAAATCTGATCTCCAATCCCACTCTGGCCTTGTGAAGGGGACTCCATTCTCTGATGGAGTAGCTTTATTATCAGTGTTTATAGAGCTATCCAACCTACATTGCTCCAAACGTTGCAGCTTTGATACATCATCATCAGGTTGTCTAATAGGACCTGGAATATCATCAGGACGTTCATCCCACGAATTCGTAGTTATCCCCATTCGTGAAACACCTACAGATAAGTTGCTTACAGCAGGGCCATCTTCTACATCTTCATTTGAATCGTCAAACGAGTTCACATTAACTGAAGAATTATCAATATCTCTGCCATTGTAGGGAGAGTCTATCGAACTGGATACCCGATTGCTAGTAAAATCCTCCTCGTCAGATGAGGTAGCCCTCTTGGATCCAGAATCAACCACAACATTATGCTGCAAAGGCTTCAGCACGTTAGGTTTGCCTTTATCAACAACTATTTGGCTTTCCTCTTTGCGAGATGGTCTTTTAAGAATGTCACTAGAGGATACAGGCCCATGAGCTGCGTTTGCAACAACAGCAGAAAAGGCCAAGGTTCCATTTACTGAAGTTGATCTTTGTAAATCAGAAGATCCATTTGAAGTAACCGAAGTTGCTAAAGACTGCTGGTTTGCAATATGTGTCCCCCTGCAACAAAAGTCCCTTTTTATCAATAAACTGACCATTCAACATATTTCGTTTAAAAAGCAGCAAGTGAAAACTTACCATGACGCTGCAGCAGGAAGAGCAGTGGATCTACTAGAGCTCCCACTCCCACTAGGTGGAGAATACCTCGGAGCAGTTGCTGCATTCTGCTCAGAAATTAAATTGAGACATAAAATTATTAAGCTGTTTATTGTTCAGCTAAGCAGACAGAAATAATTTCATAAGCAAGTCACCAACTACGATTAACAAATAGCATAGTGTTTAGATGGTGGAGAATTTTCGTGAGACTAAAGCTCACAGGAACTGGTGTTTAATCAATCTGCTTAGGCGTTACAAAAAACATATTCTTTGAGCAAATGACTGAATCCAAATTGCACCTCATGTCAAGTGAAAAAAAACAGAGGTTTAATTGAACTTACACTTGGAGGAACTTTTACAATTGGTTTTGCGGAAGAACTGTCACTACAATAAGCATCCAGTGGTGGAGGTAGCATACTCCCTGAACGTTGCTGCAGAATATATGGAGCTCCAGTGATTTGTTGAACTCGACTCCTTCAAAATTACTATAAGTCTTAACTAATCATCCAAAAATACTAGTAAAACCATCGAATTACATATACTAAAAGTAATGGATCCACTAAAGAGAACAATCATGAATTGTAAAACTCTAGAAGATAAACATACCTTGTACAGGCTGATATGCTCTCATCTTTTGTGAAACTGTCATCTTGAGAACCAACCTCGTGCAAATAGAGACAATCAGGATTGATGCATGCCTGGAAAAAAAAGCGAGCAAATATTCATTCCAAAGACATCAATTTCAACTGTAATCTGAAAGGAGGTAACCAAAAGAGCAACTCAGGTAGCAGAAAGTAGATAAAGAATCCATAGAACACTTACCACATTCCTCAGCCATGCATGACAATACTTGGTTGTCCCAAAACATGCCCTGAAATATATATACATATAGAATATACAAATGATCGTTAAGAAAATGAAACAAAGGTAAAAACACTAGCCACATAGTTTCAAACAAAAAGGAAGAAAGGGAAAACTTACTTCAGTGGTTTACCATCCAAGATAAACCCATGAACAGCCTGAATGCAGCGAACAGCCTCTTCCTCTTTTGCATAAGTAATATATCTGGGATAACAATAGTTTTGGCATAAGTAATATATCTAGGATAATAATAGTTATTATGAGAGGAAACCAAAATGTCAAGCAAAATTCAAAAACTAAATTGGATTTACAGAAACGCACACACTGCATGTATTATTTGGGAATTGTTGGATGACACCAGATGCTGCTCGAGACATGGAAACCTTTAGAACTTTTCCATACTGGCCGAAATATTCTTTATGATGAAGTAGCTGTAAGAGAAATGGAGCACTTGTCAGATAGCGATCCACACAGAAATTAATAAAAGGGTTTAAATGAAGGTTCTCATACATCTTCATCTGCTAGTTCAAGGGGCAACCCGACAATGTAAACAAGATTCCTTTGGATGACTCGCACACTGGTGAGTTGTTTTCTCCCCTCAGAAGGTTTTGATTTTGACTTCTGAGTCTTTTTGCGCTCCATGTTGCCTTCAGAAGTCAGGCTGGGAACATGTAATTATATACAAATCAGTAAAAGAAAGCGAAAAAAGATTAGATTGGCCAAAAAAGATTGCATATCAAGCATCAATACTATACAACCTGTCGCAATTAGCAGTCATCCCTACAATCTTTTCTTTGTCATATGGAGTGCGACAAGCTGGACAACGCCCTTCTGATTGATCTTTTTCTGCCATGTCCATTATGTGATGCCAGCACCAGACACATATCTGAATCACATACGCAAAATTGTCAGTTTCTAAGACTTAAGTGGTAACATGTAGATTAAAAGTAACGGAAAATGAAAGCAGATGCCAAGACCTGATATCCACATTTGCAAGGCTTCAATTGCTGATCAGTCAGATCCATCTCTTCGGCACATAGTGGACAAGTCTTCTCTCCGTGGTCACTCATGGTGGTCTAGCACAAAGATTAATTATAAAAGTCAAGGCCACACACTAATAAAGTAGAAAAACTGTCCTGAGCCATCAGATAAAATACAATCAAAACCCAGACTACGACTGAAACCACCCGACTTGGGTAAAAGCTAAATTTTTGACGATTCCCACATCAACAAATTCTGATAAGTATCACTTATCATCAGAAGAAATATTCAGTTCGAATTAAGGTTGTTTGATTCCAAACAGATAAACATATTTTTTTGCTGGAAACATCAGTTATAATGAGAAGAAAAACCAATCAATAAGATTCAGCAGATTTCCAATCAAATCCTATAATATATGTTCACTCATCTCATCAACGTAATCGTAAGCTAATACAACAAGTACAAAAAAACTCTTAAATTGACTCTAAATATTCAAACTTTCAGATCGATACTAGGAATATAAAAATCATAAATTGCATCTACGATGAAGCACTCCCGGCAAATCGATCTGTGCATGCGCCGCGACGGTTCAATTAGAGACGCGTCAACGGAAAAGTGAAAACAACGTCGTTAAGAAATAATCACAGACAAAACATTTGAGAAATCCAAAATCTCAATCACAATTGACGATCCAAACTAATAAACCGATGATCCGATAAAAACCCACAGAATTAGGGTTTTGAGATTCAGCAGATTCGAACTCGACAGGAAGAGATTCAATAAGAGGTAAAGGAAAAAACATACGAATTGAGAAAGATGGAATTGAGGTTGCAGATGAAGAAGAAGATTGAGATGAGGAAAGGGAAGCTCGACCGAGAGAGAGAGAGAAAATGGATGGCTGTGATTTTGGAAGATTTGGCCTTTTTAACCCTTAATTTCTGCCAGATCCACGTTGCTGTCTTGTTTTATAAATGAAAAAAGTTTTCATTTGCCACTTTTATTACCATCTTCAATCCGGTTCGATTCGGTTCGGTATCAGCCGGTTTATAGTTGTTATTGTGAAAAATTATCCAACCACGTAAAATCTTCTAGTCTTAGAAATTAGAAATTAGAAATTTCATGATATTACCAAAAATTACCCATCCACATTATAAAGAAGGATACTTACAGTTTGACTACAAAATTCAAATTTCAGATTTATTTACGCGGTTTAGGTAAATAAAAGAAATGACAAACATAAGAATTAAAAAACAATTCTGACCCAAACAAAAAAAAGAAAGAAAAAAAGGCTTGAAAGTTGAAACAAAAGAACGGTTAGGGGATACGGTCGTTTGAACTTTCCGGTATATTCCCGCGGAAACGGTTAATTGCTATGTGTAGTTGAAGAATCTCCAAGTAATTCGTAATTACGAGCCTTACAATAAATCTTTTTTAATTCAATCTGTGTGTTTAATGTTGCTTATTACTTCACTAATCACACTAGCAGCCGGAATCGGAGAAACGAAGAAGACAAAGTCATAAAGATAACAACAGCTTAAAGATGCATTTTCAGGCAAACCTGTCACGGTCTAATGATGAGCTATAGACTGATCGGGATCTAATGACTCGCGAATTTGGTTCCAAGCTTTGTCAAAGTTAAACATGTTCACTTGTATTCGCCCCAAAAACTGTTACTAACATGTGTTCGTTCATCCAATTCCCGAAACAAGACAGAATATAACGAAACTTTCTGTACATTTTTTATTTCTTTTACGAAACAAAAAAAGAAAGTTGAGCGTGTTCAACAATTTGCACCCAAGAAAGAGGTGTCCAACAAAAATATATCTTCCTTAGTAGTGACAAAAATGGTAGAAACAAAAGGAAAGAATGGTGGAGGTAAAGGAACCCTAGTTCTCAGACTAAAGCAGGAGGAAGACCTCTGTTGGTATACTTTGTGCAGTCAAATGGTCCTACTCCTTGCATTGTTCTTCTCAAGTTTAGCATCCCTGTTGTTGAACAGTCATATACATTAACACAAACTGCGCTGAAGGAATAAAAAAAGCTTATTACTGGAGACTTGATTAGATTACATACATTAGTATGGTCTTATCCTTGCCTTCTGATGTACATGTACAGAACTTGATGTACTGCTTTCAGACAGAACCATGGACTCCATTGCTTTCTGATGTTAAAGTGCCATCGCTCAGTACATTGATCTCCTTAGGCTCCATATCATCTCTAACTGAGAAACCAAACATTCATGGGTATTGGAGCTCTTGATTCTTCCTCTCTGGTCACAAATGCTACAATATCAGGAGAGATCTTTATAACTTGAACTTCCTCTTCTTCATGAGAGCCGAGTTCTTGATCAGTAACCTGAGCACTGCCTTTTCAGTATCTGTCTGGATTTTGGTTTCTCCAACATAGTTATACTCAATACATCCAGAGTTTGAATCCTCTTTCGACATGCCTTCAGAGATTCTGGATATATTTGTGTCCTCATTTAGACTCTCAGGATCTCCAATTGATTCACTTAGTAGACTTTTAGTTTTTTCCATAGCTTCTACTTTCAGATATATCTGTCCCGTAACCTCCAAGAGTTCATTGCGTAGCATCTGGGTGAGCTCGTCATGTGAATTCTTCAGGATATGGTACCCAAACATCAACATCTTTGGCTCCTGCAAAAGAGAGATAAACATTTTCAGTACTCACATCTACAATTAGAACCAATGTAGAAACAAAAAATCACACATTATAGAGGAAATAAGTTTTCAGCACCTTTCAAGTTCAAAAATGCCCCTGGGAAGTTCAACCAGAGCAAATCCAGTAAAGCAGAAACATATCTTGATGCCAGAATCACATCCCATATGTCCTATTATACACATCTCCGGGACTTGGAATCCGGAATTTCGGTTCTTCATAACCGTTGGTGAATAGGCTCCCATTAAATCCAAGCCGTTCATTTCTAAGAAGCTCGGCCATGCCTAGAGAGCTCACACTTCGGCCTTCACTCCACTTATCCCAGTGACCATTAGACATGACTGAATTTGCAGATGGTTGCTGTCTTGGGAGCTGTGAGAACTGAGACAAGCCACTTCCCTGTGTCTGGTGGTCCATCAGCCTTGAACTAAATCCGTAAGGATCGGTAAGTGAAGGAGACAAGTTTCTGAGATCATGATGAAACCCATTGGCTTGTTGCTGTCTCAACATTTGGAGTCCTGTTTCGTTCTCAAAGGCATTCATTTGTGAAGAGAATCTTGATCTCATATCCAAGTCAGCATTTATCATCCCTCTTCCAACAGCTAGAATTGCAGGATCCGCAAACTCAATGTCACTTGCACCACTCGGATTACCAACTGGATATGCATTCCTCGACAAGGAGGTCGAATCAGGATAACGTGTTCCTACAGTACAAGTGCACAACATTTTTAGTCTGTGACATCAGCCGCGCTTTAAGCTACCCAAAAACAGAAGAAAAGGAATACCTGGTGCAGTATCTGAAGACAGGCCCACTCTTTCATGTGAAGAGAAGCCAGGAGGAGGTAACCTGCTGGGCACAGAAAATCCTGGAGGAGCAGAAACTTGTGGACGTGAAACTGCAATAGGACAACAGAGAAACAAATTAGCAATATATCCCAAAAAAGAAAGAAAGGAAAGCCATAAACCCATAAATACTAACCAGGACTCTTGTATGAAGAGAATAAAGGACTAGCAGAAAAGTTTTCCAATCCACCAGAGTAGTTTGATGCAAATCCATTTTGACTCCCGAGATTATCCCTATAGATAGTTTGACTGACAACAGACTCCGGGATAGGCTGATCTCTTGAAAACGGCCCATATATGCCATGGTTCTCCCTATCAAATGCTTGATTACCTGATTCTTCATACCGTGCAAAAGAAAATCTGGACTGGCTGTTATGTTGCTTTAGGAGGTTTGAAGGTTTAAGAGTATTAGATCGCTGATCAACTTCACCAAGTAACTCTGCCAGATTGTGGGGTGAAGTAAAGGATTCATCCCACGGATCAAAGTCGAGTGACAAAATGTTTGAGATTAATTCATCCTCTGCTTTGCGAACTTTGTTCCTGCCTTCATTAGCAAACAACAGAGAGTGCTCCATATTGGCCACGGGTTTCTCACCAAATCCATTAGGAATATGCAATCTGTCGCTGCCTCTATCCAAACAGAACCTCGAATTTGAATCATTCACGCCTGAAAGCTCACAAGGTAGGGAAGAACGAGAAGCCAAATGATTTGAATCCGAAATGGAACTTGAAGAATTAGAAAAAAACCGCGAGTTGGTAATATTCTCTTCAGGGTGATGCCGTTGGCTATCTAATGATGATATATCCTCCACTTCCAATTTTGGGCTAACTTGCATCTGCGATTGCAAATCTGATCTCCAATCCCACTCTGGCCTTGTGAAGGGGACTCCATTCTCTGATGGAGTAGCTTTATTATCAGTGTTTATAGAGCTATCCAACCTACATTGCTCCAAACGTTGCAGCTTTGATACATCATCATCAGGTTGTCTAATAGGACCTGGAATATCATCAGGACGTTCATCCCACGAATTCGTAGTTATCCCCATTCGTGAAACACCTACAGATAAGTTGCTTACAGCAGGGCCATCTTCTACAGCTTCATTTGAATCGTCAAACGAGTTCACAGTAACTGAAGGCTTATCAATATCTCTGCCATTGTAGGGAGAGTCCATCGAACTGGATAACCGATTGCTAGTAAAATCCTCATCAGGTGACGTAGCTCTCTTGGATCCAGAATCAACCACAACGTTACGCTGCAAAGGCTTCACCACGGTAGGTTTGCTTTTGTCAACAACTATCTGGCTTTCCTCTTTGCGAGATGGTCCTTTAAGAATGTCATTAGAGGATACAGGCCCATTAGCTGCGTTTGCAACAACAGCAGAAAAGGCCAAGGTTCCATTTACTGAAGTTGATCTTTGTATATTTGAGGTAACCGAAGTTGCTAAAGGCTGCTGGTTTGCAATATGTGTCCCCCTGCAACAAAAGTCCCTTTTTATCAATAAACTGACCAATCAACATATTTCGTTTAAAAAGCAGCAAGTGAAAACTTACCATGACGCTGCAGCAGGAAGAGCAGTGGATCTACTAGAGCTCCCACTCCCACTAGGTGGAGAATACCTGGGAGCAGTTGCTGCATTCTGCTCAGAAATTAAATTGAGACATACAATTATTAAGCTGTTTATTGTTCAGCTAAGCAGACACAAATAATTTCATAAGCTAGTCATGCAACATCACAAACTAGTCACCAACTAGGACTAACAAATAGCATACTGTTTAGATGGTGGAGGTATTTTCGTGGTTGGTCTGGACCCATTTGAGGCTTGGGAGAATTTTCGTGAGACTAAAGCTCAATCCAAATCGCACCTCATGCCAAGTGAAAAAAACAGAGGTTTAATTGAACTTACACTTGAAGGAACTTTTACAATCGGTTTTGCGGAAGAACTGTCACTGCAATAAGCATCCAGTGGTGGAGGTAGCATACTCCCTGACCGTTGCTGCAGAATATATGTTGCTCCAGTGATTTGTAGAACTCGACTCCTTCAAAATTATTATAAGACTTAACTAATCATCCAAAAATACTAGTAAAACCATCATATTACATATACTAAAAGTGAAAGATCCACAATCATGAATTGTAAGATTTTAGAAGATAAACAAACCTTGTACAGGCTGATATGCTCTCATCTTTTGTGAAACTATCATCTTGAGAACCAACCTCGTGCAAATAGAGACAATCAGGATTGATGCATGCCTGGAAATAAATAAAAACGTGCAAATAATCACTCCAAAGACATCAATTTCAACTTTAATCTGAAAGGAGGTAACCAAAAGAGCAACTCAGGGAGCCACTTGGTTTTAAAAGCGCAAGGCGCACTGAGGCACAACTCTTCAATATAGCGCCTTAATGCGCCTCAGGCGTAAGGCGCGCGCTTTTCGTATGCCTCACAAGAATACTAAGGACAAGATTATTTCCTAGGAACCTAATCTACCTAATTATTTTCTTAAAGATCTTCCTTGTTAGTAGGATCTAGAATTCCTTTTCGCTCATAGTTGATCTCTTCCTCTCCATCATATCCATCCATTTCAATATCTATTAGATGGATCTAGAGCCCAGATTTTCTTGGCGGATCTATTTTCTCTGTTGTTTTGAACATGTGATGGAATTGAAAGCAGCAAGAGAAGAACTAGAGAGAAACGAAGAAGGAATAGAGAAGACGAGGTCGAGGAATGGTGTTTAAGATGAGAACATCTTAAAAGCGCGCCTTGTTCTCGCTTTGTGCTTTTGGAAAAGCACACCGAGGCGCACATAGGCGCGCGCTTTTGAGATAGACATGCGCCATGCGTACTAGGGGCGCAATAGTGATAAATGCGTGCGCCTTGCGCCTCAGGCGCAGAAAGCAGAAATAGAATCCATAGAACACATACCACATTCCTCAGCCATGCATGACAATACTTGGTTGTCCCAAAACATGCCCTGCAATATATAAATATACATTAAAACATTACCCACATAGTTTCAAACAAAAAGGAAGAAAGGGAAAACTTACTTCAGTGCTTTACCATCCAAGATAAACCCATGAACAGCCTGAATGCAGCGAACAGCCTCTTCCTCTTTTGCATAAGTAATATATCTGCGATAACAATAATTTTGGCATAAGTAATGTATCTGGGATAATAATCAGAGGAAACAAAAATGTCAAGCAAAATTTAAAAACAAAATTGGGTTTACAGAAACGCACACACTGCATGTATTGTTTGGGAATTGTTGGATGACACCAGATGCTGCTCGAGACATGGAAACCTTTAGAACTTTTCCATACTGGCCGAAATATTCTTTATGATGAAGTAGCTGTAAGAGAAATGAAGCACTTGTCACATAGCAATCCACACAGAAATGATAAAAAGGGTTTGAATGAAGGTTCTCATACATCTTCATCTGCTAGTTCAAGGGGCAACCCGACAATGTAAACAAGATTCCTTTGGATGACTCGCACACTGGTGAGTTGTTTTCTCCCCTCAAACGGTTTTGATTTTGACTTTTGAGTCTTCTTGCCTTCAGAAGCAAGGCTGGGAACATGTAATTATATACAAATCAGCAAAAGAAAGCCAAAAAAGATTAAACTGGCCAAAAAAGATTGCATAAAGCATCAATATTATAACCTGTCGCAATTCACAGTCATCCCTACAATCTTTTCTTTGTCATATGGAGTGCGGCAGGCTGGACAACGCCCTTCTACTTGATCTTTCTCTGCCATGTCCACTATTTGATGCCAGCACCAAACACATATCTGAATCACATACGCAAAACTCTTAAATATGGCAGTAAGCAATACGTTTCTGACTACACCTGTTAGTTTTTAAGACTAAGCGGTAACATGTAAAATAAAATTAACGGAAAAATGAAGGCAGATGCCAAGACCTGATAGCCACATTTGCAAGGCTTCATTTGCTGATCAGTCAGATCCATCTCTTCAGCACATAGTGGACAAGTCTTCTCTCCGTGGTCACTCATGGTGGTCTAGCACAAAGATTATGAGATAAATTAATCATAAGTGTCAAGGCCACAGACTAAGCAAGTAGAAAAAACTGTCATGAACAATCAGATAAAGTACAATCAAAACCACAGACTAAGCTAGAAGCTAAAAAGGCTAAGTTTTTGACGATTCCCACATCTACAAATTCTGATGAGTATCGTATGTGGAAACTTCACTTCGCATTAAGGTTGTTTGCTTCCGTACAGATAAACTTAAATGCAGATTCAGTAGATTCCCGATCAAATCCTATAATATATGTTCAGTCATTTCATCAACGTTATCCTAAGCTATTTTCAAAAGTCGGAAAACTCTTAAATTTCCCCTAAATACTCAAACTTTCAGATCGATACAAGGAATATAAGAATCATAAAATGCATCTACGATGCAGAACTCCCGGCAAATCGAACTGTGCATGCGCCGTGACGATTCAATAAGAGACGCGTCAATGGACAAGTGAAAACACATCGTTGGAAAAAAAATGACACAAAACGTTTGGGAAATCCAAAATCTCAATCACACAATTGACGATCCAAACTTATTAACCGACGATCCCATAAAACCCCCGGAACAGAAACAGAATTAAGGTTTTGAGATTCAGCAGATTCGAACTATATAAGAATGGATTCAATGAGAGGTAAAGAAAAAAACATACGGATTGAGAAAGACGAAACTGGGATTTGAGACGAGGAAAGGGAAGCTCAAATGGGAGATTGCGAGCGAGCGAGAGAGAGCAAATGGATGGCTGTGATTTTGGAAGATTTGGCTTTTTTAACCCTTAATTTCTGCCAGATTCACGTTGCTGTCTTGTTATTCAATAAATAAAAAGAGTTTCTGAGTACAAAATTTTCCAAATTATAGCGCGGTCTAAGGTAAATAAAAAAATGACTAACATCATAATTAAAAAATTGTCAGATTTATATTATCTTTGTGTTCTGTATTAATTATGATTTTTTTATTTCAAAAATCGGGCCCGTCTTGAATAGATAAATTTCGTATGCCTAAAAAAACAAGATATATTGCAAACCCTTTCGAAAAAGAAAAAAAAAATACATGATATTGTCGTCACAATAATAAAATAAATAACGGGATGTTAATTTCGTATCAAAGGTGTTATTTCCAAATCCAAAGGTTGTTATCTTCAACATTCAGAGGTGTTATTTCCAAATTCTCACCTAACCTGTTATGGCTATTTAAATACATAAAATCTAGGATCTTTTTGGGGGCTAATACTAATATTTTGAAAATTGACCTTATTAAAAATAAAGGAGATGGCTAATGGGAAATCCCTTTCGAATTATTTAAATAAGAAACTGAGTGGCGATAACTAATTACTATTTTGACCCCAAAAAATGAAAGAAGAATTAATTTTCATGCCATCAATTAAAAGTTGAAACAAAAGAACGACGGTTAGATTTGATCGTTTGAACTTACCGGTATATTCCCGCGGAAACGGCTAATTACAAGCCCTACAATAAATCCTTTTGTAATTCAATATGTGTGTTTAATGTTATTTACTTCTCAACTTAATGATACATCCCAAAAACTATCCCGTTATGGAAGTCATTCATGCCTAAGCAAGACAGAAAAAAAAAAAAAAACTGCAGGTTATTTCTACACATTTTATTTCTTCATGTATACAAGAAAAAGTTGATTGTGTTCAACAAAGTTATAACTTCCTTAGTAGTGAAAAAATGGTAAAAACAAAGACAAGAATGGTCAAGGTAAAAAAAGAAACCCTAGTTCTCAGTCTAAAGCAGGAGGAAGACCTTTGTTTGTATACTTAGTACAGTCAAAAGGTCCTACTCCTTGATTATTCTTCTTCTTGACCTGACCATCACAAAAATCAAATGAATTCTCCAACTTAGTTTCACGAACCAGTTTTGTAACATCTACTTATCTTTTGAATAGTATGAAGCTTGCAATAGTGAATTCTCCCTACATACTGTTGAAATTTTTCATACTAGTAGAAAATCAAACAGACTAAAATATCAAGCCCAAACGTTTCAACTGTTTTTTTTTTCCTTTTGTCAACACTTTTTCAGATTAACGGGCAAATGGTAATGAGAGAGGGAAAGAGGATTATACCGGAGACCATGGACCTGGTTCAGGAGCAGATTTGTCGGTTGGTGAATGTTGTACACGTCCACTTTTCAGTGTTAAGATTTCCTACATTTTTAACACAAGAGATCTGCTGAGGCACTGCCAAATAATTCTATTCCATATACTATAACAGCAAGTGGATCTTCAGCTTATCATCATGGTTTCATTCATGCATATCTTTAAAAAAATTATATTAGTTTATACCTCCCCAGCAGCCTCAATTGCAGCTAACCACTCGTCAGAAAATGGAACAGCATTTGGAGGCTTTACAATAATAGGATCAGGTTTCTTCCCAAGTTTAGCATCCCTGTTGAAACAGTGAATTATATTAACATAAACTGCGATGAAGGAAAAGAAAAAGCTTACTAGTGGAGACTTGATTAGATTACTTACATTAGCATGGTCTTATCCTCGCCTTCTGATGTACATGTACTATTGCTACTGCTATAAGAAGAATGGACTCCATCGCTTTCTGATGTCAGATTGTCATCGCTCAGCACATTGAACGCCTTTGACTGGCTATCATCTCTGACTGAGAAATCCTCATTCATGGGTATTGGAGTTCCTGATTCTTCCTCTCTGGACACAATTGCTACAGGATCAGGAGTGATCTTTATAACTTGAACTTCCTCTTCTTCATGAGAGCCGAGTTCTTGATCAATAACCTGAGCACTGAAATCCTTTTCAGTATCTGTCTGGATTTTGGTATCTCCAACATAGTTATACTCAATACATCCAGAGTTTAAATCCTCTTTCGACATGCCTTCAGAGATTCTAGATAAATTTGTGTCCTCATTAAGACTCTCAGGTTCTCCAATTGATTCACGTAGTGGAGTTTTAGGTTTACCACACTGGTCAGATGCAGTATGGATAACTTCTACTTCCAAATAGTCTTGATTAAGAATGCCCTTGACAGAAAACTCATCGAGGTCACTAATGATCTCTGACTCAGTAACCAGATCCATCTCCTTCAGTTTCAAATCACCCTCACGCTCCTCATCTGACCAATCTGACTCCGTAACCAGATCCATGTCTTCCAGCTCTGAGTTATCTTCGAGCTCCTCGTTGGAATAAGAGAAAACAGTGGCAGATACATCTTTTGCTAAAGAACAACCGTCTGATGTTCCAAGTTGATCAGTCTGTTTCATTACATGAACAGCCTTTCCATCAGATGTATTTGCAACATTGGAACAGTTATATTGCATATGCTTTTCAGAAGTTAGTTTCTCAGAAAAGGGCTCATGAGATGATTCCAGAGGTTTATCCTCCAGCTTAACTTCAGCGGAGGAAGGCATTAGTAATATGACTTGTTCCATGTTCGGCTCAACGTCAGGAGAACCAGTAAAGGAATCTATCTGCATATCAGGGGCATCATCTGTATCTGCTATTTCGTTTCTCGTCAAGACATCTATCTCATGACTACCCTCTCTTCCCTCAACGACCAATTGGCACGAGAAATGCTGCTCTTCAGATTCACATTTTGTCTCTGAGCTATCGCTTACTTCAGTTCTCTTCTCCGTTTCTAAAACAGTCTGACCATCACACACCATGTTATGACCACACAGAATAGAGTTCAACACTGCATTTTCCTCAAAACTGTTGCATGAGGATCGAACACAGTCTGGTGCTTCGACAGGCCCCGAAGGAACGACAAAAGATTCAGTATTATCTAACTCATTTTCCGAAGCAGACAGATCACTTGCATCACTTCTTCTTGATGCAAAATCCCATAGAAAAACTGGATCTGCAGCGAAGGAATCTAAAACCCCAGGCTGCTTTGCCAAGCTTTCAGTGGAATGATTTACAATCAGAGCATCTTTTTCGCCGTAAAGGAAATGACTAATCTCGTCTTCGTCTCCAGGGTGCACGCATTCATTTAGTGGTTGTCCATGTACATCCAAAGTATATAAATCTCCACTAAAATCGTTTGTAGTACAAGTATCTTGTTCCCCTGGATTGCTGACTTTCAACTCATCACCAGAAGGGCCAGAAGGACCCTGCACCGGAGAATCCAAAGGATCTTTAAAAAGTGGACCTTCTACTGAGCAGCAAGTCTTCCTTTTCTCATCCGTATCATCATCAGACATATTACTATCTTGTACATCATTTTTGCAGCCTGAGGGCGGAAGCTCACTGCTACTCTGGAAATCTTCACACTTTGCAGTAGAAATCTTCTCAGATGTACAAATAGCCACATCATCCAGAACTAATTTTCTAGTATCATCCTGAGTGATGCATGGAAGTTGCAGGCTTTCATTTATCTGAGAGCTCAATGAACAAGACGACACTTTAGATTCTACTTCTCGAGTGCTTTTCAATTCTACTTTCGCCCTTTCTTGAGCAGAGAAACCTGCAGCTGAAACTGAACTGCCGGTGTTTCCAGTTGCTGACTTGGAGTTAACACTGGGAACCTTTTCAGAAAATTGGGGTTTCTTGAAGGTAGGGATCAAAGTAACACGAGAAGCTGAACAAACATCAGACCTAGGAAGCTGACTATGTTTGTCTTCTGAACAGTGCGACGTTTGAGAATTGGACTGCAAAAATCAGGAATATGAAATATGAGAGATTAAGAGCACAAAACCATGTATATGACCGTCAACGACAACTTCAGTATATTCCAATAATATACCTTACTGAAATAGCCAATTGATGGCGATGGCACTCTTAAACCAGATGGCTTTCCCAGTCTGGAAACTGCGGACTGCGTATTTCCAATTCTACTGCAAGAACTTTGAGCTAATGTGGTGCCCATGGTAATTACATTAGAGTCGCGTATGTTTGATGCATGACCAAGCATATCCACATCTGATGTAGTCATAGGATCGTTGGACTTCCCAACAACAGATTGCTGTGAGTTGGATACTGAAGGAACTTCTGCTGTTTTGATGACCTAGAGTTCAAGAAAATGCAACAAGTTACTCTCAATTAAAAGACTATTGGAAAGAAAACATTCGCTGCTAAATTAGTTTGCAGAGGGCAGCATTGCTTTACCACATTTCTTCTAGGTTGCCTAAGAGAGGGCTTAGGAATTGAAGATTTGCTTGCCAGGCTAGATTTTGTTTTATTCTTGGTGCTTGTAGTGCTTGTAGTGCTTTTAGAGAAGCTTACAGATCCTAAGCTCCTCTGAGAATTCTCTGTCGTATCATGAGAAATAACCAAGGTCATGCGATCATGTAGCAATACGAACAAGATACCGCAATAGCAATTGCTGAGAAAGTTATATACAAAAAAATGGCTAGGAGATGCATAGGTTTCATTTACTAAGTGAATGTGAACATACTTGATTGAGTAGGTTGAGTTAGTTTCGGTTTGCTTGGACTTTGAGTAGTCTTCTTCATGTTGTTTGCGACTGTAACTGGATCGGATTTGGTAGTAGAAACTTTAGAATAGCTCAGCTCCCTGCTACGTGACGTTGTTGTATGAACATTTGCAGGTCTTTTTAGGGTTCAAAGTAGTTAAGGTTAACAAGCGAAAAGAACAAAACCAGAAAAGCATGGATGGTGATTGCCTTAACACAAAGTACTTTAAGTAAGAAAAGGATATGAAGATGAAGGAGGAGGCCGGGGACAGCCACTGCGTTTCGATCCGCTCCTCAAATCCTGTGCTGAAACGACATTTTTCTGGGCCTATAACGCAGAGATTCAACATTTAGCTAGAATGCGACTAAAAAAAAAAAAAAAAACTTTTTGCTAGTAAAGGAACAATGTAAGAAACGACTGATCACTCTCATTAGCTCCATTTTAAAAAGAATATCTCTACTCATGTCCAGTAAACTCACCAGGGAAGATTGAGCTTTAGATGGTGATGCGTACTTTGAAACTGTGCCACTCACAAACTTCTTCTCTCTCTTCTTACTGTTCACAGGCAAGTCGTTAAATAAGTTTTCTTCAAGTGCTTGTAGTCCTGGTGAAACACTAGTGCATTTTGAAGCGGACGTTGACTCTCTGAACTCTTCCTGAATGGCAGACAACAGGTCTCCACCAGTTTGGCAAGCACTTCCAGTTATTTTAGATAGCTCAGCCGAATCCAAAACACCTGGTTCAATACCATATTCCACAACTTAGTACCATAGACCAAGCCAATGACCTTTTCAAGACAAACAGAATAGAATAAATCTAACAGTCACCTTCTTCTGTTGAAAAGGCTCTATCCCAAGCTAAGCTTTTCCGCAAGTTGAATCCTGCGTTCTTCTTTTTCTTTTTCATCTGTTGTCTCTCCACACTCAATTTGGGCAATTCAATCTTGCTCCCACTAGTGTTCTCCTTCCCTACATTGCATGTATCAATAGTAGGGCTTAACTGCTCCATGTTGTTGTTGCCTGTTACTCTCCCTGCAAACAAAAAAATCAACCTTCTTCATTTATCTGCAAATTACACAAATTCAGACTGCATACTGACTATCCAAATCGCCATTTTTTCAGGTTTCTAAACAAAGATTCAAAATGTAGAGTAGGATAAGAGAAAATCATCTATCGTTGAAGAAGTTCCAGTGAATGAGGGAGAAGAATGTAAGATATTCGGCTCAATTAAACCATGTCGATGTGAAACTATCACTACAATTAGTGAGGAAGCAATAATGAGAGCGAAACTAGGATCCAGAAATCGAAGCGCTTACCAATTGAAGAAAAAGGAAGCCGAGTAGGAACGGTACGATTCGATCTAGGGATCTGGAGAGGTGAGCAATCAAAATAACTCTTTCCCTGGCCGGAATTACCACCGGCGAACGACGTAACGCCTTTCTTCGGCGTATTTTTCAGAAGCCAGTGGTCTTCGTCTTCTCCAGAGATATCTAATAGATCCTTCTCCATTGAGAGGCCTCAATTTCTCACCCCCTAACTGTTAAGAGTCTAGCAGCGTCCGAGATCTGAAGAAAGGGGAAATCGAATCACTAGGGTTATACTACTTACAGTAAGCAATAAAGGAAAGCTCGTCGGGATTTGGAAATCGGAAGTCGAAAATAGGTCGGAGGATTTCCTCGCCGGAAATAGAAGATCTGTCGGAGAATGTTGATTCGACTGTTGATAGACGTTTGAATTTTTCCGGCGTCGTAAGCGGGAAGAGGTTTGAAAACTTGAAATCGAAAGAAGATGACGACAGAGAAGACAATCGGACCAGGCGAGCAATTGAATTGACTAAAACACCCTTACTCCACTATTCACTACCGGTCTACTCTTTTATGGGACGCAATTGTCATTTACACCATATATTGGGCCTGCACAAAAAGCCCATTTCTTGTTATCTGGCCTTTCGTTCTCTTGTGTTTTGTCTAGTGCAGATGACAGTGTAACTGAACCCAGCGAAATTAAAGTTTTTTGGTCTTATTCAAACCGGATCCGTTCGGTTTATGAAGCATCTAAGTAAAAGTGAGTAGTACTACACAATTAATGATTTCTTTTCCCATTTGAAGCACTAGGCGTTTAACAGAGGACAGCCTCTGTTTTATGCTACAAAAGGCAAAATCTTTCAATCAAACCATGGAGATGGGAGAACAATAAACAAGATTTTTTCTTTTTATACTTTGGAAGAACCTATCTCACACCTTCACTTCCCAAAATAAATTAGGTTTTCTGAGAGCACAAGGAGATGTCGATATACAAAGGTTTCTTCTTTTTAGTCTCTTCTTTGTTCTTGATATTTATCTGATTTGTTTTTTATTTTCGAAACAGGAACTTCGTCGGATGATAGTTTTCCAAAGTTCTTCAAAGTGTACCTACCTGGTGAATTGGGAGATGATATGGTAAAAACTGCTTTGCAAAATTGTTTCTTTTCACTCTGCTTTTTGGTTTCTTTTCATGGGTTTTTCTTAGATGTTCATCAGTAGATTTCTAGTTGGGTTTAAAGTTTTAGATGCTTTCGCAGGATATACCCGTTTCTTTCAACAGCTTCTTACCAAGATCTTTGCCTAAGAAAGTAATTGTTAGAAGCATTTATGGAAAGAGCTGGAAACTGAAGCTGAGGAAACGTTGTGGTGAAATTGAGAAATTTTCAATGGTTGATGGCTGGAAGAGAATTGTCAAGGATGAAGATCTAAAGGGCGGAGAGTTCTTGACGTTCGAGTTTGATGGCTCTCGGCTCTTCAATTTCTGTATTTTTGGCCAAGCGACGTGTAAAAGGCTTGGTTATTCAGTGGAAACCAAAGACGTCGAAGATGAATCTGATGGTGAAGATGATACATCTAGTGATGATATCATAGTTATTGATGACGATGACGATGATGATGATGATGATGATGAAGAAGAAGAAGATGAAGATGAAGATGAAGATGATGATGATGATGATGATGGTGGTGATACTGATGATCAAGATACTGGCGGCGATGAAAAATCTAGTGTAAAGATCATAGTTATTGATGATGATGATGATGATGATGATGAAGAAGATGAAGATGATGATGATGATGGTGGTGATACCGGTGATCAAGATACTGGCGGCGATGAAAAATCTAGTGTAGAGATCATAGTTATTGATGCTGATACTGATGATGGTAGTGGTGATCAAGATTCTGGTGACGTATATAAAACTAGAGAAGAAGGTACCATAGTTATTGATGATGATGAGGATGATGATGAATATGCTGATGGAGATGATGGTGATGATGATGAGAGAAGGAGTGGAGTTGAGACGGAGAGAAAAGAGTAAGGTACAATAGAAACTCTGTCTTGTGAAGCTAAATGAGCATCACTGTCTTTAACTTCTTGTGTATTAATTTTTTTAATAGGTTCTTCTAAAGTCTCAGATAAGAGTGACAGTGAAGATGACAGACAATAAGAAGGAATCAGGTGAAGTCTAGTAATAAAATGATCTGCGAGTTTAGACAAGGAGAAGAATGGGTCTGGCTCGCGTGAAATCAAAGTCTTTATTATAAGTGTATGAAGTTCTGTGTGTTAGCACCAGAATATGTAAGGAATAAGGATGCTAAAACATCTTTGGTCAAGACATGTTTCTGTAGTATATTGAGTTTTTAATCAAGAGTTGCTACTTCCTGAATCATTTCAGTCCTCTGTAATCTATACAAATCTACCTCCTGGTGTTGTTTGTATGTATTGTTCTTGACAAAGCATTCCTTTGTACAAGTCAAGGTTTGGTTAATCTCAATGAAATTATGCTACAATCACAAATGGGTTTAGGTTATTCAGTATTGATTGCTACCCAAATTTAGGCCCATTTCTGAATTATTGGGCCTTGGCGGGTTTTTGTGCTGAGACGAATTACTACTTTAGTAAAGTAAGTGAGTGCTATAAGTGGTGTCTTTTTCCATTTGAAGCAATCGACAGAAAACAGAGCTCAACCTCTGTTTTTGCAAGTTTTTCCTACAAAAAGTAAAAAAATCCTTTGATGAAAAACCATTAGATCTCGAAACTTAGGGTTTTAAGAACCTATCTATCACCTTCACTTTGCAGAAGAAATTAGGTTTTCTCAGAGCAGGACAAAGAGGCGACAATGAACAAAGGTTTTCTCCTTTAGTCTCTTCATTGTTCTTGATTCTCCTTTAATTGCAGTGTATCCTATCTTTTTTTATTTATTTTTTATTTTATCTCGGAACAGGAAATTCATCGGTTAATCGTCTTCCCAAGTTCTTGAAAGTGTACTTACCTGGTGTATCCGGAGATGACCTGGTAAACATAATCACACACACTTCTCTTCACTCTGTTTTTTTTTATTTCTCTGCTTACAAACTCGCCAGGTTGATTTCTATTGGTTGAAGCTTGAAGATGATTGTTTTTCAGGAAATACCATTATCTTTCAACAGATGCTTACCAAAGTCTTTGCCTAAGAACGTAACCATCATAAGCAATTATGGAAACATTTGGAAAACGGCCTTGAAGAGATCCGGTGGTGAAGTTGAGAGATACGTTCTGGTTAATGGGTGGAAGAGTATCGTCAAGGACAAGGATCTGTCCCAAGGAGACTTTTTGGAGTTTAAATTCGATGGGTCTCGTTGTTTTAACTTCTCTATCTACGAGTCCCGCACAATGTGCAAAAGGCTCAGAAGATGTTCAGTGCAAAGTGAAGATGACACCAGTGAAGGTTTTGTTCTTGATGATGAGGGAGATTCCGAAGATCCTGATTACAAGTGTGAGGATGATAATGATGATGCTATTCCTGAGGATGATGATGATGATGATGATGATGAAGTTGTTGATGATAGACAGTATTTGGATGATATCAACAACCCGTTCTTTAAAGTGACCCTGAATCTGAAGAACAGAAGCCAATTGGTAAGAGAAAAAAGAACTGAAATGTTTGGATAATATGTTTTTATTGTGAATTATATAACACCTTTCATAATGCAGCGCATACCGTCTAAGCTGATAAAAGACTATAGCCTAAACTTCTCTGAGAGTGTAACTCTCACCGATCCACTCTCGATAAAATTCGGGACACTGACGAAGAAAATCAAGATTCAGACGAATGGTTGTGTGTTTATCAAGGGATATGGAGCTATACTCAGAAGGAACAGCGTGAGGTCAATGGACAAAATGATATGCGAACTGCAGAAGACGGGTAATAACAATCTGGTTCACACAATCAAGTTCCACATTATCACTATATGAAGTCTTATGCGTAGTTGATGTGAGTGGTACCTACGTGGTGTTAGTGGTTATTTATCTTGTTAAGTTTTCAAGTTAAGTCAAGACTTTGTTGTGTTGTACTGCTGAGTTCATGTAAGAGTTTCGAATTCCTGTAATCTTAACAGATCTATCTATCGTGTCTTGTGTTGTTTGGCTATTCCCTGAAATATATCTCTCTTGTTCTGTGTGGATGCAACAAGAAGGGAAAAGTCTCTCATTATCTTCATACAAATAGATTGCATTGTTTGAACAAGTTGAAAGGTCTCATTATCTTTTGGATCGGATTAATCTCAAGAGACATTATAGTAAAATGACAAATGGGTTTCAGTTTATGTTTTGTTCTTAACCCTCACTTTATATTACAAATCAGAAGAAGAAAGAGACCCAAACAATAGATTTTTCGGAGAACTCATCATATTATAGCCTTCCACGGCCGGGTTCAAGTTATTCCAACTTCAGGGCTGTTTAGAACCTGCATGTTCACGTAAGATGAATGTTATTACTCCAAGTTTTATAAGACCGACAGAGAGAAGCAGAAGACAAAAAGAGAATAGTGCTACAGAACTTAGAAACTCTGCTTTTTTCTTCTAGTCACTACACAATTTTTCAATCTTCTTTCAAGTTTAATCCATCAAGATTCGTACTACAACAAGCATCTCAAACTCTAGGGGTCTTAGCGTAACATATTAAACAGGAGGATGAAACTGCAGCTTGTGTGCTGAGCTAAAAAGATGATATTGCTTCCCAGAAAGTCATACCTTGAGTTTGGCAGAGGAAGCAGGAACGCTTACGGTGGTGGTTGTGGGCGGTTCATGAGATGGTGGTGTTGTTGTTGCGATGCGTAATCAGATGGGTGGATGACATATAGACCGGGCATATTCAGATTGAGGAAGGGATGAGGCTGAGATGGATGAAGAGTAGCAGAGGATGAAGAAGGTGGGCGTGTAGCTGAGAGTGAGAATCCTGATGATGCTGCATTTGAGTACAGTGGCGATGCTGTAGCTGTTGTGGCGGTTCCACCACTAGACTGATGTTGCGCTTGCCATGTCCTGCCTGTGAAGCTTTGATGAGAACGTGGCATAAAACCCTTCTCTGGTGTTCTTTCCTGGAGACGAGAATTTAAGTTTTCGCGCAGAGTGTTATTTATTGAAATCTTCCAAAGTTCTTTTCCAGTTTAATGATGCAAAAAGCAATAACATAGAACTCATCGGATTTAACTGGTCAAATATCACAATAGTCACACAGTTGCATATAACGAGATGTTGGCTATGGTATTTACCATGGGTGAAAAGAACGCAGAAGGAAGGACATGCCGGTTAATAAGATGCTCTGAGCCCCTCTTCAAGAAATTGAAAGGCGCATCAGATGTCGCTGCAGCCATGTGGTTCTCCATCTGGTGAATATAGATCAAACGGAAGGGTAAGAAAATCATGAATCAAGGAAGAACCATGAGGACTCGAGCTAGCTAATGGGACATAGCTTTGAGTTGCAGATTGCCATGAGATATGGACTAATAAAACATTTCACTAACGGTTGCAGCAAAACGCATATAAAAGCAAAGAAACCATATTCAGTGCACTACAGACAAAAAAATGCACCTTGGAGTTCCTTCCACATACGATACTGTTAGGGGCATGGTGAAGCCGGAGACCCCTGTCTTTTTGCTTTGTACCATCTCCCAGTGAAAGAGAGATTCCCAAGTTGAGGTCGAGCTTAACATTAGCTACACAAAGAAATCACAAAACAAGTCACATATCGAGAGCAAAAAGCTGCATAGCATTGACCAGTTTAACAAGCAAGGAACCGAGCATCAGCTACAATCTACATTACCTGCCTCGGGAATCATCCGGGATGCATGAGGCTCAATAAAGGAAGCAGCTTTCCTTCCATTCCATTTTATGGCTGCCTTGTCACAAGCCCTAATTCCATAAGAACCTGAGCAATTAGTATTGCAAAATTTCCTGATAGATCAATTATTTAGGATACTTCATCATCATGTAACTGTATCATAGCCATCAGAATCTCTAGATATAATCCGTAATCACAAATGGGTTTTCCTAAGGGATGGTTCGAACAAAAAACTATTTCACATAAACGGAAGATGACCAACTCTTTATCTGAGGCACTTCACTCTTTTTAGCAATGAAGGACAAGCATACTCAGACAAACCTACAAAGAACATAGCATGTGTAAAAGTCCAAAATTGAGATCCCTGGAGAAGTAGATTACATGTTTCCATGAAACTGCTCCATTTGAGCCCCAAACCCGCCAAACTTTTGCAAAGCACCCCCTTGATATCTTGAATGATTCCTCGAGAAACCAGAGCTCTGTCGCCGAAGTACTTGCACAACTTCCTCTTTGGAAAGATTAGCCATCTGTACAATTGGGAAAACCAGATAAGAACACATCGAAGCATGCATGTCTTAGTTATATTTTCTAACATCCATAATCAAAACCTGCTTGAGATCCTCTTCATAATCGCTGATAACGAAATTGATGTCAGCCTCCAGACCCCTGAACTTTACAGCAGCTCGATCATACGCCCTGCACGAGCAGATATTGAACTCATGAAATACAGTTAAGGGATCAATAAGATCATACAAAACAACATAATTTCCAAAAAAAGGCATTACCTAGCTGCAGCATGGGCAGTGTCAAATCCACCTAATGAATTCAAAAAGTTAAGCTTTCATTAGAGAGAGTCAAGAACACAGCAGAGATAATATCAGAGTGGTAAAAAAACCAATACAACCCATACCTAAGTAAACTTGTTTACCGCAATCCCTGCAACCACGAAAATTGACAAAAAGAAGAATTTAAAAATCAATACAAAACCAAAGATTATCTATTTGACCTATCTAAAAGATTATCTATCAGAAGTAGATTTACCAGATATGTGATTCCCATCTGCCTGTCCTCCTGTAGAAAGTGACGCCTCTATACTGCGAACTCTTTGACCTAGGTCCTCTCCTGCTTTTCTTCACCGGCTGTGCTGGTGGTTGCATCACCGGCGCAGAGTCTCCGCCTTGTTTCCCTCTCTGGAAAGATATATCAACGGAGCTCCTGGAACTTTGTGCGCTCGAATCAAGAAAACTCATGCCGCCTCCATCGCCTTTACCAACAGGGAAAAAATCTTTAGTCATCACCGCACTTCTTTCTTCTTCTCCTTCTTCTTCTTCTTCTTCTTCCCCGCCTCCTCCCTTCAGTATCTCAAATTGAAACTTGACGGCGCGTGTGGAGCACAGCTCCTCCTCGCCATCGATGCAGCTGGACGCCTCGGCATTGACTACCGAAGAGTTCGACGTCACCGATTCATCCATCTGATTCAAAACAGCACCGGAAACCCGCTTCACAGCAGCTGAATCTCGTCCGTTCTGAGTAGACTCAGCCGACTCGACGTCGAGATTGAGATCCAGCATCAATCTCAAAAGTCAACAAAAGCACACAAGCTCCGAGATTTCACAAGAACAAACAACTACTTCGTCAACCCTTTACACATTGATCAAGCTATTCACACGGGCCTAACAAATTTCTCACTAATCCGAGTACCGACCAATAAATTTCAGCGATCGCGCCGTCGATTTGATATGAACAGATATCAAAAATTCACATTTCCTGGGTAAGAAATCTGCAACGGCTACGGATAATCAGAGACAACGGACGGAGATAAGATTCTGAAATTAATAAAAACACGGCCAGGATTCGCGGCGGAGGTAGAATAAATACAGAGAAGGTAAGCTCGATCACTACGGAGTAATACGAGATTCAGGAGACATGGCGATGAGAGTTGCTCACTGGGGGTTAGAAAGAGTAAGGCGAATAGCTTCGCCGGACAAAGAGATTGTCGTCGGCGCAACAAAACGGGAATGATGGGACGTAAGCCAGCCGTGGTTAGTGGCAACAAAGGAACATGTATAAATTATTATTCGTTCCATCTTTCTCGGCAATTGGACACCGGTTATGCCGGTTTCCGGTTCCGTTGGGAAAAGTAAAAACGTGCTCTTGTTTCTTTCTTTTATTTTAAATGGTAAAATTTTAGTGTAAAAAATTTGAAGCATGATAAATAATTTAAGTACTGTTTAACTTTAGCATTGCATTTTGCACTAAAATTTATAGTTGTGTGTACTGTGTATAGCTTTTTGTACTGAACTAAAAATAAGTGATTTACTGCATATAAAATCCTTTAACAAAAAATAATATATATATACTAAATATATATATCACAATAATCGAAAAAGAAAAACGAATACACTCATTCAAAACTTTGAAGACAAAGCATTTGTTTTCATTTATGGGCGGGTCCTATATTTGCAGATATGTCTTCCTCACACAAAAAAAAAGGAAGAACTGATATATAAGTAATGGATAACAAGTATCCCATCCCAACTAATGTAACAAATGTGTTACAATTTTTTTTAAAAAAATGTAAAAAGTAATTAACAGTTACTTGCAGCAACATAAATAAATATTCTCTTATAATTTTGGCACTTTCAAAAGTAATGTGTGTGTGTATATAGAGAAAATATTTAGAATTGATGATGTCAATTACTTCTTCTAGTTTCTCAATTCTAACTAAGTGTTAAAAAAATAAATGAATTACGTGTGTCTATACAAAATCTCTAACATCTATAAATTTCTTCTACTGCTCTAGAGCTACATCAATCGCGTGTCATTTTCTTTCTAGATTGTCATTGAATAGCTAGCTACGAGTAAAGAATATACCATGTATTTTGATGCAGTGATGTTTCACTTCAGGTTCTATACAACAATGCCAATCGGTAGACTCTTTTATTGCATACAATCGACAAATATATAAAAAGAAATGAACGAGAAAACGTATGTATCGTGAACTCGCATCTAATTCTAATATATGGCTTGGAAGCAACGATATTGTATGGTGGACTCTAGCTTGAGAGGAAAATGAATCAAAGAGATAGCAACGAAGAAGTTGATATGGTTTTCAAATGGGTAAGTAAACCCATGCATAAAGTGTAAAAAAAAATACTAGGTTGAATGTTGTAGCTGTATTATACTGATGATTACAGTACTACTCTTTTTTAGTGGCTCAGTTTTCACTTTTCACTTTTCACTTTATTATCTCTTGCATGGATTCGGGGCTTTAGCAATTAGCACATTTTATTTTGCATCCAGATTCGAACTCAGGTTACCGGCGAAAAATGAAAATGACCTCAAAAAATATCTTTGCTTGTGTCCATACGAATCTCTTTTTCTTTCTAAGAAATGTTTTTTTTTTATTAGTGGGGTAGGTCGAATGATAATTTAGACTGGCTTTAGCCGGTTGGCCAAAAGTGGAATGTCAGAAAAATCTCGAAGATCATCAATCTTAACGAGTTAAATACAGCCACGTGTACAACAGAGATTGAACCCCAGCCATTCAACTACTCTCTCTCTCTCTCTCATACTCTCAGGTCAAAAATCTTCCTCATCTGTCTATCTGATCTGACGGCCCATGTCCGTTCTTACTTTCCTGAAATTTAGGAATTTTTCTGCATTTATCAATTTTCATTTTCATGCCCTTTATTTGTTTTCATTAGACGATATACACGTTGTATTGTAGTGGTTATGTTTCCATTCAATTTTTAATTACATACAGATGGGCAATACGCAAAGCGATGATGATGATTCTGATTAAAAAAAAAATAGTTTCTGAAACTAAAAATAGAGAAATATTATTTGTTTAGTGTAAAAAAAAAGGTCTTCTTTTTAAACATTATAATAATAAATCATATAATGCAAACGATGTTGATTTATAAGATGTGGACGCAGTCGGCCGTTCTCTCCATACCTAATTTATCATAGATATATATAGTATTATCACAGTTGTCGACAAAAAGTCCATGACCATTTTGGTTACTATATGTAGATCGACCAATTATTCCTTTTTAAGAAAATTATATATTTTCTTTTGGTACGATGTGACACGGCAAGAACAAGTTGCCCATTTTTTTTGGTGCAATCATTAAATTTGATCATCGTTGCCAACTAAACGAATTAACTGTGGTAGTGTGTGGTTTGATAATCCGGTTTTGGAGAATGGTGGTTACAGGCTTGCATGTTCGGTTAAGCCCGCGTAATTCAATCGGCCCACTTATAATTTTGTAAGGCCTTCTTAAGCCTTTCAAAGCCACCGAGAGTACTGACATAGAGAGTAGAGACGCGACCGACTAGAGATGCCAAAGACATCCGAATTGGTCGGAGCTTCACGCTGACATCTGGTCGTTGATTCTAAAGCCTTTGAGCTTGTTCTGGATGGAACATCGCGTCGAGATTTTACATGTGTACCGTTGATGGTAGCATCAGAATCTTTAATTTCGATGGTTCGGGTTCCGGTAGAGACATCGTCAACCATCCATACTGTTGTCCCTACCAGATGGATAACTCGGGGCATGTCAGGGTTGGAAATCAGACTTCCTGTGTCCGGAAATGTTCTGATGATACTGTGCGTGATATCTGGTGAAAGTAATCTGTTTGGAGTGTATAAGATGGATGGGGAAAAGTGGGAGATGGTGTATTCTTTTTGGGGGAATAGGAAGCTCTGGTTTGGGATTTGAGTGTTACTTTGGCTACCAAAGCAGGAATCAAGAAACACTCTTTTTACTTTTGGCATACTTATGAGTTTCCTGCCTCGAGAAATCGCTGCCTATGTGATGTCTACTCAGAGTCTCCAACCATTTGAACAACCTGAGCTTCTGCCTGGAGATGCTCGCTGGTTCCTTCCTTGGTTTTGTACTGCTGAGCAGCGATCCCTGGCAGTGTAAGCTTCTTTTGTTATTTGAAAGCAATGTAAAATAGATTGGTGTCTTTGTTTAAGCTACCATAAGGTCATTTTATGCTACCTTGATACATTTTTAGTTCCCAAATTTTCATTGTTTGATGATGAATCCAGTTTTTTGGGAGTGGTTGTTAGATGAAAGGGTGAAACTAACATCTATTTATCTCTGAAGTAATATGAGGTACAGATTTCTCCCTCTGGAGTGGAAATCGAAGATGATTCCAGGACAAAGAAAGAATCAAACTCGGAGTTGATGTTTGGAGCTTTGGTCGACCGAGTTAGAAAACCAGAAGACCATGTTGGTCAGTCCCTGTTCATCGTCTTTCTCAAGGTTCCCTATTGCTTATCATTAATTAAATGCCTAAGCTTGTAGCAGAGTACACATTGCTGCGAGAATTTCCAACTAAAGTCCCATTAATTATCTATAATACTTATATTTATAGCGAATGCATTCACACAAATATAGAAAAAAAAATGAAACCAACCACATTTCTCCATTTGTTAGCTATAGCGTTGGTTTTAAGACCGATGTTTTTGAATATGATGTTTTTAGCTAGAGTGCTGCTAATTCTCTGGTTATGGTGTGTTTAGGATCAGAAATATCTCTTAGGATTTTGAACCCTTTTGGTTTATTTCTCCGAAACTCTCAGCTATCGGTTTTATGTTTGTTTTGTTTTGGAAATAACTACTAAGAAGAACAATACAATAATAAATTTAAAGAACAGTGTCGATGAATAGCCAACCTTGTTATCAATTTTGATTCTGAATCATCTTTATTGGTAAAAACGTTAATAACAAGCCTTTCTTACAAAGTTTATTTAATCAACCATAAAGTCGAACTTAACCACCACATTGAAATACGAGCAATATGAGCATTTTAACTAGTTTCAGACAAAAACACAGACACTGAGACACAACTATTCTGGTCATCTAGCTAGGAACCTTGAATGGTCGACTCCAAGATATTTGCAATGTTACTTCCATGGGATCTACGCAAGAGGTGGAGAAAAGGCATGAGCTTATGCACCAAAGCCGAAAACAGATCAACCCTAGACATCTCCTGTGTGACACTCAGTGCCTTGGCCACCACGAAACTCCCAAACTCATTCCTCCCCAGCCTCATCAACCTGTCTCCGCCGCACTCCAAAAGCTCCACCACCACCACAGCCATCGTCTCCTCCGCCTCCACAAGCTTCTCTACGATGTAGCTTCCATACTGCTTGAACGACAGATCAACGCAATGTCCACGAAGACTAACGGCGACGTTGTGCGTGCAACGCAAGTCATACAGTTTGAGAACGTGTTGGACCACGAAGTTCCCTGAGGCATCGTTGCTTAGGAAGAGAGCGTTGTGCGCTACTACGTCTAGCAGCTGGTTCCTGTAGTAAGGATCATCCACATCGGTTATGACCTCGTTGAGCGCGATGCAGCCGTGTTTTTCACACGCTATGTCGAGCGCGTAGTGTAGAATGTGCTCGTACATTGCCTTTTTCTTCTCCCGCTCGAAAACGACCATGGCTCGTGTCGCCACGTAGGAGGCGTACTTGTCGGTCATGATGTGGAGGAAACGGCGCAAGATAGCGGCGTAGAAGAGCGCGTCCACGTCATCCGATATTCCGAGGAGCTTCTGCACGCGTCGCGAGCCGTTCTTGTTTCTGACGACCTCCATGAAGTAATCGGCGTCTAACGTCAACAACGACACCATCATGTGAAGTTGTCTTCGGTCTAATTTAGAGATCATCTCTTTGAACTGGGCCACACCTTCGCCGTTAGTCATTAGGTTGAACAGCGGGTTCAAGCGCGTGTTTGATACGGCGGAGGCGCGTGGAATGAAGCCCGGAGGAGGAATGGAGCCGGAGATTCCTTTAGAGAGACGGACATGTTGTAAAGCATCGAACATGGTCGACATCGAAAAGGTATTATCGGCGATTGACATTGTACAGAAATTAATCTTAACTAGAGAGAGGGATTAATTATTATTAATCTCTGTGATCTTGGAGATGTGTGAGAGATTTGTTTGAGTGATTGTTGGATGAATTTGTAGGGAGGGGTCTAGTAATTTATACTAGTTACAGTCTTTTCTCATGAACGATTATTTGCTTCTCGAGAAAGGAAATTTATCTGGAGTTTCCCTTTTTCTTCCCTTTTCGTAACTATGATAGTTTTACCGCTAATGAAAAAAAAGGAAATAGGTGTTGTGTACTGTTGTACAACGCGTTTTACGAAAAATGATAATTATTGTTAAGCCATGATATTAATTAAGAAGTTTCATATAAAAAGGAAAAATGAAAAACGCAAGAAGTATCTATCCTTTTAGGCCTCAAAAAGTTAACTCAAGAACAACATTTCCATTCCTGATATTAAAAGTTAACTTCAAGAAGTAGAAAGAAGAATGAACTCAAAACGTGGTCGTTCTATCGACCATGAGAACCAAACGATCCACCGTGAAAGATTCGGTTTAATTGCATACCGAGATTTAGCTCTAAACCTCTCTCAGGCTCCCGGCTTTTGATTTTGTCCACGTCACCAATCCCAGGATGCGCAAATCACAACACGCACATCGGGTCCCACATTAACACGTAGGCTAATAATACCACGTCATTACCCCTCCCCCTTCCCAAAATAATATCTTCTCCCTTGCCCACTTGCGCCCGTAGTGTCTCTCAATCTTTTTCTATCTGAATAAATTTCCTCACCAGTAAACAACATTTCTCTCTTTTTTTAAAAAAAAGTTTTTATAATTTCAGTAGCAACTTGACTCTGTATAGTTTTGGTAAAAAGAATATTAGATACGAATCAAACCTATTGAATGATTTTGGAAACCGTTGGCTTTGATTTTGTTTACAGTGATTAAATGCTAAGCAAACCTGATTAAGCAGAGTTATACAAAATCTGTTCTTTTTTTTTTTCGTTTTATTTTGGTTTTCCCAGTCAGATATGGTGAGAGATTCTAGTGGTGGTGGTGTTCTTCATCACTGGATAAGCTTTGAATTACAAAGGTTTGCTTCTTTTGTTTTCTCTCGATTTGACTATCTGGTGCTGATTCAATTTTGTGCTTACTTCCATTTCGTATCATAGCTTATTATAGTTTGATTTTTCTATCTGGGTTTTGAGGAATTTTTAAGAACCTGAGAAATAATGAGATCCAATCCAAGATCTGAGATATAATTCCAATTGTTTTTTTAAAGCTTCTTAGAGTTTGGGATGTTTAGTTTTGCTTTGGATAAAGTCTCATGATTTATCCAAGTTCTGTTTTTTTTCTTTCTGGTGTGAACTTCTTAACGAAATGTTGTTCATTTTTGTTTTGTTTCTTATTCGGTTGAGGTTTTGGTGAAGGGATTAAAATAAGTTTGGCTATAGAAGAAATGTGCAAGTGTTATGTCAGAGTAGAGGGGAAGTTTCTGCTCAGATGTTATTTGAAGCTGCTTCTATTCTATCTTGTTCATGGAGGCTGGTCTTGACACTATCACAAGAAGTTCAGTATTATAAAAATGTGTTTCAATAACAACGAAATGGCAAATGAAGTGGAAACCGAGAGGCAAGCGTTTGTTTCATCTGAGGAAGATGAGTCTCGAGCTGAAGATACCGTTGGAAATGCCAACACTTTGCTACATATTTCTCAACAACAACAGCAACAACAACAACAACCGCTAGGTCCTGTTGTTAATTGGGAGAGGTATCTCCCTGTTAGATCGCTTAAGGTTCTTCTGGTGGAGAATGATGACTCAACACGCCATATTGTTACTGCCCTTTTGAAGAATTGCAGCTATGAAGGTACATTGATTGAATTGATCATACTTGTTTACCAATCACTTCGTTGCTTTTGACTAACTGTTGTAAATGTGGCGACTTTTGTCAGTTACCGCTGTTCCGGATGTCCTTGAAGCCTGGAGTATCCTAGAAGACGAGAACAGCTGCATAGATCTTGTGTTAACGGAAGTTGTTATGCCTGTGAACTCTGGAACCGGTCTCTTGTGCAAGATTACGAGCCATAAGACACTTAAGAACATCCCCGTCATAAGTACTTACTTAGATCCCTATGTTGTTGGCCTGATCTAGTTCCAGTTTGTGATGCTCATTGTCGTGTAACACCTTTTTGTAGTGATGTCATCTCATGATTCGATGGTTCTGGTCTTCAAGTGTTTGTCGAATGGTGCTGTTGATTTTCTCGTGAAACCCATTAGAAAGAACGAGCTAAAGAATCTTTGGCAGCATGTCTGGAGAAGATGCCACAGCGTAAAGTGTTCTGCTTTGATTACCTGTTTTTACAAAAGATACTCTGTGTGTATTCTCTTAGACTCTTACTTATGCGTTTCTTGATTTACTAGTCTAGCGGTAGCGGAAGTGAGAGTGGGATACAGAACAAGAAGTCTGTGAAAACGGAAAGCTCAGAAGGGTCAGAAGACGATGCCAGCATGAGTGATGAAGATCACGGGAATGATAATGGGAGTAATGGTTTGAGTAACGGAGATGGTGGGAGTGATAACGGGAGTGGAACTCAGGTAATTTGCTTATGTGGCATATATGTATAATAACAATGTATGAGGAACTCTGTTTATAAATCTTTTGATTGATTTTGCATTATGAAACTAGAGTTCTTGGACTAAAAGAGCAAGTGATATTAACATCACCTCGCCTTCGTATCAATTGCCCGATGCAACCAATATGAATCCGGGAACCTATGGCAACGGATGTGAACGTAAACTAAAGGAAGTTGAAGATCAGAATGAACATATAGGTAAGAACAAAACCTCATCAGTCAATCGTGTGGAGCCATTCCTTGTATTCTCTGTGTTTTACTATTCAAAAGGACAACTTTAGGTGATGTTGCAATAGGCACGGGATCGCAGGCAGGAATGTGTATGAGTAAGAAAGCTGAAGTACCAGGAGATCTAGAAAATGATGCAAAGTCTTCTGTTAAAGCTTTGGAGAGAAATAATATAGATATGCTGAATCGCTCTTCATCTAACCCAGAGGATTTGCAATCACTCGAGCTAAGTTTGAGAAAACCAAGAGAGGCTGGAGATCACAGGATCAGCGATCGAAGTGTTTTGAGGCATTCAAATCACTCTGCATTCGCAAAGTAAGTTCTGGACCTCAACTGTGAAAGAAATGTCGAATCTTGTGACTAATTTTGAGCTATTGTTTCGTGTGTGACATGCAGATACAATAACGGCGCTACTTCTGCTAATAAGGTATTGTCTACGAACTATGCTTGGTGTTGTCTTTGAAATCTATGCCGATTTCATTTAAAAGCTTTATAATTATTTGCTGAGTAGGCTCCAGAGGAAAATGTGGGAAGTTGTTCTCCTCATGACAGTTCCATTGGCAAAATAATGGGTTCCGGTTCGAGCAGTGATAATCCTTCGAATCAGCAGTCTAGTGGAAGCGAACGGGCAGCGCAAAGAGAGGCTGCTTTGATGAAGTTTCGCCTGAAACGAAAAGAGAGATGTTTCGAGAAAAAGGTATCTCTGAACAAGCGTAAGCTCTTATTTCGTGGGACGTAAGTTATCGCATGTTTTTGTTTGTTCTGTTTTGTTTTTAGGTAAGGTACCATAGCGGAAAGAAACTAGCTGAGCAACGGCCTCGCGTCAAAGGCCAATTCATTCGCAAGTAAGTTTAAAATCTTGTTAAGATTTCTCCCTCTTCCTCAAAGTCTCTGGATTAGCAAAATGATTCCGTATATAGTAATGTACTCGCATGGTTTCATGTAGGAGGGATGATTTCTAAATCAGGAAATGAGTGTCCGAGTAGTGACGACTGTTGAACAACGAGATTGGTATAAAGGAGAGATTTCGCTTCGAAGATATAAAGAACAAAAGAGAGTTTCACAAAGTGGCATTGGATCTGATAAACAGAGACTCTTCAATGCCATTTGGATTCTTTGGTTATGTTTTGTAAGAATCTTTTTCTTTTTCCATCTTTGTTTAATAAAGTCTATAGAAGATTATTGCCATGAGAATTTTCATTGTGTATTACTCTGCAAGAATTATACTGTTTACTACTATTGTAAAAAGTAAAATCAATCACTTACTCAATATGGAAAAGTTATTTATCTTTTTTTTTTGGTCAAGGTTATTTATCCACTTAAAAACTTCATTTTTTTCCTTTGATATTCAAGGGAAAAAAAAATATTTTTCCTATGAATCTAATGTGTATTATTTTAATTTTCTTAAGTTTTTTCAAAAACATTATCCATCCATATAGCCGCTCTATTAAAACGCATGTGCGCTCATATATATATATTCTCTCCGGCGTGACCTTTTTAGTGTTCATCATCCGACTCTCTCTCTCTCTCTCTCTCTCTCTCTCTCTCTCTCTCTCTCTCTCTCTCTCTCTCTCTCTCTCTCTCTCTCTCTCTCTCTCTCTCTCTCTCTCTCTCTCTCTCTCTCTCTCTCTCTCTCTCTCTCTCTCTCTCTCTCTCTCTCTCTCTCTCTCTCTCTCTCTCTCTCTCTCTCTCTCTCTCTCTCTCTCTCTCTCTCTCTCTCTCTCTCTCTCTCTCTCTCTCTCTCTCTCGAGTTTTCTCGCAGAGAGACTCTTTGTTTAACTGATTCTTTTTTTCCGGGAAAACACAAGAAAAGCCGTTATCTCCGTTGATCGCAGCGATGAAAAAATGCTTGTGTTGTTTCAAAGGAGAAAGCTCAAGTCAAGGAGGGCAACATCCACGAGGGCAACATCCACAAGGGCAAGCGCCACAAGTGCAAGCGTCACAAGTGCAAGATCCACAAGGGCAAGCACCACAAGGGCAAGCACCTGAAGGTCAAGAACCATCGAGAAGAACTGATTCATCGGAAATAAAAGGCAGCGAGAGCGAAGAATTTGATGAAGAACACCCATTTGGCGATAACGAGCCCCTCAATAATTCCTGGCGCAACTTTCTCAAAAACCAAAAAGATCGTCCTCCTCCAGGTTCTCATCTTGGTTTCTCCTTTTCCTCTTTATCAATCTTTCGAAATCGAATTTCTCTGTTTTCTTATTTTACTGCATACCACAAGCACTCTGTTTCTTAGAGTAGCAAGCACTCTGTTTCTTACGTAGCCTAGTTTTGAAATGTGAACTTTTCACTGTATGACATTTCCTGCAAGTGATCGTAGTTGAGTTTTTCTTGTTATCGAAACAAGTCTGGATCTTGTGAAATCAACCGATTCGTTAATGCCGCATCAGATTAGTTTAGGGTTCTTGTTCTTCGTCATCGTTATCTTTTCTTAACTTTTTAGTAATTCATCTGCAGATTCGAGTCCTAATCATCCTCAAGCGTCATCTCCAGCTCTGATTCCTCATTCTGGAGTTTCGTTTCAATGGCTCCAGATCTTAGACGGAACCGTAAACCTCTCGCTGGTTAACTTTCTCGGCCGAGGCAACTTCGGTGAAGTCTATCGCTGCCATTTCCCAACAACCAATACGGTATAAGTCGCTTTTCTTTACCCACAAGTCTTCTCCTTTATGGTCCTGAATCGAAAACCCATTTGCTAAATTCAACAACTTTTTGTTTCTTTCATACGATTGATCAGTACGGAGCTGCAAAGATTCAGAATTTCAAGAACCCAGAGGCTCATCCCGAGTTCGCGGCAGAGATTATGACTTTACACACAGCTAATCACCCAAATGTGATCAAACTTCTCGGCAAATGTTTCGAGAAGGACCATCGTGTCATCGTCTACGAATACATGCCTAAAGGCTCTCTCGATCACTACCTCTATGGTATAAGCAAAAAAAAAAACCCTATTGATTCTCTGTTTTAGTTTTCCAAAACCGATTTCCAGTTTTTTTTTTACCTGTCTTTGATGAACCTTTCTATTGTTTGTAGCAAACACGAGGCCAAAACAGGGTCCGGGTCGAGACCAGGAGTATCCGGTTTTGAGCTGGGTCGAGAGGCTGAAAATTGCACTGGGTGTAGCCGAAGCTCTTGTTTATCTACACGAGGGGTTAAAGATAATTCATCGAGACGTCAAGGCTTCGAACGTTTTACTTGATGAGGATCTTGTGCCGAGGCTCACTGATTTCGGACTGGCGACTAAAATGGTTGTAGATGACAACAACGTCGAGAAGCCGAGCAAGATCTATCCGATCAAGGGGACTCCGGGATGCATCGCACCGGAAGCAAAGGGCTCGGGTTTGGTTACGAGCATGTCCGATGTCTATAGCTATGGAGTTTTCCTCTTTACGCTTTTCACTGGAAGGAAAGCTTTTGATCGGCAGAGAGCTGTTGAGAAAACGAACATCACTGATTGGGTATGAGTCTCACACTTTGATTATAGGGTTTTGCTTTTTTCTTAGATGTTTCGTGTTCCGGAAGTAATAGGTTTTTATTTTTATTTTTATTGCAGTTGATGCCAGTTTGGAGTAAACAAGAGTACATGCCTATGGTACTTGATGCTGCGCTCGGTAATAGCTATTCGGTTGAAGGTTTAAGCAGATTGTTTCAGGCTGCGAGGATGTGTACAGACCCACAAGCACTTGCACGACCAAAAATGGCTCAGGTGGAGTCGATGATTCGCGAAGCTGCAGGGCACGAGGTGACAGTGTGTCGGCCCCTGGTGACAGAGAGGTGTTCAGTCTAGGAAGTTTCATCAGGCGATTTTATTAAATACCTTTTCATACTGTTTTCAGAAACATATTATATACTTGGATGTGTAACGGGTGGATTTTAGAAACTGTTTTTACGATTTGAGACGAGATCAGGGTTGTGAACTTTTGAGACAATGCCATCTGTTAATAGATGTTGTTAATCAACGTTTTGAGATATTTCGCCTTCATTTCTCTGTTCTGAAATTTTCTTAAAATAGAAGAGAAGAAACAGAACAGAAAAGTTCTTACCTTTGGAATTTTATTAGATCTTAAGTCTTTCAAAACAACCTCTATGATTCCAGATTGCGTAGATTTGGATTCAAATTAACTGGATCCGGTTGATGATTCTGAAACTTTACAAATTCATGTCGTGAGAGGTCATGAATCATATGATACCTCGAGAAGCTTCTTGCGCAAGTAAGCTTTACCGGTTGTTAGATATTATAACCTTTAGATCCACATCTTTTAATTAAGGTTAGCATTCTAAAAATAATGTTTGTTCTTGATCCCATTTCATATAGGGTTTTTTTGTTGGTATTGAGATCTATCTATGTGCAACCGTTGATATAAATGGAGGAAGCATCAACATCGACATCAGCGCAAATGGCTGCGAAACCAACCGTTGTTAGGAAGACAATGGCGAAGCAACTGACCGGAAAACGTGAAGATTCGCCGCTCCATTTGGCTGTAAGACGCGGAGATTTCTCAGCGGTTAAGAAGATTCTGAGTGATCATATAGAATCAGAGGAGGAGCTAAGAGAGGTTTTGCAGAAACAGAACCAATGCGGCGAGACGGCGCTTTATGTGGCGGCAGAGTATGGCGACGCCGAGGTGGTTGCAGAGCTGATCAAGTACTATGATTTAGACGATGCGGAGACCAAAGCTAGAAATGGGTTCGATCCTTTCCACATTGCTGCTAAACAAGGCGAATTGGGTATGATATTTTTGTCGGATTTCTATCCAGAAATGATAATATTCAGTCTTTGATTGGTTTTAAAAAATTGGGAAGAAAAAATGCCGAAGAATATGAATAATGTTTCACTCTTTGTTTGATCTTAAAAATTTGGAAGGAACCAAAAAAAGCAACTAAAAATATGATGAAAGTGTTAAGGCTTTTAGCATTTGTTTCGTTCATTTGATGAAAGTTTAGATATTTTTGTCTGATTTCCATCCAATGATGATATAATCATAAAAGACTCGACCTTGGTTGGATTTGAGGAGTTGGTTAAAAGCAATTCATATGTGTTGGGTTTTTGTTTATGTTTTAAAAATGTGATTCTACTATCAACATTTTAGTGATTCTGCAAACTCTATTCAGCTTTAGTGTCTTTGCTATTTGATCATCTAACGTACTCAAAACCATAAGCACATGATAAAATGTTCAATCTTCGTTTGATTTAATAACAGATTCACTTGATGGAAGTTGAAATCTTTTTTACGTTTATAGAAGTTTTGAGAGTACTAATGGAGGAACACCCGGAGCTAGCAATGACGGTGGACTTATCAAACACGACGGCTCTACACACGGCGGCGGCACAGGGACACGTGGAGGTCGTGGAGTACCTACTAGAAGCCGCAGGGAGTAGCCTAGCTGCGATAGCAAAGAGCAACGGGAAAACGGCATTGCACTCGGCGGCTAGGAACGGTCACGCGGAAGTGGTAAAGGCGATTGTGGCGGTTGAGCCGGACACGGCGACGAGGACTGATAAAAAGGGTCAGACACCACTTCACATGGCGGTGAAAGGACAAAGCATTGATGTGGTGGTTGAGCTAATGAAGGGACATAGATCGTCGTTGAATATGGTTGATTCTAAAGGGAACACTGCGTTACATGTTGCTACTAGGAAAGGTCGCACTAAGGTACGTTCTTCGGAGATTTTTTTTATAGTTTGCGTGATAGTTATATGAAGTGTTTCGAATAATATTAAAGCATATCATTTTTTTCATCAGATATTTGCCTAAATTGTAAATACAAACACGAAACTCAAATCGCACTTCTTTGCCTATCTGCGTTTTGATTTGTGTTTACAATTTACAACAAACAAATTGATTAACACACAAGGTTGTAGTTTTCATTTCCATGAACAAATGATACGTACCAATATGTAGACGTCACGCGAACTGAGACCTAGATTAGGAATATTATTGTTTCAAACCCTATTTTATATGTACGTGTGAAAACCAAATTTGAATGGTATAAATGCAACCAGTGTCCTTTATATTGTAAACTAGGAATCGAGTTTAGCTAACATGTTAATATCTGTTAAATTCTGGATATTACTAATCTATTTGAGATTTTAATATGGTTGCAGATTGTGGAATTGCTTCTAGAGAACAACGAGACAGGCACAAAAGCGATAAACAGAGCCGGAGAAACGCCGCTCGACACGGCCGAGAAAACAGGACACCCTGAGCTCGCGGCGGTTCTCAAAACCCGAGGCGTTCCCTCCGCTAAAGCCATTAACAACCCTACTCGGTCAAACCCGGCGCGTGAGCTCAAACAAACGGTGAGCGACATCAAACACGAGGTTCATCACCAGCTCGAACACGCTCGAGAGACGAGGAAACGCGTTCAAGGAATCGCCAAACGCATAAACAAAATGCACATTGAAGGTCTCGACAACGCCATTAACTCCACTACTGTCGTCGCGGTTCTAATCGCCACGGTCGCTTTCGCCGCCATTTTCACCGTCCCGGGACAATACGCCGACGAACTGAGTTCCCTCAATCCTGGACAGTCTCTCGGAGAAGCCAACATCGCGGATAGACCTGCGTTTGCGATCTTCTTCATATTCGATTCTATCGCTCTTTTTATATCTTTAGCGGTTGTAGTGGTTCAGACTTCGGTGGTTGCGATTGAGCACAAGGCCAAGAAGAGCATGATGGCTGTGATAAACAAGCTGATGTGGTTAGCGTGCGTTTTGATATCTGTGGCGTTTTTGGCGTTAGCGTTTGTGGTGGTTGGAGAGGAAGAGCGGTGGCTGGCGGTTGGAGTGACGGTGTTTGGTGCGACGATAATGCTCACGACGCTTGGGACGATGTGTTATTGGGTCATTATGCATCGCATTGAGGCTTCGAATGTGAGAAGCGCGAGGAAAGAATCGATGGCGAGATCGAGACAATCCGGATTGTTGGAATTTTCTGGGATTTTAACAAAGAGAATGTATGCTATTTAGTGATTTTAGAGACAAAAGAGTATGCGTTAAGTTTCGATCATGAAGCGTGTGGAAGAAGTAACCGAAGTTATTTCGTAATATTTTTTTGTTTTCGTTCTTCCCGTTTATGATTTTGACGCCATCATTATTAGTTTTAAGTTTTAACTTTCAAAATTAGCATCTTTTATCTCTAAAGAAATATGTATTTGATGCAAAGTTATAGAATAGTGTTAAACTTTAACAAGTAAAATGTCTTTCTGTTGAAACATAGATTTGATGCAATTTTCTGAATATTTATACACAAGTGAATGGGCGGGCTATATTTGTCAAACTAGCTGGCGTCATCATTACTAAAGTATACTTTTATTTTCTATCTCTACACTCCACAATATTGAATATATCAAATTAATTGATACGATTGCTATCATCACTATGATTTTTTTAAAAGCCTATTGGTCAATGGTACATTATAAATATAATATATTATTTTTACTATTTCATTATTCTATATATAGGCAAAAAGCATGTGTTAAGTAGTATATGTTTAAACCACAAAGAGACAATAATAGCACATAAATAGACATCATGCAACAATTTTTTAAGTTTTAAGCCATAAAGACAACCACAGAAATAGACATTTATGATGTTTTTTAAAGAAAATATATAAAAAGAAATGAGAAATGATGTCAACATCAATGATGAATTATAACGACATTATATTGCCATTGTACACTTGACTGATCCAAAATTTCTAAAACCAAGAAACAGAACAAGTCCATATCCTCTCTTTCTTTCTACTTCTTCAATGGATTCTTCTCTTCTTCCTCTTCCTCAATGGTCCGATCTTCCTTTAGACCTCCTTGAGTTGATCTCCGATCGCGTTAACGACGACTCATCTGACACCGCTGATCTCCTCTGTCTCCGCTCTGTATGTGCCACGTGGCGTCTCTCTCTTCCTCTCTCCCATAAAAACAATAACTTTTTGTCTAAATTTCCAACTTTGCTCCCTTTCTGGTCATCTTCTTCTTCTTCATCCTCTGGTTTCTTCATTCTGAAGCAAAGCAGTGTTTACAAACTCGAAGCTCTAGATAAGACTTCGAATCCGACCAGCTGGTTGGTGAAGCTTCAGGAGACATCTCCAGGGAAAATGCGAGTCTTGGATCTCTTCTCAAACGACAGAATCAGTTTCCTACCGGAATCTTTCCCGGAAAAGATCGATTTGCAGGAATCTCATGTGAGATTGGTTCGTAGAGCTTACCGTATGGAATACGCAAACAATGGTGGTGGCGAGATGTCGTCTTTCTGGTCACTGAATTCAGACAAAGTTGTGATTCTGTCTTCAGGGGAACACTCTGCGGTAATGGCGATTCACAGTGGTGGGAAATTAGGGTTCTTGAAAAGGGGAAACGAAGAGAGATGGAGGATTCTGGATAATTCGTGGAATGTGATTTATGAGGACATAATGGTGTACGAAGATAATTGCATCGTTGTGGACGATAAGGGCAAAACCGTAATTTACGATGTGGATTTCAAGGTTTCTGATTTGGCTGAGGGTTTAGCTGGAGGAGGCGGTCACAAGAAGCATCTCGTGGAATATTCCGGCGGAGAAGTTCTGCTTGTGGACAAGTACGTGAAACACGTTTGGTGCAAATCGGAGTTTTCGAAATCTGCGGTGGAGTTTAGAGTGTATAAGCTGAACAGAGAAGAGAAGAGATGGGAAGAGGTGAGAGAATTAGGTGATGCGGCTCTGTTCTTAGGAGAAGATTGTTCTTTCTCCGTTCAGATTCCGGCCGGAGATTTGGCCGGAGGTTGTATATTCTACAGAGATTATAGGAATGGAGGAAGAAGCAGAGGGAGTCGCAGTGACGGTGATGGCGTTTTCAATGTGGAATACGAGATGCAAGGTGATCTTGTGTTTTCATATAAAGCCCAAATGTTTAAGCCCATAATATAATTGGGCCTTCAAAAATAATAACAATTGTTGAAATGATAAATTGTACAAGTCCATGTGTTTCAATGCTTTCGGTTTAAATAAAGGGCCCCTTCGTTGAATGAAAAATTATTAAAAGTTATGTTCTTGAGCCGAAAAGTACCAGCAATGAAAAGATTAATACCATTCTCAATAAACAAGCACGTGTATAGAGTAAATGAACGTATATGAGATTCTCTCTTTATGTCGTGTATTGTTGTTTAATATTTCATGATTACAACATCATCGAACGTTACATTTGCCATGAGAAACAGGTAACCGAAGTTTTCAATTGGTGAAATAAATTGTTTGAAGAGAATCTTGTTGTCTATTAGTCTATTACGATAGAAGTTAATGCTTTGGGCCACTATATTGCCCACAACATTTTCTTTTTCTTTCTTTTGTTATGTCATTTCAAAAACGTTGAAAATAATTTTAAAAATTAAAATTATGTAGTCGGTGGAAGAACATATTTGAGCTCGATAAGTAGTGTTTTTATTACAACCTTACAAATTATAAACGACAAAGTTTTAGTTGATTGACAAGACCCAATAGATAAAATCCAAGTGATCGTATATTCTTTGAGCAAACGCATAGTTCTAAGATATGAACAGAGACACTTTTAAATTCGTCCTCCCGGCCTTTAAGTCCGTTTGTCCCCCGGTCAGATGGGGTTAGACCGGGCTGATCCGATTAATAATAACTAAACCGGTTCGACCAGTAAATTAACTTTTTGTTTGAAAAATCGAAAACCAAAGAAAAGGTCCAATGAGAAGCAAAGGAAATACCATGTAAATAAAATATTGGAAAACAAAAACTGAGTCGAAAATATGAATATTGTAGTAATATAACTTTTGTTTACCTTTGGGTTTCTCGAATTAAAAACTAGACACTGTATGAATATTCAAATGAACATGTTTACATAAACTCAGTGTATATCATATAGTGGATGTATAAAATGTGTGTATATTTTTGAGATAAAGAGGAGGGCACATGGAGGAGGCAATGATCTATCTATCTGTAAAAGAGACATAAAACAAGTAACTTTTTCTTAATCATTTTTCTCTCACTCGCCATTGCTGTTGTATTTTGTATTTTTTCTATTCTCTAGATCCAAAGTCCTCTCATTTTCTTGGATTCTGATTCTTCGATTTCATCTTCTTGTGGAGAAATCTGCTCCTTTGTTTACTCTTTTATTTTCCCAAGAAAACAAATTTCCAGGATTTGCTTGTCTGTTCTTAATCGAGGATTTTTTGTTTTCTCAGTTATCTCCTCTTCTTGTTTGTTTTGTCTCTCAACTTTGAGATTTTGCACAAACACTTTGCTACTTTTCCCGCGGAAAGTCTCTTGGTACTTTTTCCCGGGAATCACAAATTTCACATTTCTTTTTTTCTCGAGAAAGTTTGAGAATTTACTTGTTTCAATGGCGTCCAGAGAAGTAGCAACGATGATCAAACAAGGGTTTATCGCAGATCCTTCTCTCTCTTTCTCACCGTCAAGAATCACATCGCCGACCAAACACTCATCCGCCTCTTCTCCTCCCCTACCGTCCCCACCGCCTCCTCCGCCGCCGCCGCCAAACGAAACGAGTCACTCGAACCCGACTCTTTACCACATGATGTCAGAAGAGCACAACCGCGAGCCACGGAGGAAATCCCACGCGCGCGTGGCTCAGATCCTGACGGAGTTCAAGAACGGCGTCGTTTACGGCCACAGCCTCGGTCCCAGCGACGTTAAGCTGAGTGTGGTGGGAAAAGACGGTTACAGAGTCACCATGGATGTTCACAGGAAGGTTTTATCGGAGAAGAGCAGGTTTTTCATGGTGAAGATGAATTCCAGAAGAGAGAAAGGAGTTTCTCACATAGTGGAGATAAGCGAGTGTGATGATGTTGAGATCTATGTAGAGACTGTGGTTTTGATGTATTGCGATGATCTCAAGAAGAAATTGATCGGTGAAAATGTCATCAAAATCTTGGCTTTACTCAAGGTATATTGTACAATTCGATTCTGATAAGTTGATAAGTTGTGTTCTTGGTCTGTTTGCTTTGGTTTCAATGTGTGAATCTCTTTCTTGTTTTTGGGATAGGTTTCTGCAGCTATATCGTTTGATGAAGGAGTAATGTCATGTTTGGAGCATTTGGAAGCTGTTCCTTGGTCAGAAGATGAAGAAGAGATTGTTGTATCTTGTCTTGAAGAGCTTCATCTTCCTGATGATTCAGTCACTTTGATTCTCCAGAGACTTTCGTCTGAACCTTCGACTTCCTCGACGAGAAACAGAACCGATGATATCTTCTTGAAGCTACTCACTGGTGTTCTACAAGCCAAAGACGATAAAGCACGGCGAGAGATGAAAGTTTTGATCTTTAAGTTGCTCAGGGAAGAAGCTGATCATGAAGTCTCTAAAGAGACGCTCTACGGTTTGTGCCATCGATGCCTCACCTCTCTTGTCCTCTGCTTGTCCGAAGTGACCACACAGATGAATGATCCCGGGAAAGACCGTGGTGCTCTGATGGGAGAGATCGCCAGAGAAGCTGATAACATGCTTTGGATGGTAGATATACTGATCGAGAAGAAAATGTGCGACGAGTTTGTGAAGCTATGGGCGGATCAAAAGGAGCTAGCGAATCTCCACTCCAAGATACCGACCATGTACAGACACGAGATAAGCAAGATCACAGCGCAGATATGTGTTGGTATTGGTAGGGGAAGGATCTTGGTGAACCGGGAGACTAGGTTTGCGGTTTTGAACACGTGGTTAGAGGCTTTGTATGATGATTTCGGGTGGATGAGACGGTTATCCTCGAGGTCTCTGGATAGGAAACTGGTGGAGGATGGACTCAGCCAGACCATACTGACCTTGTCGTTGAGGCAACAACAGGTGATTCTGATGAAATGGTTTGATCGGTTTCTGAGCAAAGGCGATGATTGTCCAAATGTCCAACGAGCTTTTGAGGTGTGGTGGAGAAGAGCTTTCATAAGACAGGTCTTGACAGAGCCAGATGCGTCACAGCTGCAGATTACACTCTATGACTAACCCAAATATAGAATAAGATTGCTCGACTGTTATAAATGTCAGATGTTCTTTCTTTCTTTTTTTTGGTAAAGTGTTACTTTTTGTGACTTTCAATGAGACGCAAAGATTATTCAAAAGAAAGTGCCTGAAGGATTTTTTTTTTTTTTTGTTTCAAACAATGTTTCAGACCAGAAAGAAGAAAAGAAACTCAGGGCAAACAACCAAATTTTCCCACATTGTAGACCAAAAAGAAAAACAGAAGCAGTGTTTGAATCCTATATGCAAATTTGGGTGGTTGAATTAGAACCCGAGAATTGGTTTCATCTGCTCTGATCTTTGCATTGCTTGTTTGTAATCTATATATTCGACTACTATGAAATTTTTGGTTCTGTCTTTTCAAGAGATGATTGGATCAGCACCATATTTCAACTTGGGTAGATCATCGGTCCTGTTGATCAACATTAACCGCAGAGTTAGTTTTTACAAGATGACATAAGCAAACTTCACAACCCGAACCCAACAAAAAGAAGAAAAAAAACAAGTGAAGAGGAATGAAATCTGACCTTTGGAGGACTTTGAGGATTCCGGTTCCGAGCTTCATTGGTATGCCCATAATCACACATTCTGTAACTCCCTCTATGTTATCAACCTTACCACTAATTGCTGCACTAAATAAATGATCTCCAGTCCTCTCGAAAGATGCCTGCATCAGCACACTTTTGTCCATCTTCTGAATCCCGGTTCTTTGTATCCCGAGAACCTCCCCCTGATCAAGAAATTGAAGTGACATTTTGATCGTAAACATGGCTGTCGCGGAGCAAGTTTTTTAAATAACAGATTCGAGTATCCTTAGAACTGACCCGGTAAGTCATGACATCAGCCAAAAGCATCATGTGACGAATGTCTATACTCATGCCATGGTTTCCCATAACTGACCCTATTTCATCAATAATTGTCGTCCTCGCAGCCTCAATCCCCAGTGTTTTGCTCACTTCGATAACGTTGTTACTTGTAGTAGTTCTCCCATTGATTCCCGGAGTCCCCATAACGTCCAGGAGGTTTGTTCTGAAACATCAAGCAAGCAAAAGATTCAATGGGGTACATGTAGTATCTCCTAAGCTAGCACTTCCGAAGGATTAAAAAGAATAGACTCATAAAGGAAAATCTCATCTCTTGAATCTCGAGAAAACTTACCCCTCCACAAACAGTTTCCACTTTTTCTTCCCATCTCTCTCTTTCTTTTTATCTGTATCCTCTGCGATAACAACTCGCTCAACTGTTTTGATCCCCTGTTATAACAATTCCACAGGATGAATTCTCACAGTCAATGAAAGAGAAATCATAATAAAATAAGGAGATTAGAGAGAGGGGTTCAACGAATATTACATTCACTATAATATTTGGCAGCACATTCTTCAGATTGTGGAGAGCAAAATGAGTCCCATTGTTATCCCCCACGGGAGTAATATCCAATCCTGTATCTAAAACCTTGATATTCTGCAGAATTTAAATTGCCAAGAGACTTAAAGACCTGTGTATAACAATCAATACAGCAATAACATGTGAGGGCCTTACATCATCCGTCAGTTTGATCCTGGGAGTCTTTAGGATGGATTTTTTAACAGACCAGGGGCTTATAGACAAACATGCCTCCTCGATTCTTTTATTGTCAAGGATTATTCTCACTGACGCTGATGTTGAAGTCATTAGCACCTCGATACTATCAGCAACCTGGTTCAAAATTCAAGTGGGGATTTGCAAGACCTGATCGGGAAAGACAGTGATAAAAAAGAGACTCTAACGGGAAGGAGCTGGACCAATGATCCAATTGTTGATATATATAGAATGCCATCATCGCAATATGGACTTAGAACAAGCAGCAGTGTGACTATCAAAGAGTGGATATGTAAAATAATTAAGATCAAAATGTAGAGGAAAGAGAACCTGTCCTAAAGTGGTTTTCTCGATGCGTCCTTTCACCCATCGTGCACTAGTCAATTCCAGGGGGTTCTCAAGGTCTGCAGCGATGACAGGTGTGCTTATATTTTTGGAAGCATTTATGATTTCATTGATTCGAGGGACTCCCTGTGTGATATCTGAACCAGATCAGGAAAATCAAAACAACAAACTACTCATATGAGGTCTTAAGCACTAGTCTTGTAGCCAAATTCTGAAAATGAGCATATTCAGTAAGGATACTCATGCTCGCAACTCCAGCAAAGTGAAAAGTTTTCAGAGTCATTTGTGTCCCAGGTTCTCCAATACTCTGAGCTCCTATTGTTCCAATCGCAGTCCCGGCTTCAATTGTTTTTTGCCGGTAGCGAAATACACAATTATTTACAAACACCTGCATATTTATACATATGAGAGGCCATATTTCATATTCTCTCCAACATAAAACACCAGAAGAAAATGGGAAAAGTTCTTTAATTGTATCACTGAAGAAAATATCCATTGGACAGAACATGTATCATAATTTTACGTCAGAGATGCAAAATGCATTATCTATCTTCTCCAAACAAGGAAGGCAGAAAGTTACCTCGAGTTGCTTATCAGTCACATCAGATGCTTTATAGAAAAGCTGGCTCGGGCTTGCAGACCTTGTTCCAAGCCCAGAAACAAAATTTCGGAGAGATTTCACAAAAGCCTCAGTGCAAACCCGACTACTATCTTGTCTGACTAATTCGTCTTCGAACTTTTGTGACAATTCTTCTGAAGAAAGAAATCTGTGGCGTGGTCTAGGAGGACAAGTGGCCTGCAAAATGCAAGTAACAATTGCGATGAAAATCTAAATATAGAGAGCCAAAAACCAATACACAAAATAGAAAAATCACCTGAATCTTCAAAAATAATCTATCAAAATTTAAAGGCGCTCCATTCTTTCCCTCCATCAGTGCTGGGTCCATACCATCATCTCCATAAGTAAATTGAAGTATGCATCCGCTAGCATTTCTCACTGTGCTATCATAATGGACTACTAGATCCTCCAAGGCTTTCATCAGCCTACGAGACATGTAACCCGTGCTGGCAGTTTTCACCTGCAATAGACAAGCATATTGTTTCAACAAGGTGGGGCTTCATCTTTCAGTGCAGATTTCGAAACACAGTCATCGTTCAGAGAACCATCATGGCTGTTTCTTTCACTGAACAACTTTTTCATATATTGCAGTGGACCAGGATGGAAAGCAAAACAAAGGATTTATACATACCGCTGTATCAACTAGACCTTCTCGTCCACCCATAGTGTGAAAGAAGAATTCTGTGGCAGAAAGGCCGCTATAGAACGAATTAGCAACAAAACCTTTAGCCTGCGATGGCAAGAAGAAATGAGATCAGGGTCCTAGCTCTTAAAGCAGTAGATACGGTCCAAAAGTTATTGTAATCAGGCTCCTATAGAGTGATGCCTAAAAATAATTTAGTGGCGAGCAAATGTTTCTACTTGTTCAAGACACCTCCAAGGAATGGCTGTTTACTTACTTCAGGTGTTTTGGACATCCTAGGAAAATGAGGAAGACTTCGATCTATAAATCCATCAGGAGCACGGTGACCATTAACTGTCTGCTGACCAACACATGCAACCATCTGACTGATGTTGATAGGAGATCCCTTGGAACCACATTGTGACATGATCAAGGGACTGTTTCTCCAATGTAATCCGTTCATACAGAGCTGTAAATCAAAAATATAATGACAAGATGAAGCGTTAGTATTTTGGTAGGTCAATAGGATCTGGATTCATTGTCGGTTGAACAAAGTAGACATTTCTTCACTATCTAAACCAACAAAAAAGGAAACCTAGAACTTTTCAGTCGTTACTCATCTGGCAAAATATATAACCCACCTTTAAAACAAGAAACTAATGGAACTAGAACGATATTTTGACAGCAAATCAGAAATCTTAGCAAATAGTAAATCACATATGTTCATGCCTAACTGGAAATAGAAGCTACGAATTCACCTTCCCAGTGTCTTCTCGAATACCATTGAGAATCCCTGTTATTTCAGCTTCCAATGACTTTGCAGTATCTAGACCAGCTTTCAGTTTCTGTGCTCCATTATTAAAATTCTCAATTTTCGAAACACATCCCTCATATCCCTCCCTGATTATATCTTCTTTTCTGTTTCTCAACTCTTCTCCAGGTTGAACGTCATCAATTCCAATGGAGAAGCCATGGATTCCAATCCACCGAGCACTGCACAAAACAAGATAAGAAGCTACTATTTAGACAAGAGAACTCTTCATGTACTCGATTCAGCAAGGGCAGGTAGCAGAGTAAGGTCACAGAAAACAATGAAATATTGGAGAACTGCTGAGATTACTAATAGAGATGGGAGCGGAAACGAATGAGCAAGACAAAGATGGATAATAAAGAACGAAGTGTTGCTGCGAGATCAAGGAACGATCAGACAGAAGAGATAAGACAATCCCATATGCAGGAAAACGGACTCACCTCAATTTTGCTAGCCGATTCATGCAGACTGCAGCAGCATGAGAGCTGTAATCTCTTAGAAGAATAGAATATAATCCATCCTTGTTTCCATTTCCTGAAGGAAAATATCAAGTGCTTAAAATATAGAAAGAGAGCCCAGAATGAACAGCTATCTGATGCATTTGCAACATATTGCATTCTATCTTGAACTTACCTAACGTAGCCTTCCCCAGTTGTCCTGATATTAGCTCACTATTTCGAAAATAAACCCATCCATCATTTAGGCACATTGTTTCGTCATACTTTCCCTTCTTGAAGTTCTTCTCTTTCACGTTAAGAGTTACGTAGACTCTAACACTTGCATTTGGACGCAGCAAAACACTAAAAACCTGCTTACCAGTCCAAAGCTCTATTGGCTGCATCAAAAATACATCTGGATAAGATATTAAATACAAGGAATGAAAATGCTATACGGCAGAAGAAGTCTCAGTGTTCACAACTTATATAACCAACAGACTCTGAACACATTGATTAAACTAGAGACAATAATGTAGAAGAACGTCATACAAAATCTAGATTGACATTAACTGCTACTGGAGCAGTTTCAAAACACGTGATATGGAATAAGGCCTTTGACATTATGGGAACGTAGAAAGATCATCCCATTGGACTGACGTGGATACCCACAAATTATGTCTATAACCTTGAACCTCCAGCAAAAGAAAGCTAAGCTGAGATATGCAAAGATAAGGATTGCAAAGCTAGGAACTATTAACCCTCAGTTCAAAATCAGTAACACGGACTATAAGAAGCATGACAGCAAAAAGCTGATGGCAGATCAACACACACACAGATAAGAAAATAAGAATAGTTGATACCAACAGAACAAGCTATATCTAACACTCTCAAGCGAGTTGTGGTGCACATATAGGTGAAGTAATCTCATACCTTAAGGATTGTAGGCGTGGGCAAATCTATGGCATCCATGGCATCTCCCATGTAAGAACATATTTGTGAAAAGGCCGCACGGTCATAAAATGTGTCTTTTCTCGTTATCAAATAGGAAGATGTCAAGAAATCCTGCGTTGATGCTACCAAAATTTCTCCATTCTTTGGGGTGCATAAATTGTTTTGTACCTGAGATACCAACCAGGAGAGAAGCAAATTATCGCCCAGACCAGACAAGTAAGGAGCGATAAAATGAAATATATCTGTCAAGCCATCAGACAGACTAGTAACCAACAGCTCGTAGACAAACACATAGATTAAGACATTTCCTCACTTTTACTCTATCATCCCTTCCATTGAGATCGTTCATATACCCTATACAAGTGAAGATTTTTCTAGAATTTAAAACACATCATTCCCTCAGCTCCAGAATCTAGATCTTTTATATTGCTTAGGAAAGCCTAAAGGTTAAGTAGAAAATCCTTTGGTAGAATTTGTTATACAAGACTACATCTTATCATCATCTGGTACTTATGTATGTATGTATGTATGTATGTATGTATTAATATGGGCATATGGAGTGTTACATGTGGCCAATGCATTATTGACTATCCCAAAGAAACTTAATATGATGCTAAGTAAATGAGAAAGTACCCCCATTAATGTAATAGCCTCTGTCCTAGCCTCCTCTGTTTGTGGTACGTGCATGTTCATCTCATCACCATCAAAATCAGCATTATATGGGTTACAAACCGATTCGTTGAACCTCAACGTTCTCCAAGGCATTATTATTGCCTGTGGGACAACAAATGCAAAATTAGAATTACACGGAGGGCAAGAGAAAATTTAAGATTAAGCATTTTAAAGCAGTACTGACCCTGTGACACATGATAGACATCCGATGCAGACTCGGTTGTCTGTTGAAAAGAACAGCATCCCCTTCTACCAAATGACGGTCAACTATGCAGCCAATGGTCAACTCATCAGCAATACGCTTGCGATAATCACCAACCAAAGTCCTGAAGTGAAATGTGTTAATGCCCCCATATGATCGATAAGCACCCAAACACATGCAAATGACCATATGCAGTCCTTCAGGTGCTATACGACTATCAGGTATCTACTTCAGTTCAGCAACAGTGTTTAACTATTTTCTTGTAACGACTCTCAGTGGTTTGATTTGGCTTCATTGAGAGAAGAAAATATGTTAAATTGCACCTTTTCTAATTTCAAGCTATGTAATTTACTTGTTTGTGTCTATACCGTCAACCAAACCTATATACAATCTTACTGATCTTCAAGCTAGCTATCTGGATCTTATTAACTCATCAAGATCAGTTTCTTCCCCTTTAAAATTTTTCATCAACCAAGAAGTAACGAAACTAACACACAACAGTACCTTGAAGAACCATCTGGATATCTGACATTTCTGGCACCAGGGTATTTATGAGGGCCATTACGGACGCATTGCCTCAACTTCTCAATATTATGACGGGAAACGCATTCAGGAAAAGTTAAGATCTTGGCCATAAGGATAGGAATTCCTACCTGAAAAGGTTAGTTACTTTTGCGATAAGTCACACTATTAATATAAATCACAGAAAAAAGCAACAAACTACACGTTTCCTGTTGATAAGTTTACCTCTGTGATTTTCAAATTGGGATCAGGTGAAATAACAGTTCTACCAGTGTACTCGACACGCTTCCCTGACAAGTTTGCACGGAAACGTCCCACTTTTCCTTTGAGACGCTGAAGAATTCCACTCAGTGGCTTGGTGTTTGGCTGGTTCTGGACACCACGGACTTCACTATTAATGTATTGCGCAACCTCGCTTTGGACGTTATCCCACACTTGCTAAAACAAAGTCCTCAACAAATAAGAAAACCAGAAATAATAATAAAAGAAAAATCTGAATAAAAACGTAAACGTAAACCAATAAGTCATGTCGAAGTAAGATTTAACAAGGACACGCATAACAGTACAGGATGCAGAATAGACAAATATAAAAGGGGGCGAAATGTTGCAATACAAACTCCATGTACCATGTTTTTAGGCGATGTGGTAGGTTGATTTAAAATATTACGAAGACTAGCATTGACTTGAATGATTTCCTTTAATCGCGCTGTTAAGTCGTTTTCATTGCTGCAGCAAGAAACCACATTCTTTCAAGAAAAACCAGCATTAGAAAATATAATTGACATGAGAAAGGCAAACCAAAAGACAGCTGACCTTTGTGTACCACCAATCATAACAGACGGTCGGATGGATAAAGGTGGCACAGGCATGCACGATGTGATAATATTCTCAGGTCTTTGAGCTATATATAGAAGTTCACAGTCCTGTTATTTATTTCAAAGAAAGAAAAAAAAAAGAATCAGCAGGACTGAATTATTTGATAAATAAGAAAATCTCTTTATACTAGTGCATATGATCTGAGAGCAAGAACATCATCTAATTGCAGGAATGAAAAAGAAGTGCATTATAGATTACCTTATCACTCATTCTTTTAAAAAGTCCAAGCACCAAGTTAGGATCAAGAACATAGGTAAGAGGATTTATAGCTCCAGTAGACTCTTTTGTGTGAGCTATTGCAGATTTTAATTCATCAAGCTCTCCACCATGAGTTTTAGATCGGTCATGACTGATGCCTACTATACCCATCTGCGCCCCAAGCTTTTTTACCATGCCTGAAATTATCAATAAACTAACAAAGGTTACAGGATTTTTGGCATTGGATATTAGCAGAAAATTCCTACTTTTCTGTTTGTGCTACTTAGAAAACCTATTTGAATGTTCCACGAACTCAATTTTGCATCTAAGATAAAAAAAAAAACCATGACGAATTAGAAAAAAGATCAAGATCTTAATACTTAACTTCATCAAGGCATAATCTAATCTATATATTTTAGCTAAGACAGTTAAAAAATCACACCGTTCTGGTAACCACATTTCTTGCACGTTATAAGTCTCTGGCTTGCCATTGTACTGCACTTCTTGACAACCGCTTTCATCAGTTCAGTCTTCTTCAATGGCTCCATTTTTGGATTCCGCATCTTCTTCAAGTGTTCTTCACTCATCTTCTCGTCAATTAGTATGCTGGAACAGCGCTGTGGGAAAAGAAAAGAAAAACAATATTTGTGAACTACAGTTGATGCTACAAGGACCTCGAAATAACCAGCCAGTCTTGTAATGTAATATTAGGCATTGTCTGGATTTCGAAAAAGCAACATTCCCAAGAAATCAGTTTGTATTCTCTACTTTTTCCATTCAAACAAAAGTAAAAGAGTCGACTAACATACAAAACAGAACAGAAACTCTAGAGACATAATCTGGCAACTCTGTTTTACCTTGCAAATGCACTTCAAAACATCAAGGGTGAAGTTGAGGTATCCTTGGTGGTAAACAGGGAGGTCAAGCTTCAGATATCCAAAGTGTCCTGGACAATTTTGGAAGTTCCCGTAACAGGTTGCGCAGGTAGACTTTTTGTTCGGAGGACCCTGTACAATCAAAATGGAACAAACCATATAGAAATTAATCTTCTTAAAAAAGAGACAAAAAGTATTACATATACTGATGCAAACAAGTTAAAACCAGAAAGATGATAACATACCATTCGAGGATCCAACAAGCCGCTTTCGATGGGTTTAGAATTGGAATCGTAGTACATACTCTTCCACACCTGAACTTCAGCGGCTTTCATGACCTCAAGATCAGAAAGGATGGAGAAGTTTATGCTTTTTCTGCACAGATAGTAATGACAAAGTAAGATCCATCATAAGCTCAATCCACAGACACACATACAAAAAGAAGAATCATGAAAAATTCTAACTTGGAAAAAAATAAAAACAAAACTCATCTCAATTGACATGAAAAAAATTCAGACACCCATGAGCTTTGCATCAAATATACACTAGCAAAAAGTATCGAACTGGAGATTCTAGGCACAATGATGAGTCGAAATCAACAATAAGCTAAAAAAACAGTATGATCAAGTTTGCTGGAAGGAACGTAGTTGGGGAAAATTATTTCACTTGAGCAGAAAACTAAAAGAACGTACATTTTAAGAGGACCGACATCTTCGATGTACGGCTTCTTAGTGAATTCAATTTCCATCTTCGTCTCCATCTCTCCAAACAAAGCTGCAATTACAAACGCGGAAGAAGATTAAAAAAAAAAAAACCCGAAAGTTTGAATCGGCGTCAGAGATTTAAGAAGCCCGAAAAACAAAAATAACCAATCGAAGAATCAACTTACGGTAAGAAAGACGACGGCGAAGGAACGTGGGTTTAGGGTTTAAGGAGAAGCAGCAGATCGAGGGTAACAGGCGGGAGATACAGAACGGCTGGGAAGGTAAGAAAATGGAGGTTCAATGAAGAGGAAAAAAAAAAAAAACCCTAGTCGAGAATCGAACTTGCGACCTCGAGCTTCAGCGAAGCTGGCTCTTTGCCACAGGGATATTTAATCTAAACATGATATCGATCACACTTTTAGATATATAACCTAGTAACTGGAAATAAAATCTCAAAAGACAATTCGTGAAAGAAAAAGCCCAGGAGACTTTCGTAATTTTGATTTTCTCTTATATTTAAAAAAAAAAACATTAATTTTGACATTTTGTGTGAGGCGTAAGAGAAATTGCCCTAATTTGCACAGAGGCGCGACGACCTTCGAGCTACTTCCGATGAAGACCGTCACCGGAAGAGTTGTCAGTGAAGAACCAATCTCCCTCACTACGGCGGCTAATATTCTCTCCGGGTTCGTTGCCTCTAAGAACGGCGCCTCTCAAGACGTCAGTGCGTACCTCCGACGCGCCGCCGCTGCCTTCACCGAGTTGAAGAGCATGCACAGGGAGATTAACTCGTCTTCCTTAAAGGGGAAGAAGAAGCTAAGATCCGAGGCAAGGAATGAGCAGAATCAGATTGACGAATTCAAGGAGCTGGATCGAGCTAAGGGGATTGATGATTTGGTGGGAAACGGAGGGGAGATTCGTTTCCGGAAAAGTGAGATTGTGAGGGAAGAGGAATCAATTTGTGGTCAGGAACAGGATGAGATAAAGGAGGACAAGAAGAAGAAGAAGAAGAAGAGTAAGAAGAACAAAGAAGAAGATGTTGTTGACGAGAAGTTGGAAGACGAGCAAAGGAACGAAGAGAGAAAGGAGAGAAAGAAGAAGAAGAAGAAGAGCAAAGAAGAGGACGTTATTGACGAGAAGGTGAATGAGAAGCTGGAAGACGAGCAAATGAGTGAAGAGAGAGAGGAGAGGAAGAAGGAGAAGAAGAAGAGGAGGAAGAGTGATGGAGAGACGAATTCGGAGGAGAGGAAGAGCAAGAAGAAGAGGAAATCAAAGGAGATTGATGGTTGAAGTTGGTTAAAGTTGGGATTTTTAGCTGAAGGGTGGAGACAAATTTGTAGTGGAGTTTAATTGGATTTTTCACAAGTTTTGGGTAAGCTTAGCTATATTGATGATCACTTGGTGGCAATTTAGATTGAGAAAGATTTGATTTTTGGGAACTCTCTGTTATCTGCAATGAAGTTAATGTTGTTTTGGTAGTGTGATATTGCCCTTTTCTCTCTTACTATGTTTGGAAGATGCTTGATTGCGAATTGCAAGCAATGTTTTAGACTTTTGATCTTGAAGACGAACGCTTGAAACGTTAGTGTTCACTCTAATATTAGATATTGAGTTATCGGGAACCTTAAGACTCAATTTTCATCATACATATACACATAGATGCAGAGGCAGATTCTGGACCATCTGATTCAAACGAATTTTGTATATTTTCAACAGGTAGTTGTTAACTATAGAAGGGTCAGGTCGATATATGCAAAACAAATTGTGTATGTATTAATTTAGCAAGGTATTACATAGATCTACATACAATTTCAGAAAACAGAGCTGTGCAACAAGAGTAAATAAATGAACAGAAATTGACCTCATGTCAAATTATTGAACAGGAATTGACCTCATGTCAAACTGATAAAATGGCCGGGGAAAAATACCGAAAAAAAATGCTTGAAGCTTGGAAGAAAGAAGAGACAATAAACAAAAAAAAGAAAGGAAAAGGAGTTGAATCATGAAGCAGGAATCAGCATTGGGGCAAGTCTGCAGGAGGAGGAAGAAGTTTCTGATCAGGCTTATCTCCATCAAGAACAAGCCAAGCCATCCTCAGACCCCAACTGGTATGTACTTCCAAGTGACAGTGCATGAACCACACTCCTGTCAAACATTTTGCAAACTTAGTTTTAGTTTTCATATTAGATTAGACTAAAGTAAAGCTTGATTTTTTTTGGTTTATAGTTGGTTCTCTTACCTGGGTTATCTGCAAGGAATCTGATAGCAGCCCACCCACCAGATGGCACACCGATTGTGTTCCTCTCTATTGGGTCAACCAGGTTGAAGTTCTTAGGATCCTTGTTCGGGTCGAAATTCCCAAAGCCTTGGCCAACGACGAAGAAGTTGAACCCATGAAGGTGAAGAGGGTGGCTTTCTGCACCAAGAATGCTAGTGTCTTGCATCACCAGCTCCACACTTGTGTTATAACGTAGAGCCATCAAGTTTGTCCCGGTGCTAACCATGGTGTTGTTAGGTGGAGTCCCTGTGTAGTTAAACGGGACGATGGGGTTCCATGGGAAGTTTGGAGAATACACTCCATTAGATTTCCCAGAGTAGTGAGACTGAAGGAGAGCTTTTGTTGGCATCGTGAAGGAGATGTTGCTGATTGAAGCAGCAAACATTGTAGTGTTAGTTGGTCCCTGGCACGTCTGGTTGTTCTTATGATTGCACGGGTTTGTTCCCAATCCTACTGTGAAGAAGAACTTCCGATCAACGTTCAAAGGCACGTTCGCCGGGAACTGTTTGCTGTTCAGGCTGCGCAACTTGTTGCTAAACTTGGTAGCAAAATTTGTATCATTCAGAGCAGGGAGTACTGGTGTGAAGAGCTTGAGGTTCTTGATAGAGGTCGTCGCATGTTTAGGCTGTTCATATTCTAAGATGCCAGCAACTGTAGTGTTGTCGAAAGTTCCTTGACCTGTTGCGTATGGTCTAGCAGTCATGAAGAAGGAGGCACTCGGGTAACTTGGTTTGGTCTTCAGCAGGAGGTTTGTGGTCTGTCCAGGAGCAATTAAGATGGTGTCCGTCTCAAATGGCTTGACATAGATCGCATCAGCTTCAACAACTGTAACTGTGTGGTTTGCGATGCTGAAAAATAGCTCGTCATTAAGTGCAGCGTTGATTAGCCTGAGAAGGTATGTCTTTCCTGGCTTCACTCTCAGTCTGAATGTATCTGTTTTAACATCATTGCTTCAATTAGATTATAGATTCATCATATATTATCAAACCATTAGCTAGATGTAGAAAATCAACAGTTACCTTTAGCTGAGCAGTTGTATAACGGACCAGGAAGCCCGTTGATCGTGTAAGCATCAGAGACATTAGGACCTCCTCCTGTTTGGGTTGCTTGGCGAATGATTGCCTCAGTGTCTGCGTTGAACCACTCCCCTGAAATTTTCAACCATAAAAATCAGTTATACTGTTTCTAAAATCCTCATAAGATTCTCAGTCTGTTTCTATTACTCATCATCCTCACCAAAGATCATGGGAACTTCTTTGTGAGGTTTGGCAAACGGGTAAGGAACACCGCGTTTGGGGAGGATGATAAGAGGACCATAGATCGTTGATCGTAGCCATGAAATGTGAGCATGGTACCACAGAGTGCCTCTTTGGCCAGTAATGGTATAGTTGTAGACATAGCTTTGCCCTGTCTGAATAGGACATTGGGTTATGTAAGCTGGTCCATCAGCCCAACCAGACCGTAGTTGCCTGATCCCATGCCTGAAATTTTCACGATTTAAACCAGCTGTTAGTAATCATTATATCGCTCTTAGTAATGCTTTACAATGTTTAAAAGATAATTACCAGTGGATAGAGATATTGTTTGGCACATGGTTAACAACTTTGATCAGAAGCTGGTCACCTTCTCTGGCAATAAGCTTAGGCCCTGGAAACTGCCCGTTTACAGAAACAATGCTCTTTGTGTGGCAAAGACGAGTCACGTTGTGCATTTTTATCTGCGAAAAACCGAAACATCCAATCATCATCTGCAACCCTTTTATGTAACATCTCAACATGTACAGAGAATAAACAAATCTTCACATACGTCCAGTGTATAATGCCTTGTGATCCCAAATGCAGGTTCAGGAAGAAGAAGAACACAAGAGACAACAGCAAAGAGAAGCCAAAATGCCATTTCTTATGTATCCTTGCCAAATTGAAGTGAGCTCTTGGAACTCGAGGCGTTGAGTAAAGCTGGTATACTCTGCCTCTGTTATATTTCTTTTTTGTTTTGCTGTAGATTGTGGATTCTGTGTTTCAGCCTTTAGCGTATATATAGGAAGGAGAGTTGGGTGCTTGCTTGAGCAGGAGATATAGAAAACAAATTAGTATTTGTTTATGTAAGAACAAAAGGATAATTAGTAGAGAAGTTCGTGTGATTGGAGACTCTTGATATTGACTAGTTGTTAGAACATATATGAACAGCTAATGAATGAGTGGTGTCAAAGATAAGTCAAACTCTTTGACCCTCTTTGATTCCTCAAAAACTCAATCATATTCAAGATCATGGCGTAGGTTCTAAAAATGTAATGCAAAGTTGCCAAATTTTAGTTTCTCAGATATGATAGTTAATCTTCCTGTTCTGTTTCCTTCACAGCTTTGGGTATATTTTTAACACGAGAGTATAAGTCATATGGACCAAATGTGACAGTTAAAGTTCGAAAGGGTAACTTCTGTGGTGAGCCGTTATGTTTAAATGTTTATGCTAAATGTGAATTTCATCATTTCATAAGCGTTTTAAGTGATACGTACTTCATCTGTTTATTAATTCTTTAAAATTATTTTGCAGGTGGCAACTTTTTAAGGAGATTAATCGATGTGGAGTTAGTCAAAACATTCGTAAGCTAAAATTGCTTGGGGAATAAGCAAAGAGAGGGAGATTGTAGCTATCAGAAAGGTCACGATTAGGGTTAGATATCAAAATCCATGAAGGATACTGTCAATATTGTGGATTATAAAAACATTGAGGATACCTCAAATTAAGGTTCGCAATTTTATTTCCCAAGCAAGTGACCTAACTCCCTTTTAAGTTCGTATCCTCAAAGGCATGCCACTTATACATGCTTGTGTACATACATATTTGTACAACTATTATATATATATATATATATATATATTGCTGGAAATATTTTGCAATGTTTATGCAATTTGTTTGCTTCTTATTCGTCTTTCATATTTATAATTTGGATGAAATTTAAAGTCAATCTACAATCAAAATATGATGCAGACAAGACTGCTAACAAGTAGGTATCAACTTATCCCCTAACCGTGCGAAGTCGGTAATTAAAATATATTTATTTTTTCTTTATACATTCTAGATGATAAATAAATATCAATAAAGAAATGTAGGAATTGAATAATGGTTAAATTATTAAAAAATATATATAAAATCGATCGGACACAATGAAGTTCACATCATTAGTATGTAGTTCAAACAATTTGTAGCTTTACAATTATGTCTTTAACAATATTTTAGCTGGTAACTCACAATCAATAATCAATCATATTTATAGTAAATATCGTTATAGATATTTTAATTTAACTAGGCATGTTTCTGTCCCTTGTCACGAGAGCTTTACTTTAAACAGGGTTATTCCAAATTACTTGCCGAGTAATTATCTCCCACGTGGCCACATTATATGAAAATGAAATTCTGATATCTCTTAACGATTTCAACTTTAGTTATCTAATATCTAGTACATTAAAGTTATTAAATCAAAAGTCTAAAAACATATATGACCTTTTAAGTATTCATCAGACCAATCTATACTAAATAAAATGGACTATTTGAGGCTCCTTAGGCTATTCACCTAAGCAAAAAAACTCTCTTCTACAATGTCACGTGGCATCACTTTCTTAAAATTGAAAAATTAAAAAAAAAATAACAAATTGAAAACCATAATTAGCCAGCTTATCATAGTAAGTACTACTAATTATTTAAATAAATACTAAATATCTACTTACAAAATTAATGCACAGATGGACTAATAATAATCCAACTTCTTCTTCTAGACGGACTCCATAAAAAGGAGAGGTAATTGAACGTTCAGGATCCCAATTTTAATTACCACATCATTGACAACACATCGGTTTACCACATTTATCTCCCCATCTGTCTGATAATTTACAGAATTTCTATCACTATCGTTTTTTTAAATATACAATAATCACTTCTATGAAGAAAAAAATTAAACTACAAACGAAAGAACACATAAAATACAAATAACTATCTTATAATATAGTCCACCTTC